GCGGCAATGTTTGGGCGAAGGGCTGGCCCGAATGGAACTTTTTCCTTTTCACTGCCAATCTTCTCAACCGTTTCAAGGTAAATTTAGGGTTCTGAGGTGTAATTAAAAACTTATTTTCAGGTAAAACCAGGTAGAGCCGGTCCGCCATCGCTCAAGAAACGATTTGGTATTACGATGTGTGTAGAACCTTTCACGTGTCATTTTGAACCAAAGAAGTATTAATTTCGCCTTTTTAGTTTTTTTTTTTGATGTTGGATGAAGTTTTAAAATGAAAATGTTCCTAAGTTTCTTCAAGTGATATTATGTCAGGAACGGGGTTTTTATCGAAAAAGAGTTTGAAAAGAAAATTCTTTCCGTGTACTTTGCACTTTTCCAATCTTTGATTCTCTCAATAAGAGTTTCTGCCAACGAACGTGGTCTCTTTCGATTTTTCAACCTTTTTTCTTCCCAAGTCGTTTTCCCATTCGCTATCTTTTCCCTTCCCAGACTTTTCATGCTTTTTCTTCTTCTCTCGGCATTTTTCGCCATCTTTTTGTTTCAGCAATTGTACTGGAAACGAAGGAACTATCCGCCAGGTATTTTTGTCTATTAATGTTTTTATTTCAGTCGCATTTGTATATTTTTAAACGAGTTCCCGAGGGAAATTTTTCCCTTAAGGTTTTCCGCTTCCTTTCGTGTTTGAATTTTAGAAACCACTTTTTTTCGTAAAATTTATTAAAAATTGAATTTTCGGGTGCTCAGAAATTTTTCCGTCTTTTCTAAAGAAGTTTCGAAATGCAAATTTAAGTTTTTGAACTTTAGGCTTCCTGTTTGTGTTCTTTGAATCTGTCAGAATTTTTGAACTCTTTATTCCTGAAAAAAAAAGGAATTTGTTAAGGCCCAACTCCATTGCCTTTCATTGGAAACTTCCTCGAGGTTCTGAAATATGAGGCAGGGTATCAGGCTTTTACCAACTGGCGAAAGCAATTCGGACCAATTTACACATATTGGCTGGGTTTCGAAAATCATAAAAATTTGATCATTTTTTAAATGAAGGTCCTTTCCCATTCATTGTCATTTCTGAATATGAGCGAATGAAGGAAACGTTTGTCAAAGATGGTGATGCTTACACGGGAAAGTTCGGTTTAGAAGAAGCGACGGACCTTTTTCGAGGTGAGATATTTTATTTTTTTGAAGATTAGAAGCAAAAATCAAAAAAGGCGTTGAAAAAAATGTCGATAACTTGATGGTTCGTTCCTAAAGGGCCCTGGCGAAAATTTATATTTTTAGAGCTACATCTTCGTGCTTTATGAAGCACTGTTTACAGCTAATCATATAATACTTCCGTGCTAAATTAAATTTTTTGAAATAGAAATAAATTCTCAAAATGTAACTATTCTGTGCAGGGGGAAAATATGGAATCATCGACACAACCGGTGAAACTTGGAGGGAGCATCGACGGTTCGCCATGCATCAGTTGAGGGATTTCGGCGTCGGCAGGGATTTGATGCAGTCGAAAGTAAGTACGCTGAAAATATTCATCGGTATTTATTTTAGGTTCTCGATTTAATTTTGAACTATAACGGCAAACGCTTGTAATATAACTTCCTTCAAAAATTTGATTTTGAGAATTTCATCGGAATTTTTTGTTATGAAGTCTCAATGCTTAGATAATTGACATGAAAATACCTTCTGCAATTTAAAAATTTTAACCTCTCTTTCAAACAAAAATATTTTCGAAATTTTCAAAATAGAGTTTTCCATATTTCAGATCCTTCTCGAAATGTCTTTCTTGGCTAAAGACATCGAAAACCATAAGGAAGGTGAAGTAAAAGTCCAGGTACCTTCCGATAAAAAAATTCCTTTCATGATTTAGTCTTGACAGGAAATGTTCGACATTGCCGTCGGCAGTGTGATCAATCAGTTTCTCTTCGGTTACCGATTTGATGAGGTACAGGAAAAGTTGACGAGTCATGAGAAAAAAAAGTGTTTTTTCAGGAAAGATTGCCCGAACTCCGACAATTGAAAGCGTTGGTCAAGCTTCAAATGGAAAAGGCGAGTGATCCAAAAGCGATTGCTCTATGTTTCCCCTGGACCAAATACTTGTCAATTGGAAACGACTTCAGAGAACTGTTGGTTTTCATTGAAAAACTCGGAATGAATTCACTTTTTGAGGCTAATTCAAGTTCGCGGTCAGTTCTGGGCATTCTTCCAACGGCAAATCGATGAACACATGAAGGAAATCGATTTTGATCAAGACGAGAGCAAAGATTACGTTGAAGCTTATTTGAAAGAGCGTAGGAAGAGAAAGGCTCCGGTTGGCGAGAAGGAGATTTTCAGGTAAAAAGAAATCGAAAATATAATTCCTGTGAAACTTGTATTTTATTCAAACATTTTTTCAACAAAAAATGGCTCAACCTTGATTCTTATTTTGTTTAAAGACGGATTTTAAAATAAAAGTTTTGGTTGAAATAAATTTTGAAGGCTCTGAGTTTTCTATTTTGAATTCACATTTGAAATGTTTATTTTTGTGTACTTCAATTACTTGATAAATAAGATTTGTTGTATTTTAAAAATATGATCGAGTTATACTATGATAAAGTGAAATTTTTAATCTTTGAATTTTTTTCTAATTTTTACAAAGCGTGGAAAAAAATATTAAAACTAAAATGTCTAAAATTAGAAGCAAAAAAATTTCAACAAAATGAAACGCAAAATTTCCTCTGGATTTTCTTAATAATTTCCTTTCCAGTAATGAGAACTTGATGAATATTCTCGTGGATTTGTGGTTCGCCGGACTTGAAACGACTTCCAATACGTTGACCTGGGCCATCGCTTATCTTCTGAATAATCCCGAAGTTCAGGTAGAAATTGAATCCTTTTTATTTGTTTTGAAAACAAATTTTTACATTTTTCAGGAAGAAATCCATGAAGAACTGGCGCGTGTGATTGGAAGCGACAGGGAAATTATCATGTCCGACAAAAATGATCTCGTTTACATGAACGCTTTTATCAATGTTAGTAAGCAAGAAATCATAATTATTTTCCTCAGAAATTTGAAATCCACTTTTTGAAAAAGAAGCTGTATAAAATGTGCTCTGAACATTCAGGAAATCAAAATAATTTTTTTTTTCAGGAGTCACAAAGATGTGCCAATTTGCTGCCGGTGAACCTTGCTCACGTTTTAGAGAAGGATGTCGTTTTGAACGGCTATGAAATTCCCAAAGGAACTGGAGTTTTGGCGCAGATCAGTACTGTGATGCTAGATGATAAAGTTCGTTTAAAAATTTTTAATTTTTATTATAAATGTTTAGAAAAAAATACACAACATTCGTGAAACAGCTAGATTTTCATCATTTGCAGGTTTTCCCCGAGCCGCATAAATTCAATCCGAAGCGATTCATCGAAGACAATGGACAATTGAAAAAGGTATTTTCGATCAAAAAAAAAAAAAAAAATCAAAACTTCGTTTTTCAGGTCGACGAGTTGATTCCATTCTCAATCGGAAAACGGCAATGTTTGGGCGAAGGGCTCGCCCGAATGGAATTGTTCCTTTTTACCGCCAATCTTCTCAATCGTTTCAAGGTAAATTTAGGGTTCTCAGGTGTAATTAACAAATTATTTCCAGGTAAAACCAGGTAGAGCCGGTCCGCCATCGCTCAAGAAACGTATGGGCGTCACCATGTGTGTAGAGACATTCACCTGCCTTTTCGAACCGAAAACATATTGAATTTCGTACGTTTTTTTCTGTGTTTTTATAATTTTCAAGGATCATGAAGTGCAATAAAAATTTGTCTTTTTGGATCACCTTGAACGAAATTTTAAAGTCACAAAAAAATTTACCGCGTTGAAAAAAATACAATAATTTTTTTAAGCGCAAAAGAAGGTCATGAATTTAAAGATTAAAAAAAGATCACCAATTCGAGACTATTTAGGAATTTTTTCTATGCTCCTTTAAAGGAATAGAACATGAGCCTAGCCTGAATCAACTTTCAAAAAAGTATTTCGTGTTGAGAACTCTCAATATGCTCCTTTAAAGGCGCATCAAGCAGTATTGGCTCAATTGAACTAAAATTTCTGAAATTTTAAAATTTTCACTCACGCTATGAGCCTCCAAAAGTTTTTAGCTTATCACAACACAGAGCTATTTCTATGCTGCTTTAAAGGCGCAGCACATTATCTCAACTTATATTACACAAAAAAGTTCCAGGCATAGTTTTTCCGAAATTCTCCGTGCTAGTCCAAACAGCACAGCCAAAAATAACTACCACGCGAAAGTCCAAAGATCCTCCGCTCAGTGATTTCAAATCTGTAATCAGCTGCCCGTTCCATTTCGCACAATATAATCAGTAGCCATAGCGACCCAAAATGTGCAATTGAATATAATAACACGTTCGGCCCAGGATATAAAGGTACACCGAAAGTTATTATTCTCATAAAATTCCTCGCCTCGAGCTTTACTGGAAAGGCCTGTACGAGGTCGGGCTCAACGTCGACTGTGACCTTCAAGATGATTCTTGCCTTGGGCAAAATCTTGGTCAACTTTTTTCCGACGTCTCTTTTGCGGCTTCTCTCCAAGAAGCTTTTATTTTTTGTGTTTTCGCGGCTAACACAGGGATTTTACTGCTGTTGTTGGTTGATCGCAAGAAGTTGTCGGTAAATCATTAAATTTTTCAAATTGACGGGCAATTTGTATATATCATTGGTTCGCTTAACGAGAGAAACCCGACAAGCCTTTACCAAAAACTATGAAAAATAGCCTGTGAGGACTCCTCACTGAGGAGGTCAAGTGGCCACTTTAGGAATTTCAAGAGAGTTACTAGACTTAAAGAATTGATATTGAACGGTATCGGAAAAAGTCTACAGTTTTTTTCATTGGTCGCTATAAAAAAAATTTTCAAGACCTTTTAAAGCCACCACTATTAGAACCACTTATGATAATAGTTTTTCGATCATAAATTCCTCATTCTTGTAGAAAAAAGTCGAAAAATCCATTACCTAAGCGTCGCGGTCGCGTTGCGGCTCTAAGACTTGATCTTATGTCTTTACAAAAAAACCACGATACGTCAGGCCATTCCAACTGTGACCGTGAAACTTCAGAAAAACATTCACTCGAACTTGATATTTTTCAGGTATCATTTTTCAAAATTGTCGCAATCTTGGCCTTTTTTGTTGTTCTCCGAACCTGTACCACGTTTATTGCAAAATCTATTCCTTATAGTTGGTTCGGCAAAGGAATTGATATTTTCGTATCGTCTGTTGCTTTAATCACTAAAGTCTCTGGAGTTCATCTTTCAATGGTTTTCCTGGCCTTTTTATCCCTAAACAGACTACTTGTGTTCGTTTTTCCGAGTGCGAACAGTGTTATTTTTGAAAGGTTCATCGAGATTTTGTCTAATAAGATGACAAAAATTCAGGAAATTATTCTACTTGCTTACAATAGTACTGACGACTCTGACAGTACTGTCAACAATTTTAGCGATTCATTTCTCTGAATTAACTCGACTTTACCTTCCACTTGGTGACGCTATCGATAGGGCAGCTGTTCCTGAGATTATGAGGGTTTTTATTATCACTCTTCAAAATTTCACTTTCAAAGAGTTTCCAAAACAGCAAAAACATCGATAGGACTCGAACCTGTCATTCTTCCCGAAAGTCGAACTCTCTATCCATTGAGCTATTAAGGTCGCCAACCGTTTATACATCATCTTCCCAGCTTTTTCTATCCTTTGCTACACGGCTTTATTTATTTATTTTCATCGAAAGTATCATGACGCCAATGTTCGGAAAGCTATCGTGGCTGGGGAACGTCAGATTCTAGTTCAATTATTTGTGATCTCAGCTTCTTATGTGGTTAGTTTAGAGCATAAACGATTAGATAAGACTTGAAAATCAAAAAAATTTATCACTAGAGAACATGTGAAGCTCGAAATTTGGCTTCGTCAGAATATATATTGCTGGAAACTGACTTTCGGCTATTTATTCTTGCTTTTTTTCAGACCCTGTTCACGGTTTGGGAAATTCTGAACAACGTCACGATTGAGACTACGCTAAAACTGAAGTTCATAGCTTTTCTCAATGTGATCGACACGATTCCCGAATTTTTCATTCCCATCTTCTTGATTTTTGGCACCAATAATTTCAAGCATATTCCAAGTGACGTCCTCAAAAAGTTGAAGAGAAAAGGATGATAAATGTTCATTTCAATGAATTTCGTTGTTTTCGAGAAGGTAGCGCGACTTGTTGGGGATTTCGCCGTGGGGCGTGTTTTCTCTAGAAAAGGAGGCGGTTTTTTGTTTGAAACTTTACTGGTCACACGTGGAATTGCTCAAGGGGTTTCGAAAAGTCACTAATATTGGGACAGGCCATTCCAAATGCGACCAGCTCGAGGAAAAACCTCATTGTAGCCGTGTGAATGTGGCCGGGATCCTTGCTGACCCAAATATCGTCGATGAAAGCTCCGTTTTTACTGACTGAGACTTGCTGGAGTCTGACGTGGGTCATGTTGGCTACGGTCATTATCGTGTAACCGTAATCATCGGATCTGAAAAATTGATTATTTGAAAATGGTTTAGAACAAAATGAACAGATGAACAGATGAACCAACAGATTTTGAAAAACATTTATCTAAAACAGCCTTGAAAAAGGCCATTCTACTTCTTAGTTCAAAAACTCCTGAAGTAGTTTACTCCTTGATATATCAGATAGAGGCGCGGAAAGTTTCAGTTCTGAAGAGAGAAGGGATAAAAGTCTGAAAATGACCACTTCCAGCGGATTTTGAATTTTTCTTCAGTTTATTTTTCTTTTAGTAGTTTTCCAAGCTACTAATTTCGAAAATTGAGCCTAAAGATCCAAAATTAAACCTGAAAGCGCTCCAAGCCGTCGGCTTATTGCTAAACTTCGCACCAGGCGTGTGACATCCCTAAAAAAATCATTCATTTTTTTTTCTGAAAAATTAAAAAACCGCAGAGCCGGTCAAAACGTAGACAGGAGCCACTGGATTGTGATAAGCAGAGTTCTGGAAACTTCAATATTTAAATGTATCTTTTTTTCTCACCGAGGCGTAATATTTCCGGTCAGCAACTGGATACATCCTCTCATAGGCGTGCATATGGCCCCAAAATCCGAAATCTATCGAGTATTTCAAAAAAGTCGGTTCCAAGCCAGGCAGGCCGCGGTCACCAACGCGGATCTGAACTCGGAAATTGGTAACGCAAAACGGACGTTCTCCGGACGTTTTTGGGCAATTCTAGGAATCACTTAAGAGCGCTCAGGCTACTAAAGTAGTCACTAGAAATGCCCAGGCACGTCGGATTCGCGTCCCGTTCCGAAAAATAAAAAATCAGCTGTCAAGCGAAAAAAAAATTCAATAAAAATATAATTTCTAGAAAAGTCGGCAATTATTAAATTCTCTTTTTCGTAAAAAAAAAATCACCATGCAGCACAAAAAAAGCTTCGAAAATTTATCGAGGATGTTCATTTTTATGTGTAATGTTCTAAATAATCCTAAAAATTATGACGAGGCTACATTTCCCCCTGTACTTTCTAGTGGAACGTCCGCTCTTTGCAATAAATAATCCTTGAAAGTCAGTTTCAAGACCTTGATAAGAGTTATTAGACGATAATGAAGCTTGAATGATATCATAAACTGAAAAGTAGGAACCAGTGGGTTCAGGAACTTGAAGGGACTTAACATAAACTAATAAGAATCTTCGAAGGTAGGTTAAAAAATGAAGCTCTTGAACAGAGAAATCATCAAGAATAAACAGAAAAACTTACAAAATCGCTGGTGAAATCGGTACATTCGTTGCCGTACTCGATACTGCAGTACATCGGTCTGTGTTGGAACGTTGAAATCCATGGAACATTTTTCCGGTTCGCTTCGGCCGTCTTCAAGATTATTAATGGAAAAGGTTAAAAAACAAAAACAAAAGAAATAAAAAATTTTTTTAATTATATGTCTCCGTAGAGCGCATTAGTCCTGATCTTTTTTTTTTTGATTTTTCGATTCAATTTTGATATTTTTTTTACCTCAAAAACTTAAAATCTAATTTTCATACAATCAAGAGACCCTTTAAAGGCTTGACATCAATCTTTTGAGTCTGTGAGGAGCTACTCAAGAAGTAAAAATTGGATAGAAATATAATCAAAAGAAATTCAAGCTTTTTCGGCTCCAAGTCTGCTGAGAAAAAACATCTCAGCATCTCAACCCCTTTAGTGACTACTATCCGCAGTTTAAGTAAACGTTTGTGTCCAAACAAACCTTCAAGTCGTTTTGAAGCCAATTATACTGCGTTTGAATGGAAGCCGTTCCGTATTCCCGATCAAATCCATAAAATTCGGTACTGATCCCAAGCCAGTGAACTGGCCCGATGTCTACGCTGAAAATAATTTTTAAAAGCCTGAAAAATGAAAACGAAAACCTGTAAAACTGATTGTCACCATAACCGTTGTGTGGCATGTAGAAGCGAGTTTGATAATTGCTGAAGTTTTTCCCGTCGTCTTCGTGATTCCCAGCGATCACCATGTAGGGCATCTGAAAATTCACCTTTAATCCATTTTTCATTTGACAGTGTCTGAGCTGTCTGCTTCCTTTTTTCTTTCATTGGAAAAGGCGAAAGAAGTTTGAATAGCACGTAGATTGCGAAGAAATCAGACTGTTTCAAGTCTAATTATAGAAACTTACAGTAGAAATTAATGGTTCCATCAAATTCATGAATTTGTCCCCGCGTTTACCATTATCCGTGTGAAGGTCATAGGCGAGATCTCCTGAAAATTTATGATGTCTGACTGTCTGCGCTCTCTTGTTCTCTAAGCACTTTTGGAGAAAGAAAAAGAAATAAAAAGCAGAGTGTTCGCAATAAATACGGCCACAGTGTAGATTTCATTCACAAGATTCAAAAACATCTATAGTCTGTTCAGATTTCAAATGTCAAGTCCTCGCATAAACTCCGCCCCCTAATGGTGCAATGAACCAATCAGAGAGCGAGCCATCCACAGAGCGTTTTTCAATGACGTCATTCTACTTGAGACTCAACATCTGAACAGACTGTAACCGTCTTCTGTTTTTTGTTTTCTCAACGACGAGGGAGGGAGAGAGAACAGACGGTTAGACGCTTGTGATGTTTTAGTCTATTCACCATTTCTTCCGACTTTTTAACAGTCTGGTTTTTAATCTCCAATTGTGAGGGAGTTCGAAAAACCTACCAACATGGACGACGAAATCGAACTGTCCGGCTAAGCCTTGATTAATTATACTGGTCGTCGAAACGCCGTTCTCAATACCAAGATCGCCATAGATACAGACCTTAACTTCTATCTTTTCCACCAATCAAAAAATAAAAAACCAACCTTATACGACTTTGGATTGGCTGGCAGGGTTTTGAAGTGGAAAATTCGGGATTCAATTTGATAATCTGAATTCTTAACTTCTTTTTATCCAATTTTAACAACAAAAAAAAATCAATTTTCGCTAATTTACACTCTTTGTATTTTATTAACTACTAACTTATGATAAATGCCATTTTTGGGCTCACGTTTGAAAAAAAGGCCGATGCGCCTTTATACTTTACTATTTTTCATAGTGTTCTATAAGATTTTCACAATTTTTTGTAAAGAAAAAACGAACAGTACTGAGTAGACGGCTTCAAATCGTGTAGCCGAACTCGATGGCTGTACCGAGTGATCCCTCCGAAGACCCATTTTTTGATGTCTCCAGTTTTTTTGACCAAAGAACTCAGAGAGGTTCCGTAGCTCAGGATTGAATCAACTGCAAATGAAGATTTTGCAGAGTATCAAAACAGTATATAGCTGATTCACGGCTGGCTTGAGTTATCGAAAAAATGGTCCTGACACGATAATGCACGAGATAGCGCCTGGCTCGGGGAGAGCGCAGACAGGACACGCCCCCTTAGCGTTCCAAACTGGCCGTGAATCAGCTATAATCCCACGGCCTTAGGAAGGCCTCAAGCCAAAATGGCCGGCCCAAAAACCTCAAGTTTTCTTCAAGTCCAATATCAGGCTTTTTTACGACGAAAAGTCAAGTTTTTGCTTTCTTTTTTTCTTTCAGAGTCCAACAGAAACTGTGATTTAACGACAGAAAATAATTTTTCGATATTTTTAATGAGTTTCAATTTTTTGCAAAGCATGACGAAACCCTAGCAAGGCCCGAGCAGTCCGGGCACTTTTTTGTTGAGACATCGGGAAGAACTGATTCAAAACACAACGCTTTGATCCATTCCAAATGCGGTCGCGGTGTTTGGACTTAGGATAAATAACGTGTACTTGAGCAATATAGCTGATTCACGGCTGGCTTGAGCCATCGAAAAGGGTCCTGCCACGAAAAGAGACGAGACAGTGCCCTGGTTGGTAGAGAGTGCAGACAGGCCACGCCTTTTTGCGTCCCAAGCTAGTCGTGAATCGTCTATATCACGATTATTACCCTTATTAAAAAATTTCCAGAAGATCTATAACTAGATTCAAAGCCGCTACGCGACCGCGTCGCTCTATTCACTCTCCCACAAAAAGTTCAATTGATAGAAAAAAAATTTTTTTTCTCAAAATAAGCTCATTTACAAGAAAATCAGGAAAAAAAGAAACTGAAATCAAACCATCATTGAAGGTGATCCATGCCACCGAAAGATCTAGCGGACCGTCATGGAAAGCCAAATGAACCTGTTCGGGAGCTGCCCAACTTTGGGCCAAAAAACACGCCAGCAGCCAAAATGGCAACATGTCCAAAGAAGTGATTCCTTTTTTTATCAAATCGTAAAGATTGAACTTTGACGTCATTTAGTGATAAAGATTGCAGGAAACGAGGAACGTCCAGAAGTTGACACTCCGAGACGAAAGTTGGGGATTTTTCGCAGGTTCTCCATTTTATTTATAATACACTTATGAAGTTGTAGAAAGCTTAAGATTTTATCTGAAAAAAACTCCAAAAATAAAGCTGGGCATCAATTGGGACTAGGTAAAGTAAGAAGGCAAGGTTGAAGTGAAAAAGAAACTCAAAAATACAGAAAATCATGAACAAGTTAAGGGACAGAATTTATCTAGTTTAAATCCATTTGAAAACTAGAAATCTTGAAAAAAATGAACCATTTCGACTTTTCTTTGTTCTTCTGAAGTTGCAGGATTTTTTTCTAAATTTTCACGAAATTTTTTTTGACGAAATGGGTATTTTTAAAAAAATTTTTCTCAAGAGGTTTACAAATACAAGAAAAAAAGGCAATCTGAAAAGTTTGAAAAAAATAATTCTATAGTGCAAATTAATGAAAAAATTCGTTAGTAAAATTAGGAAAATAAAATACCTCACGAAATTCACAATTTCTCATTCTCCAACCGATTCCCAAACTTCTCCATGTCTTCAATTATTCCCTTGGCACGGCTCAAAAGTTCCTCGCAAGCTTCTTCCACCGTCACTTGCGCGCTTTTAATCACTTCTTCTTTGTACATTTGGTAGTAAATCGAAATTCCGAACAAGGTGAACGTCGAGCAAAGCGCAAAAAGGTCCTCATAGGATTTGTGGACCTAAATTCACGTCTTGAAAAAAAAAAATCGAATTTCTAACTCACATCTTCGAGTGTAAATTTCAATTCATCCTTTGCAATTTTCTGAAGGCTGTTGTAGTAGTGTTCCAAATACCTGAAAGTTGAAATTCAGAAAAACGTTGCTATAAACTTTTAAAATTAAATTAAACATTTTTTTCGAAAAATAAACGAGAAAGACTTCTTCTACATCAAATTAAAATACTTACTTTCATAAAAAAAAGATTTTTCTTTTTGCGCTAAATTACCCGTATTTCGTGATATTTCGACACTTTATCCTCCCTTTCATAGTTGAAAAAAACAAACCTATCCGTATTCTTAGTCCTATTTTCATAAGAAGTTCCCAAAGTCAATATTCTGATAATATCGCTAACCATCGATCCTTTGCAAACCATCTGGAAGTCGATTACAGCGACTAACTGAAAAAAAATCGTTTACAACCTTATGAGAACAAAAAAGGCTCACATCATCGGTTTTTGATCCTTTTCTCCAAAGGACATTCGTGGCGTTCAGATCGGAATGTACCAAGACCCAAGGAAGGCCTGAAACTTTTATTTATTGACATATTTAAAAACAAGCACCTCGAATTCTGGGATGTTCCAACGCTTTCCGAACATAGTCTTTTTCGTAGGCCCATTTCAGATTCTCCAGTCTTCCTTTGAACCATTCTGGCCGATATTCTTCCAGATTCTTTGCTGAACTGAACTGAAAACAATAGATTAAGAAATGTATTGAGCAAATATTACTGGGGACTTCAAAAACTCCAAAATGAACTCGGAAAAATACGCTATTAGGCCACGCCCACTTCCACGCGCTTCACCCGTTTTGAAACGTCGTGGTTTATAAACGCGTTTTTCCAGCAGTATTTGAAAACATTAAAACACCATCATGCTGGTGTTAGCACGCAAGAAAAAAAAACTTGAAAAAATGAAATTTATTTGAAAAAAAAATAAAATTTTGGACTCCTACTGTAGTCATTACAACTGCAAATACAGTGACGCTCTTCCCCTAGGTTTTATTTGTTATTTATTTTTTTATTCATGATTCATTTTTCTTAATCAATATTAATCTTTGTGTTTGTTCTTCATGAAGCTATGTTATCCTCAATTTTAGTAAGGCGCAGTTGTTGAAAAAAAGCGAAAAAAAGTTTGAGACCTCGAATCGAAAAATTTTTCTTCATTTCGATTTATCGCTTTTATACTTTCATTTTTTTCTTCTTTTTTTCTTTGTTCTCGAAGGGATAATTTAGTTATTCTTATTAAATTTTTTTAAAAAAATTAAATTCCGATGAAAACTGCCTGAGTTTAATTTTATTTTTTTGCAGAGGCAAGGTCCACTGTTCATTACTCCACTTTTCATTATCTATTCATGATTTTTTCAGAGATCCTCTCGCCTATTTTGGAGAATAAATGCTGCTTTGAGTTGAGAACAGAAAGCTCAACGACAGATTTTTCCCAGCTATTTCAGTCCAGAAAGGTTAGTATTTTTTTTCTAATTAACTGAGAGATAGCACCGTAAGGAATCTGTTGTGAAGGAAATTTCTACGAAAAATTCAAACCATAGTGTCGGCAAATGATTCTTCAATGTTATGATCGTAATCGAATTGATCCACCCGCTCTTTTTGACTTCTGGGGTCAGAACTAGAGAAAGCTTGGTAGTGGAAGCCGGCCAGGGCTTCTAGTAGTCGGAGAATCTGGAAAGATCAAAATTACACAAAAATAGGGGAAAAGGGATAAAAATCATGTATATAACGGAAGTTTCACCATATTGGAAAAACAATTGTTTGGAATTCAAAGTACTACTGTCACCTGCCGTATATTTTTAAACTTCTTGGACCAACCTGAGGATCATCAAAGCCTGGAATATATTCAACTGCATACATCTGATCGGTTAAATCTTCTGCAGCCAATCCACCGTAACCACCATCACCGTAATCCTCACAGTAGTAGACTTTTGGGGTTGGAAAATTTGGGATCTTTGTTCCACCGTAGACGTGATGGAATAAGTTTTCTCTCTGAACGAGTCAAAATAATTTCCGGACCCTGAAAAAAAGAGTACCTTTGTAAAATCGATAAGCGTTGGAAGCATATCGGATCCGTCCGATTTCTCAGCATTTTTGGTGATTTTTGGGAGCTGCAAAAATTTTTTGAAATAGATTTGTGCTCTTAATTGAAATTCGAACATTCAGGAAACATAGACTTCAAAAAGAAAAAAACTTAGATAAACCAACTTTGATAAAAAGCTGGGTCGGATGTTCAGGCTCATTTTTCCACTTCAATTTCGCTCTGTAGATCTCGGACCAGAAACTTTTTGCGTTCTCGATTCTTTCAAACTCCACGGAGACCTTGAATTATTTTTGCTTTTAAAGAAATAAAGCTCTACAATACGAACCTTTTTCCCAAATATTTTCAATATCAGGAAACGACTTTTTCAACTAGGCGCTGAAGTTGTTCTTGGGTCATTTTTTTTCCTTAAAAAAAGAATCAGAAGTTCAGTTTACAAATAAAAACGAAAAAAATACTCCAGAGCAAATCTCATAGCCAGAAAAACGTTTTTCAAAAATAAGTTTTTCACAAAAAAACTTTAAAAAAATTAAAAAAATGAAGCCAAAGATGAAAAAAAGGTTTTTTTTCAAAAAGTTTTCAATTTTTCTTATGGAAAAGAAGGCAGTTATATGAATTATAAGCTAAACATCCACTATGAGGTAGTTCAAATGAGAAAACGTCTGAACAGAATTGAAAAAAGAAAAGAATTATTACTGATTTTAACAGAAAATTTCGGAAAAAAAAGCTTTAAAAAATGAGCCAAACTGAATCATTTTTCAGTTTTTTGAGCGAACTGTTTGTAAAGAACTACTTCAAAATCGAGAAAAACGTCAAAAAAAAGCTAGACAAAAAAAAAACAATTTTTCTCATGCAAAACTCATATTATTAGTCTGCAACTGAAAATAATTTTTTTTTCCAATTTTTGAGCCATGAATGAAAAAGTTGATGAAAAGAGTGCTGCAAATTGGAACCAAAGAGTTCCACATTGTCCGCCTGAATAGGGACCTTATCAGTTGGACCAGCCATGAGTGATATGATTGAGGTCAAATCACACTGATCACGTTTTGTTGCACTCGGAATTCGAACAAAATGTAGAATTTGTAGGTTCGTTCCGGAAGAAAAATTCATAATTCTTGTTCCAGAATTCTCATTTTTGAGAAAAAAAAAGTTTGCTGTAATGAGAGAAAAGTCGCGCTCAGTGTAAATTTCAAAAAATGCGATTCGAAACTGGAAAATAAGAGTAGTTTTCGAAGAACATTCCACAAGAAATCTTTGAAAATTTCGAACCGAACAAATTTTCGATTTATTCTCATGCATTTTTATGATAATTTAAGAATACAGTCATCGGCAAAAACGGATCGAAAAGGAACTTTCTGACCAGAATAATAAGAAAATACAATTTTTACTGAATCACACAATTTTTCAAATTTTTCAACTTTTTTATCTCGTCAGAAATTCGAGAACTCATGGATAAAAAAAGTCTATTTTACGGTAGTTTTTTTAAATGAATAATTGAAGTAACCTCTAAGAATTACGAAAAACGAGAGAAAAGGACAAAAAAGTAATAAAATGCATTTCAAAAAGTGCAGACAATTTTTGACCGTCAAAGATCGCCTCGATCGATTTGGAGAGCGGGGAGAACGGCGGCGGCCAAAAAAAGACTCTTTTGTTATTTTGTTCGACAGCAAACTAGATTCAAGTCGAATTAGGTCTAGTCTGTTCAATTTTCATAGTTTTCCATCATTTAGTTGAGGGGAAAGGTGAACGTTTGACAATCCGTGTTTCAAGGATGAAAAGAAAAAAACACACTATTAGCCTTGCAGAATTTTTGTGTAGGAAATCGCGAAAACAATGGACAGGGTCAAGTACCTAATCTTTGACGTGAAAAACGCTGCTTCATTTTTGATAAATAGAAATTTAGAAAAAATTTAAGTTCAACTGACCTCCTAATAATGAGTTTCTCACACGCGAATCGGCATGTCATTTATTCATTTCTAGTTGAAACCAAAATTTGAAGCTGCCAGAATAGTATAGTTCATTCAAAAATCTTTGCCGTGGTTTTTAAAAGAGCATAGAGTTATTTGATAAGTAAAGGTCTTGAGGCGAATTTGTTAAAAAAATATTATTTTAGGTAATTTCTTTGGGCTCTCTAGCAAGGTCTTCGCATATCCAATGCTTCTTTTTTTGTAATACCACAAGAAATGAGTAAAAGACGCTTCTAGAACGAAGAAAGATTTTTTCTGACCCACAAAGTGATAGAGATTGAAGGTTCAAATCCCGCTTCAAATGAAAAAAAAACCTGAAGCTTTCTTGGCTTTCTCGATGTTTCTTATGCTTTTTTTTATTCCGCTTGATTTCTTTTCAAACTGCTTGGTATATCTTTTTGTGTTTTATATTTATGTTTTTCGAAAACTGTACAATACTAAAAAGTTTATAAAAGTTTCTTAAATTGCCGTATCTGGTCGCGTTGTGATGTACTGGGCAATCTCAGGAATCTCGTGGACCCGCTTGTGATAGTTGGCGATCTGAAAGTTGAGTGTATTGAATTTACAAAAAAAAAAAAAGATACGAAAAAAACCTCAGAATGTTCCTCCAAAATTTTGGGCAAAGCCTTGTGAAGCGAAGTTATGTGGTCAGCGATCCAGAGATCAGCATAGGTTATGCCACTGGGGGCGATAAAACCTTCAATTATCCATTAATTTTAGTAATCTGTTATTTTCGTTGTTTGACTGAAACACACCTGAGCCCGCTTTTTTGATCTGATCCGTAATTTTCGTGTACCATTCGGGTAGGGCTGCTTCAAGTTCTTTCAGCAGTTTTTCCTGAAAATTTGAAGTTAGATCAATTGAGCTACTTACGCCAATTCTATAGCCAAAAGATTTTCATTTCGCGAAATGGAAAGCTGGAAAGAACAAAAAGAATGGAACATTAATTTTTTTACCTCTTTCAAGTTGTAATAAAAACAGCTGCTTAATCACCCTCTTTAAAAAAAGCTCATTCTGATTGGTAATTGAGGAAAGTTTTTTTTTTTATTTTGTTAAAAGTGATAAAAAAAAACATCTGCAGTTTCATTGACGCACATTCAGAGCGACAATAGCTTCAAAAAATTTATTTTGTGATCCTTTTTAAATTCCTTTTGGACGAAAATATGTCTTTCTCGATTTGGGATAATAAGTCTACCCGAAAATCAAATTTAGTAAAAGGAGTATGAGAAGAAAAAGGCCGAATTCGGGGTTTTTTTCTAGCTGTATCGGCTGTTCTTATTTCAGAATTCGTACTTTAAATTTAATGTTGAATAAAACAAATCCTCACCTGTTCCTCGGCCGGTTTTCCCAACCGAACCGCCCCAGAATAGGCAGAATGAGAGTCCATGAAAAATTGTCGTTGTTGCTCGGCCCAGCTGTCTACCAATAGCTGCTCTTCAAGGTCTTTTCCGCCGTGTCCTAAACGATTTTGTTAAATGTTAGGATTTTTTCGAATCACCAAATTTATGAGCTAAATATCTAGTAATGGCCAGCGATTGATTGTACACAACGCCGTCGATTTCTAGAAGCGGAACTTTGCCGAAAGGCGTGCCTAAAGTACCCTTTATATTTTGAAGAAGGAAGTTAGAAAATACTTGGTTTCCGATCAAGCCAATCTTCGAACTCTATCCGATCATCTTCAAATGGAGTGTGAGACAGGTGGAAGAGCTGCAAAAGAATAAGTTTAAGGAGGAAAAACAATAATTCTCAGGAATTTCAAAATTTAAGGGAAGTCTGGAGAAAAAGCTTCAATTCCAAAAATTTTTAATAGAGAGGTATCCGATCTGATCGAACTATACAATTTTTAAAACATAATTATCACTTTTTGGATCTTCGCGTTTATCATTTAAATTTCTATATGATTGTAGGAATGGCTTATCTAAAAAACCGCACCCGACTCAAAACGATTTTGGAAGTAAGGCATCGGAAAGCATTAGAACAAGGTTGCCGCGGCGCTTCAAGACATTCTACGAGCGGACACGGCCAAGTCGTGAAAATTATGAGGTATTTCAACACATTTTGAACGTTCAAAGTGAAACCAAAGAGCCTACCAAACGAGCTGGCTCGCCAAAGCCACGAAGGTTGAAATAAGTGAATTTGTAGTTGACCATGACTTCTGCGAAATTTGTCAAAGTTTCGAAAAAGACAAGGGAAATCGGTCTTGCTGGTCTTTTATAACAACGTTTCCCGCCGCTATTGATTTGCGCTCCCTGATAAGTGGTCATTGATCTATTTGTCATCATCACACAGCACTTGTTGGAATATTTGTTGATTTTTGTTTCCCGCGGGAAGTTCTGTACTCGATGGACTCACGAGGAAATTCCTACAAAGAGAGATCAATTGGAGTGAAAATTGATAAAAGAAGCAAATCAATCGGAGACATTTTTAGTAATTTGACAAAAATAGCTCAAATTTTGTTATAAGGAAATTAGAAATGCCCTAGGAAAGCTATAGTTTGAATAAATTATTTTTCAATCGTCTCCAGCAGAATCAGAGCTACTTTTTTTAGATCTACCATGAAAATCGTTTCATATTTCAAAATTCAGTTATTGCATCAAATTTATAACCCAAAGAATTTTTTTCGGGTTTCAAGTTTGAAAAAATTCTTGGGCTTGAGATATTAATTGAGAAAGGGAACTCAGTCGAAAAATTCAGGAATTCCAGCCTGATTAGTTTAACCGCTCATTACTCGAAGCGTTGCGGTTGGAATATATTTTGAAGTCTATAAGTTCTTTTAATACCTCTGCGCGTAAGTTGTTTCTGGTCGGTCGCAACTTCAACCAAAAGTTGCCTTTTGATTTATTCAAGACACTAATTGACCGAGTTTCATCCGATTTTTTCTCTGTGGTCTTACTACAGCTTCAATAAACACTCTTATACCCTCCTTCTAGGAAATTATAAAAATTTGAGGTTCTTTCTTTATTTTTTCTTGTTTGCATTAGTAACGCTTTCATTTCGCACCTTAATTAATTACCGGCTTTTCTCTAAATACATCTTTTTATTCTTCTTTTCTTTTTTCGGATCATCGGCCTCTTTGCAAACCTTTTCTCTATAAATTTTATTGCACATCGTTAATGCTCGAAAACTTCTACTACAGAGCTTTCTTCGAGATTTTGTCATTTTTCGGGTACATCGCAACTTGTTTTTCTATATTCACAGTCGCCTTGAAATCGACGCAGGAAATGAAGCTCTACTAGATTTTCTTGCTGAATTTATTCGTTCGAAAGCGGAAAAATGGCATTTAAAATGACTTTTCGTGAATTTTCAGGGCTGTGAGTTAGTTTTTAGTGTTACGGCCACTTATTTGTTATTCCCCGATGTTCCAATTTTTCTCTTATGCCACACCGAGGACAATCTTGGAATGGCTTACAGTTCCCGCTCTGACATGTGAGTGTGATGCTCTTAGAAGCAGTCCATTCCATGTGCGACCTACGGCTTCAAGTTTCAGCGATGAGTTTCAAATTTCAGTGCGGATTCACAATTTGTGCCGGCTTAACAATATTCACGGCAATCGATGATCGTTGCATTATTCGACTGATTATTGTCCTTCAGAAATCTACTACTATCGACTTTGTGTTTTCCAAAAGGTTCCTATCGGGTTTTCGATCAAAAAGCTTTGTTTGATAAACTCAGAGGTCTTCTCAGTATTATTATAACCAACCTATTCATGACTGTACTCGTAGCGTTCCGCTATGCCGAATAAGGTACTTTCGAATCGGTCGCACGGAGAATGGCTCAACGCGATACGGCTTGAAGTTTCACCACTACTTTTCCGATTTTCCATCACTTTTGTCATCGTTGCTTATCCAACTGTTAGCTGCTTTATAACGTTCGTCAAAAACGTCATTTTACATAATAATCTCCACTTTAGGTTTTTTTTTATCCAGGCTTATCGGAACTATCTACTTTTGTTGTTAGGAAAAGTGCCAGTTATTGGAAAATCTCGAGATTTATCAAAAACTTCGTCTATTGATCAGATAAATATTTCCATAACTACATCTTCTTAACGTGAAAAAAACCTGTATTTTTTTGACTGTCTTCTCATAGTATCTGTCAGCAGGCATAAAACCAGCTACCATGTGCCAAGGCGCCGCCAGGAGCCAACAGCCGCCATAGCTCAGTCGGTTAGAGCGTGGGTCTAATAAGCCCAAGGTCGCAGGTTCGACCCCTGCTGGCGGCAAATCTCTTTTTTCTCAAGTTTTCTTGCAATAAAACTACATAGAACTTTATTTTCAAATATACACAGAAAAAATAATAATTTACTGATGATCGCCTTGTTGATTGGCTTCAGAGCTGTCGTTCTGTTTCTGTTTCTCAGCCTCTTTCTGAAAATTATGAGGGGCATATGGATCATTTAGCGCCTTTTTTTACCTTCTCTTTGATCATGAGGTAGTAGTCAACCGCGAAATAGTCATTGGGAACGCTCAGATTGACCGGGACCAAGGCGCCGTTCATCATCTCAAAAATAGGAGATTTATGCTTGCATTTTTAACTAAATTTCTTTTTTTTTTATAATTGGAACGTACCCTGGCGCAGGCGGCAAGGTAATCATCGACAGTTTGGTTCTTTTTGATCAGTTCTTCGTCTACTTTTTCGGCAGACAAGAATTGCGGATAACGGCAAATATTCCATTTGTTGTACTCGAGTTGTTCGCCGCTGCAAGTTACCTTTACTTTTTCAAATTGTCGGAAATTTGAAAGGGATTTCTCTTTTTCATTCCTGTGGTTAGTTTTTATACCCGAAGATATAGTTTATCCATCTCACCCCCAAATAGAGTATTGTGTTAAGAGCCAGCTTGTGAATCTTATGTTCCAATTTCGGATCCTATCGGTGCTGATTTGTTTTTTTTTCTAGGCATTTCTTCGAATTATATCATAAGAAAGCAAAATAATTAATAAAGAAGATGGTCTACCATATACCATGTGATATCTTAGCTTATTCTCAGACTGTATGGAGCAGTGGGTAGCGTGCCCGCTATTTGTCTAAAACATCAAGGTTCGGATCCGCACGAAGTTATTATTATTTTCTTTTTTCAAGCCGTTTTTGAATTTTTACACTAAAAGTAATAAAGAAGAAGAAAAACATACAGAACTTTGACGAAATGTGCGCGGAACTCTGGAAGGATCTCGAGAGGCATTTTAGGGATCAGCCGCCGTGGAGAAAATGCAAGACTGAACAGTCTGACACTGATGGATCTTATCAAAGGCCAGACGTGTTGGGTGGAGAAAAAAGAAGGCGTTCTTTGATAACCGCAGGCGGTGCTACTTTTTTTTCTTTCGAGGATGCCCGGTTCGACGGAGAGAATTATCAGTGGCAAAGTTTGCAGACTAGAGTACTCGTTCCGAAAAAAATACGAAAGAGACGTTCGATTCTTTAAAAGATATCTCTAGGTATTCTCAATTTGACTAGTCTTAAAAGTCAGCTGTTCACGGGTTTTCAACAAGAAAAAAACAAAGAGAGCTGAAGTATCTAACCTTGGGATTAGGTGGAAGGAGAAATGAACCCGATTTTTTTTTAGAAATGTTCCAAATATTTCAAAATTCCACGTGCATTATGGGTTCGGCTAGTTGCAGCGTCAAATAGATGACAGTTTTTTTTAATTGAACATCAAGATATCGGATCAGGATTTTTTGAGTTGTTGAACTTCAACATAACTTGATAAAAATTGATTTTCAAATTTAAATCTGGTTATTCGCAGCAAGCGTGTAAAGAAAAACATTGAAAATAGTTCTAGACCTTTTTTATGCTCAATAATTTATTTGAAAAGCGTGAAGACCTCGTTGTAAAATTTTTTTCAAAGCCAATGGTGGATAGACTAATTTTTCTATCAATCTCTACTTTTCACAAGAAAATTTTTTTCTTTCCAGGAATAGAATCATAATTTTGTAACGTCTTGATGAACTACCTCTGAATCGACTTTTTCTGAAGAACTTCATTTTTCTGTTTTTTTCTCCCTAAGAACAGCTTTTGTAACGTTTTGACGAAAAGTTCAGCTGGTATGACCTTTTCCGATCTATTATCAACAATCGCTACCCTGAATGATTTGAGAAACCGTACGTTTTTGCATTCCAGTGCAGAAAAGTACACCGCCGACGGTGTTCTTTTTATCAAACTTTTATCGTTTTGCCCCCGTGGCTTCACCGTTTTATCGCATTTCGTCGCCAGCCATTAACCCGTCGATAAAATAATTAATCTCCTGTCAAATGCTGGCTTTATGGTTCCCTTTTTTATCATCTATTTGAAAGGGTACAGAGGAATCTCTTGACTGTGCTCTTAAATAAGTAAAATTATTTTTTTGGCTTTCCAAAAAAATAATGATCAAAATAATACAATTTCATGGAAAGATACAATTCAAGAAAAATAAAGTCGAAATAAATACAGAAGTTTTGAAAAACGACCTGATTTATTAAAAAACCGAGAAGAATTTTAAAAACCCCCAAAAATAGGTTTCTTTTTGTCCGGAAAAATGAACATCTGGTTTTTTTGGCCCACGAACATCAATCATTTTCGCGCCAACGAACAGCCAAAAATACGGAGATTCACGTGAACTTCAGAAAGTATATTGATATGACATTGAATTTCAGAGAGATAAGAAAAACGGGAAATTTCCTTTCTGATGTTCCCGAAAATTACAAAAAAAGATGACAAATAATGTTTATAATTTTTCAAAGTTATCGAAATTTGCTTTTTCAGTGGTCAGCCAACACGAATTTGCGTGAGTCGTTTTGAGGTCAGGGTGCAGCTTCTCAATTATCGCTTGAAACGGCGACCAACGTGTTCCAAGTCGGTCATTTTCATTATGAACAGGAAGCTATAAAAATGTAAATTTTGTGTCCCATTACAGTTCCTACTTTATATCATAGTACTTTATACGAAAAGTGCCTCAAAAGCCAAAAAAGATTTTCAACGACGGCATCAATTATCGCTGTAATTTTTTTAAATTCCTTATCTTCTGTCACTAATCTGTTGGCTGTCGCGTTGGCTGCTGTTGATAATGAGGAAAATTGCTTAGTAAGCATAACAAACGGATTTGATAAAAAATGGAATGGTGATTCGGTCATTGAAGTTGGGAAATGTCACGTCAAGGTACAAAGTTTTTCAATAATTCAAGTCCGAATGGTGAGGGGAAAAGGTTCTTGATACAACTCCTAGAATTTCTGCACGCCCTTGGAAGTTATAGAGCCGTTTTTAGTTCTGTAGAAATTATCACAACTCTGAATACTAGGGCGCATGAAGTATTTAAAAAATAGTTTACCTTTTCGTAGACTAAAAGACTATTGAGAGACAAAAATGATTTTTTTTTGACTAGTAATAATAAGTTTTCACGGCATCCAATGAAAATAATGAAGATGACATACTGTTTTCTAATCATCAAAAAGCAAACTTTTTTCTCCAAGTTAGCGATGAATTTTCTTTTGTCACTTTACCGAAGTTCTGAAAATTGGGAAATGTTAAAATCGTTTGCTTGATGTTCTGCGAGAAGTTGATAGTAACCCCCATGATCTGTTTTCCATTATTCATCTACTACTTCATCTTGTACTCCGTTCTAAGCATTCCAAATATGTTTATCTTCATTAATGGTTTACTTTGCCTTAAGCGTCATCTGATTTTTCTAGATTTGGCTCCAGCGTTTTGCTCCAAGTTCGACAAATTGGTTGAGATCGAAACCGACAGTAATTATAACTGTTTTATAGTTATATTGCAATAACGGTTCTTTTTTCTATCTACTTATCACAGTTAATCACTTTTTGCGCATTTGGGAAGGTGTTGTCATCCACCAGGTGGTGACTGGACCTCCTGAATATTTGAAATCTTCACACAGATTTTTGCAACGTCAGTTCGAATAATTCTGTGTTTTTTTATCCGAAAAAGCGCAAAATTTCCATGGCAAAGATCGGATTGAAAGCCTATTTTAAGACACAACTTGTGAGAAGCAGCAGAGAAACAAATTAATTAGGCGGGCTCATTTTGAAATATTGGAAGATGACAAAAAGTAACTTTCTTTCATATTGACTTGTCATAGCAGCTATAGAAAAATCCGCTGGATAGGATATTAGGATGAAAAAATACACCTGCTGAATTCATTGTTTCCTTCTTAAAAGTTCTGAGAAACTGCGGTGTCCTTTCGAAAATGTCAAAACTTTTTTTTTCGTTCACCTGTCCTGACTTACGCATTTCTCACTATCGCCTTCTTTTTCCTGATGTTCTGCGAAGAATTTATAGAAATCCCTGAAACGCCGTTCCTTCGAATTCTTATTTTTATTTTCATAGTCGTTGTTCTTTTTGTTCTCTGGATTCATTACCACTTTCTAAAGATCCTCCACGAGACCTATGATGAAGATCGCCAGGTTCGTAAAAGATATCGACACTGTCATAATCCAGGAAGTTAAGCAAAGTTATTACGCCGCCGTCCCATGCTTGGAAGCTTTGTCCCTTTTCGGCGCCCTCGGAATGTTGTTCTGCTTTTGTTACCTGCAGTTTTGCGCCCCATCATTCATCTACTCTCTATTTTATTACTTCGTTATGAGCATTCCAAATATGCTCATCTTCATCGATAGCCTACTTTGTCTCCAGCGTCTTCTGATTTTTCTAGAGTTGGCTCCAGCCTTCTGCTCCAAGTTCAAATTGTAAGTTTTACTGAAAAGTGTGTTCATTTTTGATTTTGATTTTCAGTTTCATCGGACTCACTATTTCCGTCTCTGTTCCTCTATCTCTTTGTATTACATTTTGTGCAGTAGGGATATTTGTGCTTTCCCAAGAAGAAAAAGATGAACCCGACGAGTTTTTGCAAAGTATTTTCTGTTTTTGCAACGTCAGTTTCATATAAATGTTTTTCTCAAACATGACAGTATTACAGGGCATATCAATAGGCAAGTCGACTGTTTCTTCAGCCACCTTGCTTGGATATGTTTTTCTTTTGTGGCGTATCCAGAAAATGCAAAAATACTTGCCTTCATCACGATTTCGACAGAATAATCACCTTAATATCATTCTTCAAGCACTTCCCATTTCTTTCTATTCTTTCTTGATTTTTTTTTCTTTTTCAAACATTTATATCATAATCCGGGAGCTCAAGATGGCACATAAAGTAGTTAGGTTCATGTGCGACCGCGGCGCTCGAAGTTAGAGTAGTTTATTAATTTTATTTTTCAGTTTGGCTCATTCGACATGTACACTAGAGTTCTCAAAAAGTAAATGTTTGAACGAACGTTCAACCAAACATTTTTCTGAACGTTTGATGAATTCGACCAATTAGTTAAATTTCACATGAACCGTTTGTTAAAAAAATTTCATTTTTGGTTAAATTTCATAACTGAGCATTTATGAACAATTACTTATTTTGCGAAAAAAATTTTTGTTTAAAAAAATGAACATTTAAATTTCATTTTGAAATTTTTTTGGTCAAAAAAAGTAAACATTTAAAATTCATTTCGGAAATTTTGGTCAAAAAAATGAACATTTAAATTTCACTTTTGAAAAAAATTTGGTCAGAAAAAGTAAACATTTAAAGTTCACTTTGACAATTTTGGTCAAAAAAAGTGACCATTTACTTTTCACTTTGAAAAAAATTTGGTCATTAGGACGAACATTTATTTACTAGTCAGAATATGATTGTTTTAGAAAATGACCATTTATTTTTTTCAGTCATTATTTGAAAAGTCACAAAATGAAAAAGAATGAAAGTGATCAATTTTTGGTTGATCTTTCAAAAACGACATTCGTTTGAAATGTCAAAAAGAAAATTTTTCGTTTTTGAAAAATGTCATTTTTTTCAATTGGTCATTTTGAGAACTCTAATGTACACTAAAATTTTGGATGAATACGTTCCAGATGAGTACTTCGCAGACCGAGAATTTAACTTTTTAACGTATTTCTCCTGCACATTAGCAGGTAAATCACGAATTTTGAATACAGAACGAATGATAGCTTCAGGTTTCATAGTCCCTTGTTCTTTCATCATTGGGAACTCGAAGAAACGGAAAATTTTCTTGTCAAGAATCGGATGGAAAACGATTTCTCGAAAGGCAACAACGAATGTGATAAGTGTGAGAAGCAGCAGGGATAATAGTTGATTGTGGCAGTTGATTTGAAATCTTGAAACATTATACCGAATAAACTTTTCATTTTCTTATCAGAGCAAATCGATCAGACACAAAAGAAGTTGACAAAAAGGGTCCTAAAATGAAAGAAAGAGCCTTGAAGGTTTCGAAATCACCTGCTTAATTCATTGTTTTCTCCCTAAAGGTTATGAAAGACTGATGACTGATCCTTTGAATAGATTTTTTCATTCACCTGTCAAAACTCCGCATTTCTCACTATCGCCTTCTTTTTCCTAATGTTCTGCGAAGAATTGGTAGAAATACCCGAAACACCGTTCCTTCGATTTCTTCTTGGTATTTTTATAGTCATTGTTCTTTTCGTTTTATGGATTCACTATCACTTCCTAAAGATTCTTCACGAGACCTATTATGAAGATCGCCAGGTTCGTAAAAGATATCGACACTGTCATAATCCAGAAAGTTAAGCAAATTTATTACGCCGCCGTCCCTTGTTTGGAAGCTCTGTCTCTTTTGGGAGCCCTCGGAATGTTGTTCTGCTTTTGTTACCTGCAGTTTTGCGCCCCATCATCCATCTACCTTGCAATTTATTTCATCGTTATGAGCGTTCCAAATATGCTTGTCTTCATCGATGGTTTACTTTGTCTCCAACGTATTCTGACTTTTTTAGAGTTGGCTCCAGCCTTTTGCTCCAAGTTCAAATTGTTAGTATTACTGTGAAATGGGTTTTTTGTTTCTTATTTTAGTTTACAGTTTCATCGGACTCACTATTTCCGTCTCTGTTCCTCTATCTTTTTGTATTACAGTTTGCACAGCAGGAACATTCATGCTTTCTCAAGAGGAGAAAGATGAACCCAACGAGGTTTTGCGAAATACTTTCTCTTTTTGCAGCGTCAGTTTTATTTAACTTGTTTTTCCATGATTTTTCAGGGCATATCATTAGTCAAGTCGACTGTTTCTTCAGCCACCTTGCTTGGATATGTTTTTCTTTTGTGGCGTATCCATAAAATGCAAAATGACTTGCCTTCAACACGGTTTCGACGGAATAATCATCTTAGTATCATTCTTCAAGCTCTTCCCATTTCTTTCTATTCTTTTGTGAGTTTTTTTTAACATTCCTGTTGTAGTGTCCAGATTTCACCCCGTAAATCTACACCATTTCAAATTGCCGCGCATTATTAAGATGTGCAGGCCACCTTCACAGTTACACTTCTGCGCAATCGCGTAACGCGATTGCGTCCTACTTTGTTGAGTTTCGTTTTCACTTTTGTATAGAAGTAAATAGTTAGTTACTAAAGTTGTATATTTTCGCACTATACAACAATTGGCGATCAGGTAGAACGTATTCCGCGTGTCTACAATAGTTTTTAACCGTAGTTTGAAAACTTAACTTTAATTTTGGTCAAATATATTAATATCGGGTTTTTAACAAAAATTATTTATTTTTGTTTTTACTTATAGGTTGTTTTCATTAGATAGGTTTGTACATAGAGTAGGTTGTGTGTTTATATTGGTGCGTTCGGTAAGACCGAAGAGAGACCCGTCTTTCCACCCAATTCCCATCCCAAAACAGCGTCCTCCCGCGCTGTAAGCGCTCAAGTTCAGTAATTTCCATTGTCTTGAGCCACTAACACAACCCCAATTGAAGTCCCTTTCATTTCCCAACCTGAAGCCAGTTCATTCACATCCCCGTTCCCTTCTCTCAATCAGTTGCGTAACTTTCTTGGATTGTTCGAACTGATTTGAAGATGACCAAGACCACCCCCGACGTGAATGAACTTGTCAGATTGATAAAAAAGCAACTCGCACTATACAACAATTCCTATCATAGTTCGGAAGCTCATGGTGGCACATGAGATAGTTGTATTCAAATGCGACCGCGGCGTTCTAAATTTGTGTGTTTTATCGTTTTTTTTTTTTCAGTTTGGCTCGTTCGACATGTACACAAGCATTTTGGATAGATACGTCCCAGATGAGTATTTCTCACACCGAGAGTTTTACTTTTTAACCTATTTCTCCGGCACATTAGCAGATCGACTACCAGTTTTGAACACAGAGAGAAGAGAGCTTTAGGCTTCATAGTCCCATGTTCGTTCATCATTGGGAACTCTAAAAAACGGAAAATTTTTATGGCAAGAATCGGATGGAGAACTACTTCTGAAAAGGCACCAACGAATGTGATAAGTGTGAGAAGCAGCAGGGATAATAGTTGATTGTGGATATTTTTTTTTGAAGTCTTGTAAAATTATAACGAATAAACTTTTTTTATTTTCTTGTCAGAGCAAATCGGTCAGACATTCACCCGCGGAAAAAAAGAATGACGAAAGTGACGTAAAAATAAAAAGAAAAAAAGAGCCTTGAAGGTTTCGAAATCACCTGCTGAAGTAATTGTTTTCTTTCTAAAGGTTATGAGAGGCTATTCCTTCAGAAAATTTCAAAGTTTTTTTTTCATTCACCTGTCCAGGTACGAATTTCTCATTATCGTCTAATTTTACCTAATGTTCTGGGAAGAATTGGCAGAAATACCCGAAACGCCGTTCCTTCGATTTCTTCTTGGTATTTTTATAGTCATTGTTCTTTTCGTTTTATGGATTCACTATCACTTCCTAAAGATTCTTCACGAGACCTATTATGAAGATCGCCAGGTAAGAAAGACCGATTTTGTCATAATCCAGGAAGTTAAGCAAAGTTACTATGCCGCCATTCCATGCTTGGAAGCTTTGTCCCTTTTGGGCGCCCTCGGAATGTTGTTTATATTTTGTTACTTGATGGTTTGCAATTCGTCATTCATTTTCTATTTGATCTTTTACTTTATTCTGAGTATGCCAAATATGGTGGTATTCGTAGACGGAATGCTCTGCCTTCAGCGTTTCTTAATTTTTTTCAATTTGACCCCAGCCTTTTGCTCGAAGTTCAAATTGTTAGTTTTACCGGAAAGTGTTTTCATTTTTTCAAACTTTCATTTACTGTTTCATTGGACTAGCTCTTATGTTTTTCGCTCCTTTATCTCTCATTATGACATTTTGCACAGTAGGAATATTTTATCTTCCTCAAGAGGAGAAAGATGATCCCGATGAAGTTTTGCAATATATTTTCGGCTTTTGCAACGTCAGTTTAATGGAAAAAATTTCTTGTTTTAATAATTGAAGCGTTCTAGAGCTTATCGTTTGCGAAGTTAACTGTTTCTTCAACTACTCTGCTTGGATATGTTTTTCTACTGCGCCGTATCCAAAACATGCAAAAGTTGATGCCTTCCCTACGAGACCAGCGAAACAATCATCTCAACATTATTCTTCAAGCTCTTCCCATCTCTTTTTATTCTATCGCGAGTTTTTTTTTGTTTTTTTTTTTCGAACACTCCTAGGGCTAGCTATTTGGAAGAAGTTTCTCGAATAACTCGACAGTTCATAATAAAAAATGTTTTGTTTGTTTTTCCAGTTTTTCTCATTTGACATTTACACCATGATTTTGGATAAATACATTCCAGATAAGTACTTCTCAGACCGAGAATTTTATTTTTTAACATATTTTCCTGCTCATTGGCAGGTCGGTCGAACTTCTTTGAATTCTGAAAGAATGAGAGCTTTAGGCTTCATAGTCCCATGCTCGTTCATCATTGGGAATTCGAAGAAGCGGAAAATTTTCTTGGCCAGAATCGGATGGAAAACTACTTCTGGAATTACAACAACGAATATCATCAGTTTGAGAAGTACCAGTGATCATAATCAATGAATTTGTTGAAGTTTTATAGATATAAACTTTCAATAAAAATTTTTTATCATTTTTTGTGGAAGCAAAATCAATAAAGAGAGCTGCAATCAAAACAAAAATTGCTTTATCTTACAAAATTGGCTGTAGATCATTAATGTGAGAAGTGAAATTTCTAACTGCAAAATGGAAGTTTGTGCACTGGAATAGTCGAAATAAAATCATCGAATAAATTTTTAATTGTTATCTTGTCCAAAAAAATAGTTCCTGGTTTTTTGCAGCTGTTCAGTTTAGATCAGAACATCCGCAAAGTAAGAATTTCTCGCAGACATATAATTTCGAATAAAAAAACACATTAGTAATCTTGAAATCACCTGTGAGTTTCGCCCCTTTCTCATCAGAACGGAGTTCACACAATGTTCTGTGAGAGCTATGTGCCGATCCCGGAAATGCCTTTTCTTCGACTCTTGTTTGGTATTTTCGCAGTCTTTGTTTTATTCATTCTATGGGTTCACTACAACTTTATAGGGATTCTTCATCAGTGCTATGACATTGATCGTCAGGTTTTCATAGGAGTTTTTACGTGAAAGTTCTCCTTTCTGGTGTTCAGCAAAGCTACTACGCCGCAGTTCCGTGTTTAGAAGCTTTGTCCCTGATTGGAACACTTGGAATGCTGTTCATATTTTGTTTCTCTATGTTCTGCGCGCCTTCAGTTCTGTTTTACCACATTTACCATTTCATTCTGAGCATTCCCAATATTTTCATCTTCGTTGATGCCTTGCTCTGCCTTCAGCGAGTTATCACCTTCTTTGGCATGGCACCTGGTTTCAGCTCAAAATTTAAAACGTGAGTTTCCACTGAATGTTAATTAACTTTATTTTCATGGCAGATACATCGTGCTAACTATTCTGATCTCAATACCCTTATCTCATGGAATCAATCTTTGTTCATTCGCTAGAATGTATATATCTCAAAACGTCACGGATCTCTTTGCAAACAATACAGAGACTACCTACAAAATATGCAACGTGGGGGATTTTTGATTTTTTTAAATTAAAATATGAAGGTTGCGAAAAGAGTATAAAGTGACTTCAAAAAATGTCTGAAGCTGTTTTCCTCTTTTTTAAATTCAAAAGACAAAAAAGGCGGTTAAAAAAAGAAAGAAAAAATAACTTAAAAACTTGTTCAATTTTCAAAAGGTCGAATTCAGCTTTTCAGGGTTTATCCATGATAAAGATTGTGGTCTCGTCAGGCACCCTAATTGGATATTTCTTCCTTCTATGGCGTATAAAAGACATGCAAAAATTGATGAACTCAGTTCGAGATCAACAAAAAAGTCACATCAGCATCGTTCTTCAGGCTCTTCCCATTTCTATATACTCCTTTGTGAATCAACTTTTTTTCCAACCTTATAGGGAATTTGTTTCAGTTCTTCTCATTCGACATGTACGCTATCATTTGGGCAGAATATTTTTCCCTAAACCGCAATATAGTAAGAACATTTGACTACATCGTGGAGTTCTCTTGCACCTTCGCAGGTGGGACTTAAACTATCCAAGTTTTGAGAATTTGCCTTTCAGGTTTGATAGTCCCGTGCTCGTTCATCATTGGGAACACAAAAAAACGTGAAATGTTTATGGTCAAAATTGGATTAAAACCTACTTCTCGACTCGAAACCATCAGTATAATAACTATAAAAAGCAGCATTGCAAACACTTGATAAGTAGAGAGACTGTTGAAATAAAATACTCTCTTGTTGAGAAAACTTAATTTGAATCAGATGGGCTGCGGAGAAAAATCTTACGGTGACATTTAATTCGAAAACTGCTTGAAAAGTTCGAGTACCACCTGCTATGTCGCCGTATTTCTTAACAGAGTCTCGTTTCAAAATGTTCTGTGAAGAGTTTATTCCAATACCAGAAACAACATTCTTACGAGCTATTCTTTGTTTTTTAATATTTATTGTTTTGTACATCCTGTGGCTTCACTTCTCATTCGTACAGATCCTTCAGCAGTGTTACAGTGAAGATCGTCAGGTACACGAATTTCTATTTTTAATTTGGAAAATGAAAAAAAATTCAGCAAAGCTACTACGCCGCAGTTCCTTGCTTGGAAGCTTTGTCTCTTCTGGGTACCTTTGGAATGCTTTTCGCCTTTTTGTTTTTGATGTTTTGCGGCACATCACTTTCCTTCGTACTTGTTTATTACTCCATTTTGAGTATTCCAAACATGATAGTTTTCGTTGATAGCCTGCTCTGTCTTCAACGCTTTCTAATTTTCTTTGATTTGGCTCCAGCCTTCTGCTCGAAGTTCAAGATGTTAGTGTAGACCAACTTTTCTTCCAGTTTTCCAACTATTACAGATACATTGCGCTCACTATTTTATTATCTACTCCAGTTTCTCAAGGTCTCACTTACTGCGGTGTTTTGAGATTTAATATGCCTCGACAGAATAACAACACGGATGATGAGACTGGGATCAATATATACAGAATTTGCAATGTTAGTTCAGTGTCTAGGAGTTCGATTTATTCAAGTTCCAACCGTTCAGGTATTTTCGATAATAAAAATGACTGTTTCGCTTGCTACCTTAGTTGTTTATGTCTTTCTTTTATGGCGCATTCGAAGTATGCAAAAATCAATGAGTTCAATACGAGATCAGCGTAGAAATCACATTTCCATCCTTCTTCAAGCGCTTCCTATTTCTTTATATTCTCTCGGGAGTTTTCTTTTCATTCTCGACATCAGAAGTTATGCTTCAGGTTTTCTCATTCGACATGTACACAGGTCTTTTAGCCAAGTATGTTCCAGAGAGATACCTGACAGAAAAGGTTTTTTTCCGTCTGTTAGATTTATCTTGTACACTAGCGGGTTCGTCAAAAACGTTTTGAGCTTATAAATTTGTGATTTACAGGCTTCATAGTCCCGTCTTCTCTGATTATTGGGAACGCCAAAAAACGCATTTTATTTCTCTCTAAATTTAAAATAGGAGCGAATCCAGTGAAAAGCAGCAACACGATAAGTCTACGAACCACTAGTAACGTTTACTGAATCCTAATTTTACTTAAAAACTAATTTTTTTTTTTGGTTCTATTTTTACATGTTTGAGATTGGCTTTTTTTTTGTTGTTGATGAAAACCTGGTTTATGCTCATACCAATCGAAATGAATTTATAAAAGACTTTGGATAAAACTTTTCTACATCAAAATATCGAAAAAAATGGGCCTGTGTAGTAAGTATTTATTAAAGTTTTGACTTTTCGAAAAAGCACCTGCTAATTTAGCCCGTTTCTTGCCGTAACTCCTTTCTCTCTTTTTTGTTTCTCAATGTTCTGTGGAGATATTTACCCGACACCAGAAACACCATTCCTTCGAACTTTGATTTTTGTTGGCATAATATTAGTTTTATTTATTTTATGCGTACACTACAATTTTATAAGGATTCTCTGTAGATCTTATGAAGAGGATCGTCAGGTGAAGGAATTTTGAGATAAAGTGTTTTTTTTTCTTTTCAAACGGGTTGGTTTAAGCAAAATTACTACTCCGCCGTTCCATGTTTGGAAGCTCTGTCTCTTCTAGGAGCTCTTGGAATGTTGTTTATTTTTTGTTACACAATGATTTGCATACCTACAAAATTATTTTAGTTTATTTTTTTATTCAATTACCAGCATACCAAATGTAGTAATCTTCGTGGATGGACTACTTTGTCTTCAGCGTTTTTTGATTTTTTTCGACTTGGCGCCAGCCTTTTCCTCAAAATTCAAGTTGTAAGTTTTGACTGGAACTTCTTGTTTTCTCATTTCAAGCTCTTCACAGGTACATCACGCTCACTGTTTTGTTATCTGTTCCAATATCTTACGCTATAACTCTTTGTGCAATGGCTAGAATAACTATGCTGCGAAACGAAACGAATTTGTTTCTAAGCGTTGAAACAGCTACCTACAGGTTTTGCAATGTAGGTTACCAATTGGTTTCGAAGCATCGAAAAAGAAAGAATTAACGAAAACCGTCAATCTATTAATCTCCAGTTGCTAATCTAATCAATTTTTTTTTGTTTTTTTTATTCATATATGTAATCGAATAGACGGTGAACAACTTCCAAAGCTATAGCGAACAACCGCCCTGGGCGATTGAGAAAGCTCAAAGGTATTGGTCAAGCTGATAGCATGGTTCTCCGTTCATTTGTTTCGTACTCGCAGACATATAATTTGATCTTGAAGCTGCAGCCCGGAGACCGTGCTCTAGGTGGAAGCCTCAAATTTTGAGCGACAACTTCGAGGGAAAACTTTACATGAAATTTACACGGAATTATAAGGAATATTCGAAGAAAAAGTCATCTTATAACTAAATTCCAGAGGACACCAAAAATCTATCTATGTCTGGCTTTACAGAGCTTATCGATGTTGAAAATGGCAGTTTCGTCAGCCACTTTATGTGGCTACATTTTTCTTCTGTGGCGCATCCTAACTATACGAAAATCGATGCCAACGATCCAAGGTCAACAAAAAAATCATATCAGTATTGTTCTGTTTTCGTTAAATCGCAAACCGCTACTCCCTGAAGTCATTTCATGACATCATTCGTAACACAAGAAATAAGCGTAATCGAAATATTTGGCTATATATTCATTTTATTCACGTGAACATGATGCAGCAGATTATTATTATCTCATTTCATCACGTCGACTAGTCGGTCTCATTGCCGCTCTCGCATGGGAATATTCCGACGCCCGTCAGCCCAGGACAAGCTGCGCGCCGTACTGTTCCAACATGGTGAAGCAGTTTATTCGCTGGTACTACCAACGGGCCCACATTATTTCTCAACTGTCACGCCGGGACTTATTGGACAACGATTGTGGACCGAAACCCGCGCCGACGACTAACTCTTCGATTATACCATGATTCAGCAGAGATTTTCTTCACCTTACTCTGAAGACTGAATAAATTGATATGAATTGAAATTGAAAAAATTGAAGAATGGGAAGAGCCTGAATTGCGCCTTTGCATTAAAACTGCGCCTACAGGTTAATGCATTACTTAAGAAAATAGGCTTAGTTTTAAGGCTTCACACGGAGGCGGAGCGCGCATAGCGCGAAGCCGACTGTGGCTCGCTTCGAAAAAACTGAGCCACATTGAAAAATTCGTCAAATAAATGAATACTTGACATAAAAGGAGTTTTGTTTCAAAGCGTGGACACTAATAACACTATCAGGTAGCTCTAAACGATTTGCAAACTTGATACGCGTAGCGAAAAAATCTGCGAAATGTATTTCCCAAAAAAAAAAAGAAAGAAAAAATATTAAAGGAGCATACTGTGCGTAAGCGTGGGCCTCGACGCCTCGGATTATTCCAAATCATTAAAAGGTTTCTAAAAAAAAAGTAAGAAAATAGAAGAATTAAAAAAAGTTTCCAATCAAAAGGGGATTTTCAAGTGTGATATCTTTCTGTTTATCATGTGACCCGAAAAGTTTTCACGTCGAATCTAATTTATAAATTGGAACGTAAAAAATGAATAAAATGATATGGCTGCGTGTGCGAATTTTGCAAATGAAGATGATGTCATAGGGATGACGTCAGGGAGTAGCGGTTTGCGATTTAACGCGAAGTGTATTGTTCTTCAGGCGCTTCCTATTTCATTATATTCATTTGTGGGTTATTTTTTTTTTGCTAAAGGTGATGATCTTTAGTTCTTCTCTTTCGACATGTACACAATCGCCTTGGTCAGATATGTTCCAGTGGAATACTACTCAATCAACTCCTTCTACTTTGTAATGGAATTTTCGTGCACATTAGCAGGTCCATCAGGAGTCCTTCTCTTTTGTGAAACAGAAGCCTGCAGGTTTCATAGTCCCGTCTTCTTTTATCATCGGGAACTCGAAAAAGCGAAAAATGTTCCTGTCCAAGATTGGAATGAAAGTAGCCCCTGGTATGGAAAACGCCTATACGATCAGTATGAAAAGCAGCAGTGATCCTGGTTTATGAAAATGTTTTCATGAACATTTGTGAATTTAAATAAAGGTTTTTTTTTTGAAATTTTTTTTGAGTATACGTCAAGCAGTTTCCATCACACCTTTTCTATTCGGGTATCACCTGCTTCTCTTTCTCTTTATTCTTTCATTCATCTCAAAAACTTTGTTCACGAATGTTCTGTGAGGAGTTTATTCCGATCCCAGAAACTCCGAAACGGAGAGCTATTCTCGGCTCTCTTGTGCTCATTGAAATATTAATTCTATTGATTCACTACAGTTTCATCAGGATTCTTGTCAAATGTTATAAGGAAGACCGCCAGGTTTCGAGAGTTGTCGAAAGTTAATTTTCTATTTAAAAAGTTAAGCAAAGCTACTACGCGGCCGTCCCTTGCTTAGAAGTTTTGTCGCTTCTTGGAGCGTTCGCAATGATTTTTTGCTTCACTTACTTTATGGTTTGCACGCCGACAACCTTGTTTTATGACATTTATTATTTGATTCTGAGCATTCCGAACATGCTCGTCTTCATCGACGGGTTACTATGTCTTCAGCGTTTCTTTATTTTCTTCGACATGGCTCCAAATTTCTGCGGAAAGTTCAAATAGTTGGCTATCACTAGTTTTACTTTTCCATTAGAATGAACTACAGCTACGTCGTGCTCACTCTGTTCTTGTCCATCCCTGTTTCTTATATTATCACTCTTTGTGCCATGGGAAGATTGATCTATCCAATAGATCAGGCAGAGAATTTTGAAGAACTCGGGAACAATTACTATCGGTTTTGCAATGTAAGTACCTGATCCCCTTTTTAATGTTAATGAAGGAAAATATTGCTTTTTTCCTCCGTTTGTGGCGAGAAGAAATCAAAAATATCATTTCTAGTCGTTCAGATTTTCTCGATGCTGAAGTTATTTGTCTCATCAGCTACCTTGACTGGATATGTTTTCCTTTTGTGGCGTATTCGAATAATGCAGAAGTCAATGCCTACCTTGAGAGATCAACAAAAAAATCACATCACCATCGTTCTTCAAGCTCTCCCTATCTCTTTCTATTCTTTCGTGAGTTTTTTTTTGTTTCATCTTAACGCTATCGTGTGTTTTAGTTCTTTTCATTTGATATGGTCACTATCATCTTGGATAGATACGTTTCTGAGGACTCATACTCAATAAATACATTTTATAACTTGGTTGGCTTTTGCTCCTCAATAGCAGGTTGTTGAGCCTTGTTTTTTTTTTTTATCGAACTCGTGATTTTAGGTTTTTTAGTTCCCAGTTCATTCATCATCGGAAACACAAGAAAGCGTAAGATGTTTTTGTCGAAAATGGGTTTCAAAGTTCATCCTGAAGAATCAGACGGCAATATTACCACCATGCGAACTATGACTGATAAAATTTGATAAAGAATTATTTATGAGTTCTCACTGTAAAAATCATAGCATATTCATGTTAACTACACCGTTTTTCTCTGAATCAGCCAGAAAGGGAGTCAAACATCACCCTTCAGAGTTCAAAGATTTTCAAGCAAAGCGACAGGCTGAAAGTTTAAAAAAAACATGGTTAATGTTTAAAAGTCTTCGTGACATTTTCTTCAACTTAATCTTTGTGCACTCAAAAGCACCTGCTCGATTTGATTCAAGAGTTAGTAACCGACTTTTTTTTTCCATTCTTACCCAGTAAAAATGTTTTGTGAGCAAATAATCCCGATACCTGAAACACCAGTACGTCGAGCTATTCTCGGTTCTATTATGGTCATTGTTCTGATCATTTTATGGATCCATTACATTTTCATCAAAATTCTTCGTAACTGCTTCAATGAGGACCGCAAGGTAAAAAGTTCTTTTTTTTTTATTCAAAAAGAAAGTCAAGCAAAGCTACTACGCCGCCGTTCCTTGCTTAGAAGTTATATCCCTTTTGGGAGCTTTTGGAATGTTGTTCAACTTCGGTTACTTGATGATTTGCACGCCAACTCCCTTGTTCTTCAACATCTATTATTCAATTTTGAGTATTCCGAATATATTAATATTCGTGGATGGGCTACTTTGTCTTCAGCGCTTTCTGACATTTTTTGATTTGGCACCAGCTTTTTGCGCAAGGTTCAAGCTGTTAGTTTTCATTAAAAAAAGTTCACCGGAAGTTCAAATCTTTTACAGTTTCATTGCGTTCACGATTCTACTTTGTAGTCCGATATCTCTTTGCATCACTCTTTGTGCAGTCGGCAGATTACTTCTACCTCGCGAGAATTCGAAGGACTTTCAAGAGAATGGAGCTGCTTTCCTTAAGTTTTGTAATGTTGGTTTGTTGATTTTTATGGTTTAAAAAACAACAAAAACCCTATTTAACTGCAATTATCTTGTGTTCACAATCAGCATTTTGCTCAAAAAATTTTCCCCAACTGTTCAGACCTTGTCGATTTTCAAAATGACTGTCTCAACGGCTACCTTAATTGGATATGTTTTCCTTCTGTGGCGTATTCGAAGTATGCGAAAATCCATGCCTTCGGCCCGAGTTCAACACAGAAATCACATTAGTATTGTTCTTCAGGCCCTTCCAGTTTCTTTCTATTCATTTGTGAGCTGTTTTTTTTTTCAAATTCCGTATGTATTTTTTTAGTTCTTCTCCTTCGACATGTTCACTATCATTTTGGCCAGATATGTTCCAGAAAATTACTACACACTGAACACATTCTTCAACGTGATTGGCTTCTCCTGTACCGTATCTGGTTTTGGAAAAACAAAAACTCCATGATTTTATGAAAATTTCCACTTCAGGTTTCTTAGTTCCCTGTTCATTCATAATAGGGAACACGAAAAAGCGAAAAATGTTCTTGTCAAAAATCGGATTTAAAGTGAACCCGTCAATCGAAATAATTAGTGTGACGACTGGCAGAGACACACATACTAATAATTGAAACAGTTTACTGCTCTTTGATTTGAATAAAGGTTTTTTTTGTCTCGAAAACTTTGTTAAAATACAACAGCTTCAGTTTGAAGCGTGTATATGTAAAAAAAAAATCTCCCAGGAAATGAGGTTTTGTGGTGATAAAATCTACTTTTGAGTTGGTTTTCAAAAGTCTATTTACAAAAATCAGTAAAACAGCCGGACTCTGGTTTTTTTTTGATCCTCTACGGAACAACTTTATTGAGAAATTGAGACTTGCTTATTATCAAAATTCGAACTATTATATTTGATACAAATGTTGAATCGGTTCTCATTCAAGTTTTTTGAGAGCTATTTCGAAAACAGGTCGCGTCTTTGAATTTTGAAGCGGCTTAATAGAAAGAAAAGGCAAAAAAAGATTTCTTCTGGCGATAGTCGTTTTCGGTTTGAGTCAACATTATGATTTTCATGACTTCACTTAACCTGAAAATCCTATTCCATATAATGTCAAGAAACACGTCAGCAATCAAAAAACTCACGGTTATATACCGAAAAAAATTCAGGCGAGATTCGATGGAGCACAGACCTTGAAAGTTAAGAAATCACCTGCTAGGGTTTCCCCATTTTCTCTTCTAACATAATTATCGAATGTTTTGTGGAGAATTTTTTGCGATCCCAGAAACGCCAATACGTCGAGCTATTCTCGGTGGCCTAGTGATCATATGTTCAATCATCCTATTGATACACTACAATTTTATAAAAATCCTTTACAAGTGCTTCAATGAGGATCGGAAGGTTTGCGAGAATTTTCGCCTCTTTCTGGGCAGTTTTTCTATGATCTTTTCCGATAATGTTTGATAGATTGGCATTGAAATTTGAATTGTATAGGATTTCTTTGACTCTGATCGTTAAAATCCGACTTTAAGGCTCACCAAACAAAATGATCCTTTTCATAGGATTCCCAGTTTGATAGAAAGCTGGAAGTTGCTCCAGCAAAAATTTTTCTAAAGGTCACGTTTTTTTCGTTTTTTTTTCACAAAGGGCAGCCACGAAAGTTTAATAGTCGTCAAAATGAAATTTAATTGAAATTATAAATACATAAAACTTTTCAAAGAGCTAGCTTTCATATGAGCTCATATTAAAAATTAAGCAAAGCTACTACGCCGCCGTTCCATGTTTGGAAGTTTTATCACTTCTGGGAGCTCTCGGAATGATATTCATCTGTTGTTTTTTCATGATCTGCACTCCAACTTATGAATTCAATGCTCTATATTATCTTATTTTGAGCATTCCTAATATGCTCATCTTCATTGATGGCTTACTTTGTCTACAGCGTTTTCTAATCTTCTTCGAGATGGCCCCAAAATTCTGCTCGAAGTTCAAAACGTTCGTTTGGACCGTGAATTGTTTAAAATTCTTACCTTTTTCAGCTATACTGTAATCACTGTTCTCTTCTCTGTTCCAACGTCTTATGCTATAACCATGTGTGCTATTGGGCGCTTAATCCTTTCTCGTGATAGTTCTGATCCACTTCAAGAAGTCTCAGTTGCATTTTATCGGTTCTGCAATGTTAGCTTTCACTTTCTTTTTCAAACCTTCTAAGAAAAAAAAGCGCTTTTTCGCCAGAACCAAACTTTTTTTTTAAACAAAGAATACTATCCCCAACTTTCCAGATTTTATCTATTTTCAAGTTAACCGTCTCCTTAGCTACGCTATTTGGATATGTTTTTCTTTTATGGCGTATCCGAAGAATGCGAAAATCACAGCCTTCGGCAAAAGAACAACAAAGAAATCACGTTAGTATCGTTCTTCAGGCCCTTCCGATTTCTTTCTATTCATTTGTAAGTTTTTGCTACTTTTGTTCAAATTCCGTATGTATTTTAGTTTTTCTCATTCGACATGTTCACTATCGTTCTGACTAGATATGTTCCGGAGGAGTACTACTCAATTAATACATTCTACAATTTGGTTGGTTTATCCTGTACAGTGGCTGGTTTATCTAACCTCATTCGGACTTTGGGAAACTCAGGACTTCAGGTTTCTTGATTCCATGCTCGTTCATCATTGGTAACACGAAGAAGCGGAGAATTTTCATGTCGAAAATTGGACTCAAAGTCAAATCTGGATTGGAAAGTACCAATGTGATTACTGTTAAGTCCAGCACCAATAACCACTAAAATCCTGAATAAATATGAATAAAAATAACCTGATTAGGACAATTCTTCTTACATCAAAATTTCACGAACAAACCTTTGTGTAATTACATTCAAATAACTACTAAAACCTTCAAAACAGTATGATTGTCCAAATGAATCCAAATGAAAGTTCCAAAAAAAAATCCTCCGGAGCTACACAGCATCAAATTTTTAATGGCCAAAAACGATTATTCTAAAAAATGCTGTTATTCTGGCCCTTTCCAAAAAAAAAAAAGAATCATATTTTCATTCATAATCTTTGAACGCTTTTTAGTTCCCGAAGATTGAGGGTTTGAAGATTTGAGTCAGCCTCCTGGGTTACGTTAGAATTTAACCTTTCCTTTGACACATACCTTCATTTTCAATAATCACAACATTTTTTTCAAATTATTTCAAACGATCTGCGGCGAGTTTCTTGTTCTCCCTGAAACTCCAGTACGCCTAGCTGTTCTTGGGATATGCACATGTATTGTTTTTATTAATCTTTGGCTTCACTACAGTTTAATAAAAATTCTTTATCACTGCTATAATGAAGATCGCAAGGTTCTTTGAATTTCCATGGCGATAATTGAAAGGTTTAAGCAAAGCTATTACGCAGCCGTTCCTTGTTTGGAAGTTTTGTCCCTTGTGGGAACTCTCGGAATGTTGGCAATCTTCATTTTTTTGATGAAATGCGCACCAGAATCCTCCTTCTATCCGATATATTTTTCCATTATGAGTATTCCCAATGTTCTCATTTTTGTTGATGCCTCACTTTGCCTCCAGCGATTCTTGATATTTTTCGACTTGGCGCCAGTTCTCTGTTCAAAGTTCAAAACGTGAGTTATTACGGAAAATAGTTCTTCATCTTCTAGACATTTTTCAGCTACATCTTTCTCACTATATTGTTTTCTATTCCGTTATCTTTCAGTATAACTATGTGTGCAGTTGGAAAAGTAGCTTTTCCTCGCGTCGAACCGATCGAGTTCGAAAAAGTTTCGTTCATCTTCTCTAAGTTGTGCAATGTGAGTACTGAAGATATGATGTGAGAATAAAAAGCCCTGAAAAGTCTTTTGACGCCTTGAAAAAAAACCTATAAGTAACTCTTAAACTACTTTTTTCAAAACTTGAAATTTGTGCGCTGCAGACCCTATCAATGATCAAAATGGCGGTTTCATCAGCTACCTTTATTGGATATGCTTTTCTATTATGGCGTATCCAAAATATGAAAAAAACCATGTCATCAGGAAAATATCAACAAAGAAACCACCTTAGTATTGTTCTTCAAGCTCTTCCCATTTCATTTTATTCTTTCGTGGGTTTTCACAGTTTATTTAACTTATATATTTTTTTCCTCAGTTTTTCTCTGTTGATATGATTGCCATCGTTGTTGCCAGATACGTTCCAGATGAAACCTACTCAATAACTACTTTCTACCTTTTAATCAGCTTCTCATGTACGACAGCAGGTTTCCCAAAACTATGTTCAACTCTTGAGAGTTGTGATTATAGGTTTCATAGTGCCGTGTTCTTTGATTATTGGAAACACCAACAAGCGGAAAATGTTCTTGTCAAAACTTGGATTCAAGTTCACGACCGCAGTTGGGAAGATCAATGTACTTACCGTTAGTATGACCAACAGCAAAAAAGCAAGTTAATAACGCAATTGGATTCAATATTATTTCTCGATGAAAAATCCTATCGACGTTTTTTGAAATGAAATGAAGTCAGAAAGTTTAGACCTTCTTACCAGGTTAATCTGACAGTTGCTATGGGATTTGTCAAATATTTCTTCAAAATGCCTTCACCTGCTGAAATTGTTCATTTGTCTCTGGAACTTCGTTAGCGAATGTTTTGCGGCGAAATATATCCGATCCCAGAAACCCCATTCCTTCGTTTCATCATTGGTATTTGTATAATTGTTATAATTTTCATCTTATGGATTCATTACAAATTCCTGAAGATTCTCTACCAGTGCTATAATGAAGACCGAAAGGTTTGTAGAAAGGTGTCTAGTTGTGAATGCCATGTTTTGAGCAAAGCTATTTTGCCGCCGTTCCTTGCTTGGAAGCGTTGTCCCTTTTGGGGACTTTTGGAATGCTGACTACTTTTTGTTTTCTGATGTTCTGCGCGCCATCGAAGAGTCACGAACTCTTCTATACCATCATTTTGAGCATTCCAAATACGCTTATTTTTGTGGATGGCTTGCTCTGCCTGCAGCGAATTTTTATTTTCTTCGAAGTAGCACCATCCTTCTGCTCTAGGTTCAAATTGTTAGTTTTGAGTATTGATGTTCGTTCATAATTTGAATTGCACAGCTATCTCGCTCTCACTATTCTGATCTCCCTCCCGATATCATATTGTGCCACTTACTGCGCAATCGGAAGATTAATCATCCCTCGAGCTGAAAACGCTGAATTTGTAACTAACATGTTCCATGAGTTTTGCAATGTCAGTATCTGATTTGGTTATCAAAAGGCAAAAAAAAAAGTTTGAAAGCATCCGTTGAATTAAGCTGACAGTTAAAAAAAATAATTTTTTTTTGGTTCTGAAAAGATTTTTTTAGTTCATTGCAATGATAAAGGGAACAGTTTCTTCATCTACCTTATTATGCTATATTTTTCTACTGTGGCGTATCCGTCGGATGCGAAAGTCAATGACTTCCCTAGATCAACAAAAAACACATGTTAGTATTGTTCTACAAGCTCTCCCCATTTCATTATATTCATTCGTGGGTTTTTTTTCATGAATCTTTAATCATTTGTTGCATTCCAGTTATTTTCCTTCGACATGTTCACTATATTTTTGGTCAGGTATGTACCGGATAAATACTACACAATGAGAATTTTCTACCTTCTAGTCAACTTCACCACGACATTGGCAGGTTTTCCGAAAGTGATCAAAGTTTGTGAGAACGATGTCTTCAGGCTTCATTGTCCCATGTTCATTTATCATTGGGAGCTCGAAAAAACGAAAAATGTTCATGTCAACTATCGGTTTCAAAACCACACCTGGAATCTTAAACGTAAATGTGATGAGTACGACCAGCAGTGATCATACTAACTGATCACCTTTTCGTTTTCAAACTAATCTTGCTCATTCATACAACTACTTCTAAAACCACCTGCTTCTTCGCCCATTTTCCCTTACGGCGGCGTTCCAAAATGTTCTGCAAGGACCTTTTCGTAGTCCAAGAAAGCCTATTGCGACGAGCCATATTACTCTTATCATTTATCAGTGTTTTATGCATCTTATGGATTCACTATAAGTTTTTGAAGGTTCTCTACCGGTGCTATGATGAAGAACGCCAAGTTTGTTAGAGTTTTTTGAATGTTTCTATTTTTTTAGCAAAACTACTACCCCGCAGTTTATTGCTTGGAAGCATTATCATTCTCGGGGACCCTTGGAATGTTCTTTGATTTGGGTTTACGCATCTTTTGCATAAAACCGGATGATTTCTATTTCTTGAATTTTTTTATCTTGAGTATTCCAAATACGCTGATTCTTGTCAATGGATTATTGTGTCTTCAGCGCTTCCTCGTGTTCTTCGAGACGGCGTTAGTCTTTCTGAGAAAGTTTGAAACGTAAGCTTCAAAGAAATTATATTTTCAAAACTTCGGTTTCCTTACAGGTACATTGCGTTCACTGCTCTGATGCTTTTCCCAATAACATTTTGTACCACTTTTTGTGCGATGGAGAGCATTCGTATTTCTCGCGGGGAACACAATATTAAGAGCAGATTTTCCAAACCTTGCTATGTAAGAATGAATGAGTTTGGAAAACTGTCCAATTCACGAAACTTGAAAGCATATAGCCAATAAAGTATATGTAATGAGACGAGAGAGGCATCTTGAAAGAGCTGTCTCCCGAAACTTACATAGAACTGCAAAGTATTTGCTTCACGTTTTTTTTAAAGTAAGGAAACTTGATCAATTTCAAGTAGTTCGTTTGACACACAAAAAGAAGCTTTATCTCATTTTACGCCGGTTATATACCGTCAGAAATCAAAACTTTTCCGAGCCTAATTCAATTTTTCATTTCAAAACATTTAGGCCTTAAGCAAGTTGAAGTTCGTATTTTCATTCGCTACTTTACTTGGTTATATTTTTCTCTTGTGGCGAATCCGATACATGCTGAAATTGAGAACTTCTGCAGAGAATCAACACAAAAATCATATCGCTATCGTTCTTCAAGCATTCCTCATTTCTTTCTATTCTTTTGTAAGTTTTCTTTTGTTATTTTAAAACATCGAATAATTGTTTCCAGTTTTTCTCATTCGACATGTACACTATACTGTTGGTTAGGTACTTTTCGAAAGGATTCTTCTCAGAGAAAAGTTTCTATTTATTAACCGACTTTGCCTGTTTATTAGCAGGTTAGCAATACTGAAGGATGTCCAAATCTCGAACCTTCAGGTTTCATAATCCCGATTTCAATGATCATTGGAAATTCGAAAAAACGACAAATGTTCCTTGGAATCAAAGCTATCCCTGCAAACGGATAAATTGTTTTCCAACAAAAAACAGAAACTTTTATTCAAAATCTCAAAAGCTTTCCACCACGGAAATCACTTCCGATTCTTCTTCTTCTTCTTTTTCAGAACTTCCTCGCTCTCGGTCTTCAGGATGCTTAATCAATGGTTATATTGAGGATTATTGGTTTTTTCAAACCTTAACAACGTAATAAATATAACAAAAAGTGTCCTGTTGAAACAAAAAAACATATGACATAAGTATACAAAGTCCAAATGTAGACGGTGAAGGCAGAATTATAACCAGCATGTCCTGAAAAATTGAATTTTTTCATGAAAAGCGAAACATAAATATTCACCCAAATAGAAGAAAAAATTAAAAATTTTAAGAATTCGGTATTTTCAAGGAACTACATTCAAATACATTATATTCAAGAAAAACAATTGAAAAGTGCGCTCTAAGACTAGTTTCGCAAGTTCTTTTTTTCTTTTTTTCTCGTCCTGGATTTTGTCTGAATTGAATAAATACCTTCATGACGGCAAAAGTCTGACACAAGGCGTTGTGAACACCAAAAACCGTGTTCCTTTCAATCTCAGCCACATTGACCTGCATGATTTGAGTTATCGAGAGGTCTAGCATCCATAAACCTAAAAAGGTACCCATTTTCTTGGTTTATAATATTTTTCAACCGCATCGAGCCGTTGCGATTCCAATAAGAAAAGCGAAAATACTCGCTAGACTGTGGCCATTTGAGGTGAAATGCTTCCAATCCACTTGAGGGGCCTCTTGGGTTGTATTCGTGCCATCAAACGAGTGTACCATGGCGCTCCACCAGCTCTGAATGCGTTGATTTTTTTCGATAGTAATTTTTGCGCGACCGACATCCAATGAGTTGAGCGTTGCTAAATGATTGACTTAGGGCAAAAATCTCTCCTATTTTTCTGTTCTCTCGCTCTTGGCCAAGTCATGAGAGTCGGGCGCAATCTTATAGATTCATTATTGTCATCTTTGTGACAAAAGACTTTTTTTCCACCCGGCCAGAACTTCTGTGACTCTCGCGTTAAGGTAATCTCAACAACAAGGCATTGAAAGATATTTTCGTAATTAACTCCACCAGACTCATAAAACTAAAATAAGAGCTATAGACAACAGAAAAGTAAAAGAGCGTTTTGCCGCGTCTTATAATGATGAACCTGGATAGTGACGTTCGAAAAATAGCCCTTGAGATCCATCGGCGTTCCAGGCAAGAATATCGAAGAAACTGCGATTATTAAGCAAATTTGTTGAATCTGAAATATTGGAAAAGAAATGAATTTTAAAAAAAATTCTCACCATAAAACCAATAATTCCAGTCCTTCGAACTCCATAAATCCTTTCGAAAAATGCGTAAGAAATCGCTCCAGTTATACCCATCACTGAACCGAAAGATCTGTAATTATTCCTCTTTTAAACATAATGAGCCTAAATTTTTACCTGAAAGCGCCTACAACGACTTCAGGTAGACCTGCAGACATTCCATAACCAACCGCCAACTTTTAAAAAATATAAATTTTTCCAAAGTTTTTGAGCTTTTCAATACCCCATCGAAGCCCATGACCGACATGAACAGCAGAGCCATTCCCAATGCGGCAGAAAAGACGGTTGTGCGGTAGTAAGTCTTGATGACGCCGAAGATTCCGGTTGGTGCTTCATTTTGAGAGATTAGGTCGTCTATAAGGGCTTTTGGTTTTTGGAAGTGTTGATGAAGGTGGGAGAGAAAGTATGGTGGCCTGAAGAGACGCCAGAGTAAGATAGATCTCTGGTTTCTCTGGCTTCTCTACTAAACTACCATTTCTCTGGAGTCTCATGAGGCATCCGTTAATCTCACTTCCGTTTTTTTTTCCTGTACCAACCACTTTCACTATCAGAACTTTTCCGTCGTTTTTCCTGTTGTAGTAGCGGGTTATTCATGTAAAGGGACCGCAAAAAGAACGTTTTCGATAACATTGAAACGATTGAACCGGCGGCGAAAATTCCACACGTTGTTCGGAGGCTTGTCAAGCTTACAAGGGCCTGAAAATCGGTTTGGAAAAGTTTTTTCAAGTGGAAACTACCCCAGTGATTATTGGAGAAATCACGTTGGCAAACTGATCCAACGTGGTCAGAGTCGCGTTGAGACCTGATTTTTTTTTAAATTTATCATTTTTCTGAGAAAAAGATACCGGCTAAGGTCTCACTGGTTCCCAGGACCACAACCCAATCTCTACCGACGATAAACTTCTCGGCGTTTAAAAATAGTCGGTTCACCGCACAGACAAGCATTCCCAAGGCCAGGCATGTGGGAAACCAAACAGATCCTTCGTCTACCGATAAACAAACTGTAACTTATTTTTTAAGAGGGAATTTCCGCTAATTTTTACCAATGAAGAGTCCAGCCGCCAGGCAAATACTCAAATTGTTGATTGGAACGACTGTGAGAATTGCTAGAAATAAAATAAATCAATTCATAACTGGAATCATTGCTCAGGCTCTAAAATGATTATTTTTCAAGACCTGGATAAAACTCCGCCTCTAAAATCCATGGATTTCTTTTTTGGAATAGAATATATACCTGTTTTTCTACTCAATCGATCGAAAATCTTCCCCAGGTAGCCGCTGAAGATCATTTGGAAAGTTCCTTCAGCAAATTGTTCAATGGAAACTATACGCATGCCGCCAATCAGTTGCATACAAAGACTCACGCAAAATGACCAGGCTCTGTCTTCCTGAAAATGGAAAAAAAAAAATTATTTTCTATTTTTTAAGTTTTTGAAGCTTGGAAACTTGGAGAAAAGCTCGGAGATTTTATCTAGTTTCGAAGCTAGAGAGCAAACTAGTAAATTTTTTTTAAAGTTTTTCTTTTTTAACTCGTCTTTCGATTCATTTCAAGTAAAAAAGAAACTTACCAGACATGTTGAAGTGTAGGCGGCGTAGAGATACAAACTTTGCCGACTCCAGCGACTTTTCGCGATTGTCATGGGAATTAAGAAAAAAAAAATTATCAATTTGAAAGATAAGAACGGTGCAAATCAGTGTGATTTTCTAGTTTCGAGGATGGAGTTTTAGAGAAGGTCGCGGAATTTGTGAAGTTTCACTTCAAATGAAGCAAAAAGAGAAAGTTTCTTATCACTGTGATCTGTTTTGAAGGTCCGAAAAATCCGACCCGTACCTGTCTTTGGCTTATTCAAAATATTTGCATAAAACGGTCAAACTACTTTGGTAGAATTGCATTAAACATGTTGACTAACATTATTATTGGCTATATGAGCATGGAAACCCTTCAAATTTCGAATTAAGGATAAAAACATGATAAATGATATTTATGTAAACTTTTGAATAAAAACAGAGTCTTGAGGCTTTTTTTCGCTGGTATCGAAAGATAGATAGTTTTGGAAAAAAAATTCAAAGCTTATATATGCTTTTTTTGTAGTTTTCACATACTTAAGGGTTCAGGGAACAAGCTTCTACTGTTTTTTTCAAAATTCAACAGCTATTTTATTTTTCACAGACTTTTTCAAACCATTTTTTCTACAGGTCTCATCGGCAGTGTCTAAGATCAATGATTCAACGTAAAAAAAAATCATCTAGTGGAGCTATTATCATTCTGATTTTTGCCCCAAAAAACAAAAAATAATAAACGTGAACACACAACTTTCAAAAAATCAAAAACGTGCCGAACTCGCCATTCCGCAGCGAGAGCTCCACCTCGAGAGGACAAGCTTCTTCCAAAAACATGGACCGTAGCGTCGACCGTCGTCTCTGTGGCCATTGCCACTCATCCATCGGTGACGAGGTAAGCAACAAAAAAGAATTTGATCTCGGGCGGGCTCGAACCGCCGGCCTTCTGTGTGTTAGACAGATGTGATAACCACTACACCACGAGATCACCTGTCGCTCTTTGCAGGCCATCGTCGCCATGAACCGTCTCTGGCACCCGGACCACTTTGTCTGCACCTCTTGTAAACGGCCAATCAAGCAGACTTTTCAGGTCCTTACTGATATATTTTCTTGAAATCTTGAAAATTTCAGGCAGCTGACAATCACGCCTATTGCGTTCAGTGTTTCGCTCAAAAATACAACCCGAAGTGCGCAGGTGATACTTTTTAAGAATTGTATAATTGAAGGTGAAAAATCATCAAAAGACAGGGAAGCTTAAAGGAACAACCATATTAGCCTGAAAAAAACTGAAGAATAAATATTAAAAAAATGCGTAAGAGTGAATTTTTTTGATTTTGAAAAAAAGTTCTTTGAGTTTTTTTCTCATTTTTGACTTGATTTGATGAGCAGGGATAGTATTGAAAATTTTACGCCTTTCAATTTTGTTAGAAAAATTAATTTTTTTTTTGTTGGTTTTACATTCGGGCATATAGCGTCCTAGGAAAAGTTTTTGCCAATTCGCGCTTCTGAGATTTTCGAAGATGAAAAAAAAGACACTTTCTCCTCAGGATGCCTGGAAACGTTGGTAGACACCTGTCTTCTCGCTCTGGACCGCCACTGGCATCCTCGATGCTTCACCTGCTCCAGCTGCAACCGACCGCTTCCCAATGGCGAATTCTACTTGGTTTGTTCAGTTTACAATCCCTTCGGATGCAAGAGTCGATGTTTGAATAAAAATCCAACTCGAGGTTGACGACAAACCCTACGACCTGGACTGTCATTGGGCCAAGCGGCTCGAAAAGCGCGAGCACATGGAACGTGGAGAACGATGAAAGACGTCAACTCTAATGAAGATTTACTTTTTATTTTTTGTTTTGCGCTTCTCGCCATTTCCCCCACTTCCATCTTTTCATCTTTTTCCCAAATAAAATTGCTTCTTGGCGTCTTTTTTTAAATTTTCACTTGAACAGAAGCGAACGTTTTTGCATGTGCAACAGGAAAAATAGTCAAGAGAGAAGGGAGCAACAAAAAAAGCTCAAAATGTCTGGCTACGGTATTATTGAGCTCTGCGGACACGCCGACGCAGCGCTGCGACCACAAAGTTTCGAAAAAATAAAAATTGGCTCATTTTTTTTCTTTTGTCAGTTCTTCATTTAGGGTCCGCAAGGCCACGCCCACTTCGGTCGAATCTTTTAGGTTTTTTTTGCATTGAACTGAGTTTTTCTTCTTTTCATAGAGCGCGCATGGAAGAAATTATATAATTGAACTCTCAATTTGATAAAGAGTTTTAAAAGACAGTTTTAAAAGAAAAACTTTCTCCAATAAATAAGTTTTTCAAACACATTAAGAAGAAGATGGGAAATTGAAAAAAGAACGAAGTTAATTAAATATCTTTCTTTTTAGCCCCTTTCCGCGCCAGCTTGTCACGTTTTCTTCCCGCCCAAGATACCAAATCAGATCAAAATTGAGCATTTCCGCTTCAAGACTGCTCTTTTATCTTTTTATAGGCTGTGTACCGCAACTTGAAATTTCACCACCCAACATTCCGCTGTGTCGCTGCGGGACTTTGCAAACCTCGTTGCCCTTCAAATTTTTTTTAAAGAAGGTACACTACTTCCTTGTGCTCCCACAGCATTAACAATCAATTGAAAGCGTGACCAAGATTCCAAAGACGCTTCGCGAACGCACGCAGCAGAACAGCGGAATTTCGTTCCGTGAAATTTCAAGTAGTGGCACACAAACTATAGCAGTTTTAAGAAGAACGGTAGATTTTTCATTTCTGTTCTTTCGAAACGTGGCCGTCTATCGCGGGACGCATTGTTAGATTTGGAACGTTTAGGTAGCTAATTAAAGACCATTGATCAGCAGTGTTAACTAATGTCCCGTCTTTCGGGTTGCGGGCAGCCCTTGCATTCGACTCTACCTTCCGTATATTAAGTATAATCAGCAATAAGCTTTAATAATTTTTTATTTCTTGATCAGTGGACCATCGGTTCACATGAAGAAGGCGACGGCGGCAAAAGAGAGGGCGACGCCGACTCGTCCAACTCCGCTCTCCGTCGTCGTCACATCGTCAGAGCGGTCGCCAGACGGAGAATCTCCTCCAGAAGGCTTAGGGGCTTCCGTTTCTCCAGAACGTTTAAAATAATTCAGGGGTCAAATGAAAATCAATGATTACCAGCTGGGGCCTCAGTAGTCGGTTCTGCGGCCGAAGCAGTTCCATTATCCTTGGCACCCATCGGCTTGTTGTCGACGACTGCGCCCAAGGTCTGTAAATTCAGAAATTATAGCAACCAAGGTTTCCGGAAAATAGCAGATCCTTATTGAAACATCATTATCTACTTTCTTCCTTTTGCTAGAATTATAAGTCACTTGTCAGTCAGTAAAAGCAATTCTATTGCCATACTATAGTTATGAAGTTACCGTGCCAGCAGCTGGAGCAGCTGGAGCAGCTGGAGCGGCTGGAGCGGCTTCAGCAGGGGCTACGGGTTCTTTCGGCTCCTCGGCGAAGGAAGCTCCGATGAGGGCGATGGCGCAGAGTGCGGAGACGGTCACGAAATGCATCAGTAGGGTGATATCAAGTTGAATTCAGCCTTCCCCACTACCACCCCTTTTATACTTCTCTTATCAACACGTTGTCCATTTTTCCTTCTTTCCCTTTATCTGATCTCTAAATTTATTTTGAAATGAACTCTTTCGGAATATGAGAAAAGAAATGAATTCAGAAATGAAGTGACAACGCGTTTCATTTCGTCGTGTTACTCCGCGCGCCAAATGGTCGATGCCATCGCGTTTTTTCTACATGTCCGTTATTTTTCCCAAGATTCATTCGTTATTCCTCGCTAAGGATTTTGGAGGTGCAGATCCTAAATAACACTGGAAACGGCTTTGCCCCTCGAGTTCTCTTGTCAATTTTCTCTTTTTCATTCATTATCCATCGAAGAAAACCTGTTGTTAGTTGCCTCATTCGGCTTTCAGAAGAAAAACGATACGATAGCTTAAAAAAAGCACATGAAAAACTTTGCTGTTCATTTTTCATCGTTTCAAGAGATTTTTATCCAAAATAATTATTGAAAAAACGTCGTATATCGCTGTATAGTCTTTGTACCACAAGTTGGAATTTCACCAAACGACATTCCGCTGTGTCGCTGCGCGCCTTTGCGAACCTTGGTCGCGCTTTATTTTTTGTTTCTCTTTTATCGGGGTACTCTACTTTCATGTGCTCCCACAGCAACAAAAATCAATTGAAAGCGTGACCTAAAGACGCTTCGCGAACGCACGCAGCGGAACAGCGGAATGTCGTTTCGTGAAATTCCAAGTCGTGGTACACAGGCTATAGCGATTTCTCCGCAGCTAATTCTAAGCCAGATCGAACTAATTTGGAGAATTCTGTATGTTATCTGATCTACGCCAGAAAACCAATGAACACTGATAAGTATTTTTAATAAGTTGGAATAAAGCGCCAGAGTGACATCTGGAGTTCGTTCCAAAACATCCTATAACTCTATTTATCATTTCAGAATTGTTTCATTCCAATCGGAATTCAAATCGCATGTCTCCTATGGACTATGACGGCGTGTGGCGGAGGCAAAAAAGCGGCTGCTGTAAGGATTTTGATACATTTGCAATATCTTTTCTTCCCTACGTATTCACGACTTCTCCATTTTTGGAATATCAAAAAATGACTTGATTTTCCGACTCTACGAGATGAAAACTTCATTCTAATGAAGCTAGCAAGGATATCCGATTTTTATATTTCAGAGTAAGAAGGATTTGAGCGGTACAAAAATGGCACCGGTATCACCATCACCAGGTTGGAATTTTCGAAAAAGAAATCGAAAAAAAAATTTGTACGCAGTAAAAGCTTAATGTAAATTTTTTTTTTCAAGAACCGAAAAAGGATAGCAAAATGGCGGCTGTTGAACCAAAGGACAAGGCTTCGGTAAAGAGAATTCCATTCTAGTTAACTAGAATATTATTTAAGGATACGGAATCTAAAAATAAGGACGAGACAAAAGGAGATGGAAAGAGCAAGGAAGAGAAGAAGAGCGAGAAGAAGTCGGAGAAAAAGGATGAAAAAAAGAGCGACGAGAAGAAAAGCGACGAGAAGAAGAGCGACGACAAGGTTTTCATTCTTGTCTTTTAGAAAAACTAATTTTCGAAGAAATTAAGAAGGATAACTTCAAAAAGCCTGACAATGAGGGAGCTCAAGCCGCCAAGAAGGATCCTAATTATCAGGTATCTTTTTGTAAAAAGAATAATTTAGTGAACATTTTTCGGGAAGCGTAAAGTTTGGTTTTATACGTATCTGGGCAGAAATTCGCCTAAAATATCTCTTTTTGTAACATTTTCTTTGAAGAAAACGATAAATTTATGATTTGTGAGTCACGTTGCAGAAATTGGCCGTGGAGCGCACATTCCATCGAGGCCTTTTTTCTTAATCGAAAAAAAAAATTGAGGGTTTCATATTTAACTGTAGTTAACAAAAACTTTATTTCAAAAAAATGCCTAAAAAAAATGGAAACAAGTTGCTCAATTTTATCGACTTTTTTTGACTCACATTATAGAACTTTTGACTATTTTTTTTTCCGTCCCAAACGTGTTATTCATGATTTAACAGACTCTGGTCGGCCTCGCCAATGAGGAAGTTTTCGGCGCCGACAAAAATCCCAAGAAGAAGTTCAAAGCGCCAGAAAAGATCGAGAAGGCTGACGCTAAGGATCCCCAATATGAGGTTTCTTCCTCTTTTTAAATTTATTCTAGTTTGTACTTTTCCAGACGCTTGTAGGCATCGGCGAGGAAGTTTTCAAGGAGGGCGAGGGCGGCGGCAAGGACGAGAAGGAGCCGAAAAAGAAGGCTTTCAAGGCGCCCGAAAAGGTTCTTTCGATGTTTTTAAAAAAAAAGCGGGAAACCATTTTTAAATCTCTCTCAAATGATCTTTTTACGCAACTGAGAAAGTCTCTCTAGAGTGTATCCGAAAAAAAAACTTGGCTTTCCGCTTGAGTGACCACTTCAAAGTTTTTTCCAGGTAGCAAAGGCTGACGCCAAAGATCCGCAGTACGAGACGTTGAACGGCGTCGACAAGGAGATCTTCAATAACGACGAAGAGAAGAAGGAAGAAGATAAAGACAAAGAAAACAAGGACGACAAGAAGGACGACAAGAAGGACGACAAGAAAGACGACAAGAAGGACGAAAAGAAGGAGGAGAAGAACGAGAAAAAACCCGATGAAAAAAAGAAATGAGTCTCGTCTTGAATTTTATCACCAGCACCTGCCATCGAAAACCATCTTCTCCGTCTTCGTCTGTGTGGAATTTTTCAATAAACGTCTCCGATTGGAGTTTTCCTTCCATTTTCAGCGTTCTGAAAATTTTGAGTAACACCTCTCATATATACTTCCCCGAAATTTCCCCTGTCATGGTTAAGAAAGCGGTTTTCTGAAGTTTATAGTGTTTTTCTGAGTACTGTATTGCCGAAGACCGTGAGGACCATGTCACTGCAGACGAGGCGCAGTTCTCGCGCAACTCTTGTCGATTTACGCTAATTTTCACGATTTTTTCTTTTGCATTTTTTTTCCGACTCATGACGTTTTAAATCTCGCAAACTACATTCTTCGAAGCTTTCGGCACGTCTTAACTCGATTGAAACTCGGTCTATCGCGGAATTTATTTTCTTCTTCTGAATTTAGGAAAGGCCTCTACTAGGTCACGAGGCCCACTCATCTTGTTATAATCTATGCCGGTTTTTCTTTTCTTCGGCATTTTTTTTTCTAAATTTGACTCGTGATCTGAAATGTCAAAAGTTCATTCGTTTATATTTGACATCTGTATATTTTCCAAAGCCCAACACCATAGTTTCAGCATGATTTTATTCCTTGATTTCAGTGGAGAATGAGTTCAAATGAAAAAGACGACGGCAGCAATCGAGAGGGCGATGCCGACTTGTCCAACTCCGTTCTCTGTCGTCGTCTCGGCGTCTTCAGAATCGCGAGATTCATGCCCTTTCCCTGAGAAAAGGTTCGAGTTTAAAACGAATAATATAAAGACTAATATGCAGATCAATTGAAAAATTACCATCAGATGGAGCTTCGGTGACGGTAGCTGCAGGGGCTTCTGATGGAAGTGCGGCCGGAGGATTGGTATTCTGAACGTGCTGAGCCTTCAGAATAAGAAATTTGAAAAGAACAGCAAAAAAAAATGTGGGTTTTCGAGTCCATTATTTTTTTAACGAACTTTTTTAGTGATCTTAACTATCGGGTTTGCGGTTTGGATATTTCTACAAGTTCACGATTTGAAAGCCTAGATTAGAATCACAAACTACTCATCAAATAAAAAATCGTTGAATGGTCAACAAAGTAATGTATGGTTACCGCAGCAGGAGCGCCTTGAGCAGGAGGAGCGCCTTGAGCAGCAGGAGTGCTTTGATCAGCATCGGCTTGATCAGCATCAGCTTGACCAGCATCGGCTTGATCAGAAGCACCTTCTCCAGCAGCACCTTCTTCAGCTGGGGGTTCTTCAGCAGCACCTTCTTCAGCTGGGGGTTCTTCAGCAGCACCTTCTTCAGCTGGGGGTTCTTCAGCAGCACCTTCTTCAGCTGGGGGTTCTTCAGCAGCACCTTCTTCAGCTGGGGGTTCTTCAGCAGCACCTTCTTCAGCTGGGGGATCTTGGGCAGCGACGAACGAAGCTCCGATGAGGACGATGGCGCAGAGAGCGGAGACGGTCAAGAGACGCATCAGTTGGGTGATATCAAGTTAAATTCATTTCCTCGACATCACTCTTTTAATACTTCTTCTTATCAACACGCTTCTAATTTCCTATTCCATCACTCTATCTCAATTAAATTCTTAGTTTGACGCTTTTATAATCTATCTTTGTTGTCGATCTTCTAATATTGGATAGAAAGATCGAAATTAGTTTTTAACTCTCTTCTTTTATTATGTATATTTAGTTCAAATTTTTATTTCTTTTTTTTTAAAATTATTTTTTTCACAGTTGGAGCGAACTCTGGCGTCTTCAGTGCTTGAGTAGCTTTTTTTACAGCTTTCAATTTTTTTTTTGCTGCAAACTTATTGCGAAGTTTAAACTTTTATTTTTAATTTTAAATCCGCAACCACACGGTGCTCACAGTCGGACGGGATACCGTATCCAAAAAGAAACATGAAAAAAAGGGATTTTTTTCCATTTTTTTCTTTCTCAGTTCAAATAATCTTTCGTTTTCAATTGATTCAACAAAAATTTCAATTTTTATTATGCTAGCCGACAATATAGCAGCCGAATGAATGTACCCAGTATGCTCCGCAAAAATAATTTCTATTCATTTAATTTTTTTTAAGCGCTGGCGACTTTTGGCGCCGTTGTGCCGCCAGTTTCTCTTTGCAACAGGGCGAACATGATCTAAATTAATAAAAAAATTGATAATTTAATGTAATTTCCTAGATTACCTGAACGGTCTCATCGAGGGCGTACTCCGGGTTCCAGCCCCAGTCCTGTCGGGCGCCAGAATCGTCAAGAGATCGAGGCCAAGAATCGGCTAAAATAGATTATTTTTCAATGACAATACTTGAAATTTTCTTGAAAACTAACAAAATAACGATTCTGAAGAGGTTCGGTTTTAAAATTCGTTTCAAAAACTATTTTCTGGCTTTGCAGCCTCAAAAACTCACCGATAGCTTGCCGGATGGGGCAAATCTTGTAGTCAATCTCAAAGGCTGGCATCACTTTCCGGATTGCGGCGGCGATTTCCTCAGGAGTAAACGAGAATCCTGTGACGTTGTAGGTTCTTCTGGCCAGTGAGGACGCGTCGGCGGCAAGGAACTAGAAATGTTCGATTTTTATGAATTTTCCGAACATTTCTTCGAACCTGAACAACGGAAGCCATGCAATCGGTGTCGTACATCATTGGCAAGACGGTATCCGGTCGGAGGTAGCACGTGTGACGGCCCTTTTCCAGTGCGTCGTAGAAAATTTGAATGGCATAATCTGAAAAATAATATTCATTTAGATGACGAAATTGACGAAAAAAAAACACATGTTAAAACGTTGAAAGTTAATCATTACAACTATGAAGCAATCAATTATTGGTGGGAAAGTGAAATAAAGGAAAAAAAAAAAAATTAAAAACGACTTAATCTTCATAAAAAAATTCAAGTAGAAAAAAATTAAAATTATAGTCTGTTCAGATTTTTGAATGTCAAGTCGTTGCTCAAGCTCCGCCCCTAATGGTGCGATAAACCTATCAGAGAGCGAGCCATCCACAGAGCGTTTTGAATGACGTCATTGCACTTGACATTAAAAATCTGCACATACTATAAAGAAAAAATGATGCAAAAAATGCCACCCCATTGAAATTTTGACCCATGGCTAAACGTATCCAGCGGAGCCTTGTAGTTTTTTTTTTCTTTTCAAATTTTCACTCGATAATCCTCACCAGTCGTGCCTCCTCCGGGCTTGGTCGCCGAAATGATGCCAGGGAATCGAAGGCAACGGAAATCGACGCCAAACTTGGAGTTGTAGTATTCGCCCAGTCTTTCGGCGTAGACCTTTAATTTTCGAGACGTTTTTTTTTGAAACTTTGATTTGAATTGTACCTTGCTGACGCCATAAATAGTAGTGGGCACTTGAATAGTCAAATCAGGAGTGTTATCGCGAGGAGTTGTTGGACCGAATGCGCCGATTGTCGATGGGATGAACACCTTGAGCTTGTGCCTTCTGAAAAAAATGGAACTAAGAAATAAAATCGAGTACATTATTATCTCCAAACCTAAATAGAAAGGAGAGTTATAAAAGTGGCCATAAATAAACCCGATCCTTCCGTTTTTTTTTTCATTCCCAAGCAGTTCTCTTCCTTATACGGTCTCCAAGACCATCCTCTCATCATAAACCACGAAAAACTGCAGTCTTTCCTCCGTCCAACCGGTTCACTGGTCGTTCTTTAAACTACTCAAAAAAAAAGACGAACCTGGCCACTTCGAGGATGTTCTCAACACCGCGGCAGTTGACTTGCAAGGCCAACGGAACATTTTGCTCGCCAACTGCGGATAAAAGTGCAGAAAAGTGGATTAGTGTGTCGATTCCCTGTAGAAGCTCAAATTAATGGAGAAAAAGGGGAACAGTTCAACCTTATTAACAACGGCTTCTTCGATCGCCGAGGTGTTCAAAATGTCAAGATAGTGGTAGTTGTCTGCAAAAAGAACGTAAATTTTCGAGTTGGAGTGAATTTTTAAGAGGTTTTCGTTCCAGAAGTTGTTACAAAGAAGTGGTCATTATAGGGTTTGAATGAATCTCGTGAAGATTCATTCAAACCCTATAATGACCTATCTTTTTGAAGTGTTCATTCTAGGGTTTTGATGAGCTTCAGGGCTATATAGAAAGTGTTCATTCCAGAATAATGATTATAAAAGGAGCTCAGAAAAGTATCAGTTACCATTGTAAAAAGTCTAAGATTCCCAAAAACTTCATAATTACTCGAATACGGGATTCAAGTAAGACTTTTAGGCTTTCGGTATACTGTCCGATCCTAAAGCATATAGTGATCTCTTAGCGGTGGTGTTTTCTATTAGAAAAATGTCAAATCTAGACTAGAAAAAAGCGTAGTCTCTTAGAGCGCAAGTCGTTTCAGGTCTGGCGCGTCTCAAGAAACAACCTTCTTTAACCTAGCCATTCCGCCCTTTGCGACCATGGTTTTCTATTCTCAAACCCCCAAAGTAAAAAAAAAACTATGAGATCAGCGAAAAAGTTCCCCGAAGCATCCATAAATATCTTCATGACTACAAGATCCTCCCTCGGACAATTTTGAACGTTTGGTCTCGTCCCAACGATTTCAACGAAATTTTTCACGTCTTCAAGCGCCTGACACGAGATTTCTCGGTTGATGTTTGGCGATCGGCCAATTTCATCACCACGTGGGTGGAAATATTGTCTAATCAAATCATTCACTCAAAATCACATTCACGATGGGGCGATTTAACATGCAATTTTTTTTGAAATTTTGTTTTGAAATGTCGCTAATTAACTCACTAAAGTCTTCAAAGGGAGTTTTTTCGGGTTTTTGTTTTCTGATGACGTTAGACAACTCACTGACGTCCGTCGCTCCAGAAGGCACCTTGACGATGTCGGTCATCGTCACGCATTCATTGCCGTACATGTATCTGGAATTATTTCGTTCTTGGAAATGATTGCCATAAGAGGGAAAATTGATAAAACCTAACTTTAAAAAGCGAAAAAAAAGTATCTATCAATTTATATGGGGGCTCAACTTTCTGAAAATAAAATTCAAATGATGGAAAATTGATAAAACCTATTTTTTCATAGGAAAGGGGTAAAAAAAAAAAACACAAACTCGACATCTACCTACTTTAAAATGAACTGAACAGAGACTACTGAAACATTTCGTTCTTTCCCACGAAACTCCTGGGGAAATTGAAGTTTCTGCTTTTGAAAATATTTTCAACCAAATTGATATTCGAAATTTTAAAAAACCAACTTGTAAACTGAATTGAGGCCTCTGCCAAGTTGTCCAAGAGATCCGGTGATCAAAACTTTTGGCGCCGATTGCTGGGAAATTTTCTTGAACCTTGCCAATGGGTCGACCTGTAAAAAAACCCCTTCGAAAAAGGTCATTGATTTGAAGCCTACAGGTAAAGGTGAATAGTTCCGTTTCGAGTTGAACTCGGCTCCAGCGGCGGAAACAAGTCGCTTATTGCGCAAAATCGTCCGTGTTGAGGTCATTTTGCTGGAAAAATTCCATTTTAAGGGATCAGGGAGGTTTTTTGAGAGAAAGAGAAAAATAGTGAAAAAGAATTGAAAGATAATTTTACTTGGACCTTGGAAAAAAAGTCATAAATCAACAGAGAACAGAGAGGAGCCAGAGAAACGGCTAGACTTTCTTTCTCTGCCTTCTCTCGGCTTTCATTGTTTTCTAATTTTCTCCTCATTAAGTCCTTTCAAAGTTGTCTCCTTTCAAGGGAATCACGCCGAGGGTGTTAAACAGCAAAATTAAAAGCGAGAGAACAGCAGCGGTTGGAAGAGACGCCAGAGAATTGAACATTTTCTGCTTCTCTAGTGTCTCTTCAACGTTTACCTATCACTTGCTAGTGAAGCTTGTTAGTGGAAAAAGAGTTGACTCAATATGAAAAAGAAGGATTATTAGAAGAATTGAAATTTTAGGATTTCCAGGAAACCGTACTGAAAAACTGAAAAAAAAAATTCAAATCAATTTCTTTATTTTCATAACCTTAACTCAACCCCAAAAAACTATTTTCCTAGGAAAAATAAGAAAAAAGGTCTCTACAACATGGCAACCCAGGGGTTAAAACGGCTGGGTGCAGTCATTCCGAGGCGCCGCCTCCTCGACTTCAACGAAACTGTTCCTTCCTTTCTTTTTTTCTTCTTCTTCTCCTAACAGACTACGTAGTGATTCAATTTGATTCGAGTTGAGTTGATGATACGAGTTCAAGGTTATTTCCGTCGGAAAAGTAGCAACGTGGCTGAATTTTGAGAGCAGCAGAAACTTTCTGAGATTGAAAGAAAAATTAAAAAGTTCGTGAAAAACTCGAAAAAGACCCATTTCGGTTATTACATTTTATGTAACTTGAAAAATAGAAATAAATAAATTTTGAAGTGGACAAGAATTTTCCAAGTTAGTTTCGAAGCGATGGCGAGACACAGAAAAAAACGAGGTTGCTCAAAAAAATTTGAAATGAAGCTTTTTAAAACTGTCCTATACATTATTTTCCGCCAGAAATACTATTTTCCCTGCTCTAGATTTTTTTTTTTCTATAACCTTCTTCACAGCCTCCGTTTACAAGCACTGAAATTAGGTTCAAACATGAAATTTGTAAAAACCATTTTTTGTTTATCCATGAAGCAAATTTGCCGTCTATGAAGTTATTTTTACCTCAAAACTTTCTAATGACTTCTCGGACATTGGTAACGCGAACGGGACGCGAATCGGACGTGTCGGGGCATTTCTAGTGACCACTTTAGTAGCCTCAGCACTCTTAAGTGATCCCTAGAATCGCGCTGAAACATCCGGAGCACGTCCGTTTCGCGTTCATTTTTGTTGCACAACTTATTTTGAACACACAATATTAGATGCGTCTGGCAAAATTCGCATGAATCTTCAACTTTTTCATCAAAATCGCTTCATCTTTAAATCGGTCTTTTTTCACTAAACTGCTAATTTTCCAGCACTTTTCAGAATTTCTAGAAGCAGCGACACATTATTTCTTCATATCAACTCAAATTTCGCCACTTTTCAAAATTTTGAACAGTTTGGCAAACTACAAAGAAGACTCACTGTTGATGATTCTCTAATTTTTGACCAACGCCTTCCGATCAGAAACAGTGAATCTTCAAGAACAAAAAAAAAGGCACGTTGTTGAACCGTCTTCCTCTTATCAAATCAGATGGTCTTGATTCGACTTTGACAAACGACCAAATACATGGCTGGGTGCGCAATTTTGCAGTCGAGAAAATGTTGCCAAATGTTGCCATTTTTCTATTGTCATCGCTAAAATCGGACCATTTTTTCGAGGACAGTTTTTTTGTGCGGTTCCGTTTGGTCGAGTTCAGACATTCAAGACGGGAGAAAAAAAATTGATATGATGGAAATCGGAAGAAAAATGAGAAAATAAATTGGTTGCAGAGAAAAAGAATCAGGTTTGAAAAAAATCCTTCATATTCAAGTACAAAAATGAATTATAAAACGCTTTTATGAGCCTAAAAATTCTATACTTTCCCTATTTTGACGATCTAAAAACGTTCCCGAGAGAAAAATGAAAATTGAAAAAAACGTTTCCAAACTTGAACTATCTGCTTTGAGGATAAACATAAACAGCATTTATTAAAAAATCCTCAAATATTAATTTCCAATTTATGCCCGCTAATTTTTTCCATTTCGATTCTCAATGTACAACTCAATAAGAAATGTTTGAATGAGAAATTTCCAAAATCACATACGTTTCTACAAGTCTTTGAAAGAATTTATGTTCCTATTGAAACCGATTGTTTCTTCTTCCGTTAAACTTGATAACGGAAACTGAAAGCTACAGCAAAAACATTTTTAAAAAGTTGTACATATTCCTGGAATAAAGTTCACAGGTTTTATAACATCTATTATCCATGGAGCAAAAATCTTCGTCAAGCAGCTTTTTTACCTAAACATTTGAAGCCTTTCGAAAGCGGTGTGTTACAAAAAACAACTCTCAAAAACCTTTAAAACAAAAACAATTCGGAAAACTAATTAAAAACCAAGCTCCAAACACTACAGAAAACAGGAAAAGGGACCAAGTTTTTCCTAAATGGTCTGAGGAAGACGCAATCGCTGATGAAATTACCACAGCCACGTGCGAGTTCCCAGAGAAAGGAGCGCCGCGAAAATTCCAACTTCTACCGTAACCCCAATGTCGGGTGCGCTCGTCCGCAACTCGACTAGTTAACAAGGATTGGAGAAAGAGAGAAAGTAGGAACGTGGGGTCCAAATTTGTCGTCGACAGTGATTCGTCGAGAAAAAATGAAGGGAGACGGGTTTTTGTGGGCTTCCGACCAGAAGCGAGTTGCGTCATACTCAGAAGAATGATATATATTTAGTTGATCTGTTTGGGAAATCGGATCTGTGGTTCGTTCTGGAGGCAATTAATCAGAGAAAAGGTTCAGAAGAAACTGTTACGTGTTAAAATTTGTCAAGCAAGTTGAAAACATACACAGCTGATCATAAAAAACTTTTCTTTTCGGAATTTTTACTGTAAAATGGAAAGTCACTTTACTTTGGGGTTGGAATTTGTGGCCGATTGGGGAGAAAGGTTCTTGATCCTGGAAGTATCAGCATGCAAGCTTCTTATTTTCACAAGAAATCAGGCCTTAAAGTCAAAATTCGTCAAAATTATTCATTCGTATTCTTCGTAATCCTCGAAAAATAATAAATTTGCAAGTTTCTATCAGGTTTTATCTGAAAAGTCAACCCATTTTCCAGTCTTTCAGGAAGGATCTAGAACACGGAAAAGTCCAAAAAAAAAAATCATAATGAAATTACTCACTATTCAGAGACGCTTTTTTAAAACCCGATATTAAGTTTTTTTTTTTATAATTTGTTAGCTTTTCAATTATATTTGGAAAGGACATGGCACCTTCAATCTTAAAACGAAAATTTTCCCATTTATTTTGTAAATGATTCAGAATTCGTAAACCAAAAAATAATACCATTTGAACATGATTTTGAGCTAGCTATAATTTTTGTGAAGTTCCTCTTGACGCTTAAAAGATAGATTTCAATCAAGTCATTTCAATTATCAACATCGTCTCGGAACAACGTGATGGAATGGATTGAAAAATGTACCGCCTATTTTTGAGCACTCCAGTCTTGAAACGGCTTGCGCCGGTATAAACGGACGTGCTCCGGTATCGTAAAGCATCAAATTTTTTTTGTTTAAATTTCGCTGAATTTTAAATCGTCTGGATCTGAGCCATTCCACGTCTGACCACGGCGCTTCTATCTTTAGTTCTGATTATTCGATAAATCAACAGGGTCATCATTACTCCTTTCCAGGCAAAAAAATAATATATGAAATCATTTTTCATTAAAAATTTTTTTCAAGGGCTAAGTTTCAATAATAATTAATCGAAAGCTAACAAATTTTTTTAAAAATTGTTTTCAGTACTAAAACTTTTGGAATAGACATAGGAAGATTAGCAGCGAAAAAAAGAACGAGAATAAACCGAAAACTCTCATTTGAAAAAAGAATGAGAAACGAAAGTGGACATTTTTTATAAGAAGATTTTACTACAAGTACAGTTGATTTAGTTCAAGTGGTCACAATTTAGTCGCATAGAGAATGGCTCAATGCGTAACGGCTGCAAAGCGGTTTCTGTGCGAGTCAGTGAAATCTTGAAGTTTCTCATTGAAGCCGCAGCGCGTCCGCAACCTTCGAGCCATTCTAAATGCGGCCAGGAGGTTGCAAGTGGTAATCTTTCTTATCGTTCAAATCTGTCCTTTAAGTAGACATTTTCTCCGATTCTCGTCCCAAAATCCCAACTTTTAGTCTCAATTTGGCGAAATTCTGATGCTCTACACTCCCATTATTCGGACCACTTTCTCTGAGAATCTTTCCCGAGGTCAAACTGGTGTTTTCAACTTGATAATCTTTGAGATTTGGAGTAAATTTTGTGAAAAAGGTACCTCATTTGTTAGTAGACGAGAAGTCAGTTGATGGGCGAGTAAGAAGCAGTAATGACATCCCATTCGCGATAAGATCAGGTTCATTTGATTCATATTCACCTGAGAAACTTGATTAAATTCTAGAACCAAAGTTTTTAGAGTGGAAATGAGTGAAATGTTCAACGCTCTCAACTGGTATGCCGTGTTAAAAGTAGTTTCCGCGAAATGCAAAACGATCTCGGACTCTCTTAGTTATATTTTCCTTTCTCTAACGGGATATTGCATTTCGCGAAATCGCTTTGAACACGGCATTATGGAAAATTAATTTTCAACAGAAGGATTCGAACTCACGTTTCAGGATAGAAAAGTAAATGCTTTGGCCATTGCGCCACGCTGTGTACCGTTCATCCATGGAAGAGTCACTGGAGATTACATCTGAAATATTTTTTTAAAATCGCATCAGAAATTAGAGATATATCAGAAAAAAAGACCCCAGAATAAACTCATCAAAAAAATTTTTTTTTCACTGTATAAAAATTTGTTCCAAAGTTTGTGAGAAAAAGTCTCTAAAAAAATTTGAAAAAAATTATCAATAGCAATGGTTTTTTTCAATCTTGATATTAATGAGCTCCCGTTATTAAATGTGACAAGACTTCAAAATTTCAAAAAGATTCGAATATTTTAAAAAAATTTTTAAACAATAAAACTACTTATCGACAACCTACCTAATTAAAAATAAGACTATTTTCGCATTCGATGAATTAAATTCCATAAAAATATCTACAAACATCGAAAAAAAGCTGAGAAAAAACAATTGGAAAAAAAAAAATTAAAACACGCTAAGCAGAAAGTGCGCCGCTGTCCTTGCGGCATGAAGGCCTACAGTATGGTCAAAAATAATATTTTCAGCTTTTCTGCCAATTTAATACTTTTTTTCAAATTTAATTTGTTCAGGAATTCATTTTAGGCTTCTTGAAAGCGCAAAATTCTTTTACATCTTAAAACAAAATAGAAAATCTTCCGTTCGATACCTTTATCGAAGCTGTCTATGATTCTTTGTTCCATTGTCAGCAAAAATATTTCAAATACACCGTACAAATCTAACTGAAGCCATATTTTTTTATACGTTTTCTATACTTTTCTCATGAAATTTCATACAAGATTTCTACACTGCACTTATGAAAAAACTCTTTTGTAAAATCATTTCGAGGAACTCCTTTAAAGAAGTTTTCAGAACCTGAACTGATTTCATCAAGAAATAATGTTTTTAAAAGTCTTTTGCAATTCCAACGATCGCGAGTCCTCTTTCCTCCATCACCACAAGCTCCGAACACGTATTTTCCTACATTTTTCCCTACATTTATTCTGTATACTTTAGTACAAATTTGTGAGAAATGAAACCTCTCATTGAATTTCAAGCCTCTAATTTTACCACAAAAAAGAACTTTTTTATAGAATCGAACGTCATTTCCTATTAAAAGTTCCGCATCAGAACTCCGTCGCGCTAAATCGAATCGACGCCTGTCGCAGAGAAAAAAAACGTCTCAAGTTTCTCGGATTGACCTAATCTCATCAGATGATTACGTTTGACACCATTTGACATTTGGGAACGGCTTATGATTTCCGTTTCTCTTTGCCGAACTGGATAAAAGTTCCTGGGAACGTTTTTTTCAAAGTTTTTTTTCTATTCTACTTCGTCTTTTAAAACTTTTACAAGTTCGTATTTTGAAAAATGTTCTACTAAATTATCTTGTAATCATCCTCCATAAAACTTTAAAAAATTTTTGGGGTTTTTCAAACTTCATCTAAAAATTTTCCTTTTCTCAAATTTGCTCAATTTTGCAACCTCGTTTTGTAAAAAAATTCTAGTAAGAATTTCTCCTGCGGTTGCCAAAAAAGCGCCAAGTGACAACTTAGGAGCTTCTGAAAAATCTGAGTGAGTTGAAAAATTTAATCTTTTTTTCTTTGGCCTTTTCAAGTGGTCACTTAAAAACAACTCCGAAAGAAATACCTTTGAGTAAAAACTTGAATAACTATTCAGCTTCAAAAGAAAAAAAGACCGAGAAACTTCCAAAATTCTATCCTTCCCATATTTATTTTATACAATATTCGCCTTTATAGCGTTTGATCCCATGAGTGGCCCCTCAGACCTTCTTTGAAAGATTTCTTCAGCAAAAAATCCAACTTGTAACTTACAAGCTCTCCTGGCATCAATTTCAGGAAAAAAAAAATCCCGAAGTTCAAGAAGAAACCCTCAAGCGATCACTTCACTTTCTCCGAGTATCCATCGTCGGCTATTTCCTAACAAGCGGTTTTTTATTCTCTCTTAACATGCCGCAAAGCTAATCGCTTAGAGAGTTTATTTCGAAACAAAAGAAGACAAAAAAAAAACGTCTGTTTGGGTTGCTTTCCAGAGAACAGGTGATTTTCATTTCATTCCTGCCACTTTTTCCAAACATTTTCAGGCTGTTCATAACTTTTTCTATAATCTATTCGTAGTCATTAATTTTTCTTACAGTGATTTCTTTGAAAGCCAGCAAAAATCCTTTGTAAGACGAAAAACTTTCTAAGGGGCGATAAAATCTTAGAATAAAGTCTTTTTTATTCTCACCCAGAAGAAGAAGAAAACAATGCCAAGGTTGTTCAAGGAAAGTCGTTTTTTATTGCTTGATACGCCGCTTTTTCTTTTTCTTCCCCTTTTTTTCGCCGAAAACGAACTAAACAGTTCTTGCTTTCTGTTTTTCTTTGCCGATCATGACCGCTCGAATTGACTGTTGAATGAAAATTTGTTCTGTATAATAGTTTTTTTGATATTTGAATTTAGCACACTTGGAGTTTTTTTATAAAAAAGCTCTGAGAATAATAACGATAATTTTGTCAATTGAACAAAAATGTTAAATTTTTTTATCAAGTGAGATACTTCAGACCTTCCTGAGCCTTTATTAGAAGCTTCCTCTCAGAAAATAAACCAAATTTAATGTCTATGATAAAATAAAATAAAAGTAAAGATTTGTTGGAATTCAAGAATTTTAGAACGAATTCACATGATCATTTTCTGTTTACTTTGTGTGATAAAAACCTTGAAGGTCACCGAAAAAGGGTCAAAAATAAGAGATCAACCAGTTTCTTCTGTCCTTCCCTGTCAAGAAAAGGTCGAAGACGAAAGAGCACGTGGTTTTTTTGTGTTCCACAGTTCTTTTCTGCAATTTCTTTGTTTTCATTTTTTTACCATTTTTTTAGAAAGCCTGTAAACAGTCCTTAAATTAAATAAAAGCCGAAAAAATGTCTTATTTTCCTCAAAACTTTTGCGGATGATCTGAAACTGAAAAACCCTCTTTGAATTAAAAAAATGAACACGGATTCACGGTCGAAACTATCGTAGAGATACCGTTCAACTTTTATACCTTTAATGGTCAAAATAGCCTCTAAAGTGGCCACTCAGAACGCCCTTACGCTCATTTTCAGACCTATAACTTTCCAGAAAACCAGCTCTCCCTTGAAAATACCTCTGCAAAATCTGCAAAGCTCAAACTTGATATGAATTTCCAATGATGGAAACTCCATCTTTTCCCAAACGTCTTCCGAATATCCAATCAGAACTTTTCCCTCGTGCTTCATGTCGTGAGAAATGAATTCAAATGAGAAATGAGAACAGACAAAAAAAAACCTGAGAGATTAAGGTCAAGCCAGCAAACATCGGCGGGCGGGAGGTGGAAGAAAAAGAAAAATGCTGGCAGATTACTGTCTTTTTTTTTGTTTTGTTTGCTTTGATCTTCCGCGAATCGAGTTTTCACTTTGGTTTTTGCGATTTTTAATGAAGTTTCAGAAAATGAAGACCTTCTTGCATAAAAACCCTTATTTCCCCTTTAAAAAAAAGTCCGAAAAACCATCCTTTCCGTCCAAAAAGAAGTAGCATGCCATTATTTGACGCACGGTTTTTCTGCTGTACCCAACAACAATAGACAGGAAAAGAAGGGAAAAAGGCCGTGAAATTCCAGAGGGAAAAGTCCATTTCCGTACATTTGTGCGGCGGTATACAATTGTCAAAGAATGTCGTCCATTTTTCTTCCTTTTTTATTTTCCCGAAAATGTCGAGTTGGCGCGTATTTATACAAATTCGTTTTAAAGGTTTTCCCCTTATTTCCGTTTCAAACTGATTGGTTTTAGTAAATTATTTTTCTGATGTGGATAATGAGCTCGTTATTTTTCAATCTGAAAAGCTCAGAAAACTTTTTTTTTCTATTTTTTGGCGTTTCCATAGCCAGGGTGCCTTTTTCTGGAAACTTGAATAGTTTGTTCAAATGGCTAAAAGCCCAGAACCTCGCTTTAGAGGCCAAATGTTCAAATCCCCATGAGGAAAGTTTTTTTTTGTGGAGAATTTCCCCACGTTTGCTTTTCAAAGCCTCACTAAATTAATTATTATTTTCGAGAAGCCTAAATTAATTAGATGATGATGAAGCTTATTGATTCTAGTAGAAGCTTAGGAAAATATTTTTATTCCATCTTTTTTTAAAACTGTGATTGAGCTTTCTGAAGCTTGGATAGTATGGTCTAGATAATAATCGCCAAGATGACACTTAAAAGGTTCAATCCCTCTTGGTTAATGGAAAGAAAAAATTCTTAGTTTTTATAAAAGTTTTCTTCTACAACTACCAAACCTATTCCATTCCTCCATTTTTTACAGCTTTTACTTTCCATCTAACCACATATTTCATCAATCAATCAAGCAAGGGAACAAATGTTTCCATGAAACAATTTTCGGTTGCCTCTCCTCACAATAGGTGAAAATAAAACGGGATCAGCCAACTGAAAGATGAGCAAAAAGGAGAGCGGAAAAAAAATGGAATCGTTGGCCCCCGGAAACTGGTATCTCTGTACATAGGTAGGTTGGGTGAGAGATCGCGCTCTATCGCACTTGGAAATCCCTACCTGTTTTCTTTTTTTCTGTCTCTTTTTTGCTGTGTATTGATTATAGTGTGTTCAGGAGAGCTCAGACGGTGATTTTGAAGGAGAAGGGCGGAGCTTGCGAAGTACTTTCTTACTTTTATCAGAACCTACTTTTTTCAAAATCAAAAAAAAGTTCAAAACCTTGAGCTGACTAATTTCAAACTAGGAGAGAAAAAACATCAAAAAGCTCTCTAGTACATCGAGATCAACTTCCTGTTGAATCATGCCTTCCAAACTTCTTCGGATAGAAGCTTGAAAATTTCCAAAAAAAAAAAATCCTTAAAACATTCGATTTTCGTTGTGATCAATTCTAGATCATAAGGTTCACTCCTACAATCCTTCATCCTCTAATTTCTAAAACAAGGTTTTGAAAGGTTCATTTTTTGAAGGATTTTTAAGCAACAAACAAACCTACATAAAGGCGTTTGTCCGCTTCGCTCAAAAAAGAAAAACTGAATGGAAATCTTGAAAAAGCTGTCAAGCACCCAATAAACCTACTTTGCAGCCGATTCTTCTCATCTTTTCCAAATCTCAGACTTGTTGTCTTAATTTCCTCAGCAAAGCAAGGTCACTTCTTCTTTTTCGCACAGGAGTCGAAAACAAATCCTTTTGTTTGCCACTGTTTTTTGCCGTTACTTTCAATGTTTTTTTTTCGTTTTTCTCAAATTTTCCATGTTTTTCCTCGAATTTTTAATTTCAAACGGTTGTGGTTGAGTTTCGGGAATAAAAATACCAATATTATACACTTTGAACTTTGAGAAACACTCAAAACTTATAGGAAAACGAGTTAGACTTGAGAATGAGAAGATGCTTATCGGAAGGAACACAAAAACGAAGAGAAAACACTAAAAATGTAGAAACGGAACGGGTTTTTGGGGTCGTTTTTGATACTTTCTTTCAATTTCCGCAGGTTGTTTCGGAGTGATTTTTTTTTTCCGAACCGTATTTGAATGAAAAATTGCTTTTACCATCCTTTTCCATTTTTATCTTTGAAAAAATCACGATTTTTCCAACACTAATAGGTTTTTAAGAGAATAACACGCAGAAAAAAAATTTTGAAAAAAAGATTTGAAAAAAAGCTAATGAAAACTCTCTGCAGTACTGGGTAATTAGGTGTTTATTTCTTTAAAAAAATGTTTTTTTGAAGATTATAAAAGATCCCCAAAATTTTCTTTTTAATAACTCAAATCTTCAAGAAATTCTTCAGCGCGTGTTTTGTGGTGCTCCAGGGCGTATTGTAGTGCTCTAGGGCGTGTTTTTAGTCGTGAATTCATCCATTTGAAACTATGTGTACTAGCCTTCATTTTTGATTCACAAAAAGTTAATGGACAATTTTTTTCCACTAAATTTCCTTAATCTAATTATCCTTTCAGGTTCATCATTTCTAACCTTATTTTTAAAAAAGTAATCTACTCGAAAAATATCAATTTTATTAACAAGTAGATATTCAATGTGGAAATTCGAATCAATAAGATAAAAGTCTAAAGTCGATAGATTATCTGACCGGAGCGTGATAAGTCTGAGATTTTCTCTTCGAACAACCACACCCACCTGTCCCTTTTTTTCGTCCACTTCCGTCCGTTTTTACACGTCGTCACGGGGCGACCGACGTCGTCATGACGTCATTCGAATTCAGGAGCGCGACGAACGACGTCGGGCCATCGGATGAGGTTGGCGGTGACGGCGAGCTCGAGCTAGACGACCACTCGCCCCGTCTACCATTCCCAGGATCGCCTACATTCACCGAGGTTTTTCATGGCTTTCATCATGTTTTTTCTCATTTTCTTCCCTTTTTTAATCCCAGCTCATCACTTTTTTTGTCTCGAATCAAAATGAATATTCCAGTGGTTTGTCCTAAGCGTTTTGCCTGCGTGCAGCACGCTGGAGATGCCCCGACGTCGCGAGAAATTCGTCGAAATCACTAAAACCGTCACTGTCACGGAGGTTAGTTATTATATCATTGAAAAAAAAAACCTTGTGAGTCTCAAAACTCGTGTTTTCATGCATTTCACTTCACGTTTGAAATTATTTTTTTTCTGAATTCTCTTTCATTTTTATTCATCCTCCTATATCTCTATAAGTTGTTGACTGCGTCTTGGAATCGTCTGACCTGTCTGCGCTCTGTTTTCCCCTCGTTGACTAAGCCATAGAGACATGAACACAACGTGTAAACAGGAGTAGGCATAGAGAAATGAGAATCTATTAAATTGTAGCGAATGAACTATATATAATTTTTTTAAATTTTAAACTTTTTTTCATTCTTTCTTTCAATAACCATTTAAATTATTCAAGCTAAGTTTTTTTTCTGTTGATTTTGAAAATATTCCCAAGTTTCATGCTCCACTTTTTATGTGTCCATTTCTCATGCTCATTTCATTTTTAATCCTCCTAATCTTCTCTTCAAAAAAATCCAATTCACGAAACATACTCCATTCAGCGTTAGCTCCATAAGAAGTCACTACAGAGCCGTCTAAACCTCCTCTTTTTAACACTATCTCGCTAATCTTGTCAAAAGCCGAAAGTGGTTAAACTTCACATAAAAATTCTCGATATTTTCAATTAAAAACACCGGTAGCAAAAAACTCCCCACGAAATTCTCATTTTGTTTCCCAATAGAATTACTCATTTCCTTTCTCTTGTTGTCTTCTTTTCTGCTTCGGAGCAAAACGCTTCTTGTTTTCGACTTTTTTTCATTTTAAGAAGAAATTTCCTTCGTATTGCTGCAATTTTCAAGTGAGTTTACTATGATGTTCTTGCCGAGTGTCTATCAAATATAATGGTGTGCGATTTTCACTAATTTTTCTTTCCTATACTATATTTTTAAAGATTAAACTAAAAAAATCAATAAAATCAGTGGAAGAGAGGAACAGAAAAAAAGTTCTTTGGAATTGGCAGATTTTTTTAAAAAATCAAATTTTGACATATCTTTATCCACACGTTCATTCACAGTTAATACTACGTTTCATTTTTCTGAAAAATTGCCAATCTTGTTAAAAAATTATCCAAACGACCTCAACAGTGCACCTCTTCCTTCAAGTCTCTAACGAAAGACCCTTTTTCCATCATTTTTCCTCTGAACGCCCCGAAGAAGAAACCCTAACGCCACTACTTTCCTACCTAATCTTCGAATAAAATAAGAAGCGAAGTCCGAAAAAAAAAACCGCAGTTTCTCATGGTGATATGATTGAGCGATTGGATTAAGATCGTCAACGGTCCGCCGGACAAGCACCCGAGGACGTGCCAAGTGAAAGTGACGAATCTGGCGCCGGCTGATTCGGCGACGCCGCACCCCGTCAACGTCTCCATCAAGCACATGCACGAGAAATGGCGCTCATCTGATGGGCTCAACGACGACGGCGACGTCGACGAGGATTCTCGGCTTTCCGACCGGAGGAGGAGTCATGGGACGGTTAGTAACGATACAGATTTGGAAAATGAGAGCGAGTTGACGACTAGAGAGATTTTTCCATAAATCATTTTGAGAAAGAATTCAAAGCTTTCTTATAGCTGATTCACGGTCAGCTTGGGACGCTAAGGGGGCGTGTCCTGTCTGAGCTCTCCACGAGCCAGACGCTATCTCGTGCATTATCGTGTCAGGACCCGTTTTTCGATGGCTCAAGCCAGCCGTGAATAAGCTACAGGGTGACAAGTAAATATTGAAACGCGTTTGAAACGTTATAACTTTCTCAAAAGCCAACCAAACACCACCAAACTTGATACAAATTTTATTCATACAATATAGAAACAAAATTCAAGAATAGTTTTCAAAACGTCCTCCTTTAGCTTTGATAACGGCCTTTAGTCTCTTCGGATACGCATCGATCACGGCACGAAGGTAGTCGTCGTCGATTTCGTCCCATTTCTTGATGAGCGCGGTCTTCAGAGCTTTGATACTTGGGTAGTTCTTAGAAGAGACCTTCTCGGTCAAATATCCCCACACGGCATAGTCCATCGGGTTGAGGTCGGGTGAGGAAGCAGGCCAATCAGCAGCCGAGATGAACTCGGGAAAATTGGCGCGATACCACTCTTGAGTCCCTTTGGCGCGATGAGCGGGGGCGCCGTCTTGCTGGAAGGTCCATGGTCGGTTTCCGTAGTGAGAATTGGCCCAGGGCAACACCCCCAACTTCAGAATCGTCTCCCTATAGTATACTTGGTTCACTTTGACTCCAGGATCCACAAAAATCAGCGGAGTTTTGCCGTCAGCGGTAATTCCGGCAAAAACCATCACGGAAGCCGGGTGCGAAGTTTTATTCAGAATTTTTCCTTTTTCACAGGCACTCTGATAGTCAGTAGCAATGATCCGATGATTTTGGCCGTTCTTGTTCGGCTCCACAGTGAAGATTTTCTCGTCGGTAAATAGCGTCGTCAGATGCGAGTCATCTTTCGTGCCAGCGAGCAGCTTTCGAGCCTTTTTCATCCGCAATGTCTTGTTTTTTTGATTGAGGAAGGCTCCTTTCTGCATACGGTAGGGAATCATCTTCAGCTTGTCCTTGACAATAGTTCTCATCGATTCTCGACTCATTTCGTATTCTTTTGACATCTTTCTCATGCTTCTTTCCGGAGTGCGTCTGATTTTCTCTCGAACGGCTTTGACTGCTTCTGAAGTCGTGACGGTGACTGGACATCCTCTTCTTTGCATGTCATCTGGAGTACCGAGACGCCGATAACGTTGTGCAGTTCGAAAAACGAGAACACGAGACACTTTCAGCTTTTTAACGATATCTGAATTCGTCATTCCGCTTTTGACACAATCAATGATTGCGGTACGGTACGGAGATGGGGCCACCATTACCTGAAAACTGAAAAGTATGAGCTGTAACTTCAAACACATGATAAGTGAGCATGAAAGAACGATATAAACAAAAAAATTCAAAGGCCAGTCCTTTGTGCAAAAAGCAGCGATCAAACAAAAAACGGTTTCAATATTTATTTGTCACCCTGTACATCGAATCCCTAAAGATCCAATCGATCCAAATGAAACCAACAATCCTTTCAGCTGATCCGCGTGTCCGAAGACCATCCATCAGGTCCGTTGCTCGTCGGTGGACACGACGCCGTCCACTTCGACAACTCCGACAAGACAAAGCTTCAAGACGCCTTTCACACCCATGTGGAGCAGTCAGAACGTCCTCGACGATCGAGAACAGCCAGCACCTCGACACCAACCTTCGCCCGCCCCAGTGACAACGTTATCGATCTGGAGTTTACACAGTCGTTGGCTGGGACACGGCGACGGTTCGCCGACCTTCGCAAACGGACGTCGACGACGACGACGACGCGAACGGAGACCGAAACGGAGCGAAGGACTCGTCGCGATTCTCACGATCGCCGAGTTCAGAGGCACAGAAGTCTGCCTGAGGTTCACACGCTGTACTACCGGAAGTTTGTCGAGAAGAGCACCGAGGAGCTAGTTCCGCGGAGGAAGACGTCGATGCCAAGGAGCGAGGATTTTTCGGACGATGGCAGCGTTATCATCCATTCGGAAGAAGACAATTCGAGAATCGCTTCAACTTCTGAGAGGTGGGTTCTGAGTGGAGTAGGTGTATTTCTTCAAGCATTATCGAAAACATAGTCGCTTCCCACGTTTTAAAAGAGTTTCCGGCGAAATTTTGAAAAGTTCTGGTAGAGCAAAGAAGTTGAAGCTTTTTACGGTTAAGATTTCTCAAAAACCGAACATGTTTCAGCCGTCCATCTCCGCGCAAACAAATCAGCCGCGAAGAATCGCTTCATTATTACCGAGATGATGACGATGAAGATGACGTCAGACCAAATGGAGACGTCAGAAAGGAATACGTCATCACCTCCAAGCAAGAAAGCACTGAAGAGATCATCAAAAAGAAGCGGTTTGTTTCAAATTTATTTTTAAGCGTTTCAAAGAGTTTGGGGATTACTTTTGATTCGTAGTTTTACCGAAAAAAATTTTTTTCATTTCATTTTGTTGTGGAAAAAAATTCAAAGTTCAATTGAACTTTCAAATGATATTTTTTTCAATTTTTTTAGACCCTTACCCAACTCAAAAAATAATTTGGAAACAGTTTTAAATACCTTTCCGGCAAAAAAAATTTAATAAAATTTTTTTTCCCTATAGAAAGTCAACAAAGAAAAGTCGATGTATGATTTCTTTTTTGTAAACATTCAAAATGACCTTAGTTTTGGATGAACAGACAATAAAAAAAAACAACATTCATTGACGTTTTTGGTCTCCTCGACACCTATACTTCGAGATTTCTGATGCCGAATTCCGGTTTCTTTTTCTGTTGGTTGGTGGTAGTGGCATCGCCGACTTTTGCTTTATTGATAGCCCCACATTTTTCTTTCCCTTTTCGGCATTGTAACACTGTTCCAGTTGGTTTAGGAGTTATCCAAGTGTTTATTTGTTTTGTTTCATGGATTGTTCATATTTTTGTACTTGCAAGTTCAACCAGAACTTCAGAAATTCCTCTATGTCGGCTCATATTATTTTCGAAGTATTTGATAAATTTTCTGTGAGTACCAGTCTACAAAAACCTCTAGTCCTTGTGATTTGACGCCTCAAATTTTATTTTTCTTGCAAGAATTGAACTCTCCGTTCTCGAAAACTGAACATCTCTGAAATTTGAGACTTGAAGAAAATTAATTCAGTGCATCAAGGATAATTCCGACCAATCTTCAAAATTTTCCTAACATCTTCTTTTTTCGGTCACTCTAGGTTTACTGAGATTCAAAACAGAAATTTCGCCATTTCTGGACGCATGACGCTACTTTGATTCATTTATTTGATTCTTTTCATTTTAAAAAGTTGATCATGATAAACTGATATTTTTTCAGACACGAGCTGATAGTACCTCTGGAGATGGAGTCAGGCGTGACGTCAGTCTCTCTGAACGACCTCTCATCCCAAAAACTCGGAGTGACGAGCATTTCAATGAACAACACCGCCACAGACACCTCCATTGACTCCTCAACATCTCCAGAAGTGCACAACATCCGGATCGACGTCATCGGCCCCTCGAGATCTCCGTCAAACTCCTCCAGAAGTCGCTCAACCTCGACGTCGGCCAATCTCGGATCATCTGAGGTCGTGTTCGTCCGAGATGAGCCACGACGTCGGAGCCGGAGCGCATCAGGAGGCGTGGCACCGCCAAAGCCGCCACGTCGGACTCGCTGGCAGATCGTCGACGTCGAAACGACTCCGAGCAACGGGTCACTCCATGAAGGCCCACTATTCACCTCGACGCCTATACCGACGCTGGAACGACGTGGAATCGAGGAGCAGAGAACAGTTAGAAAGGTCAGCAAGTTAGATGTGCATTAGGAATGGCTAGGTTGCGTTGCGGTCGCGTGGCGCTGATTCACAAGTCTTAACCGAAATCAACCCAGAAAATCGATCCATTTTTCAAACGCATATGGAAGTTCTGAAAGACTGTAGCCATATGGAATTCGCCCTTTGACTCAAAAATATCACAACTTTATTCTGACTTGAAGAATCGTGTTATCCATTTCTGATCCGCTAAATTTCCATTAAGAGCCATCACATCGAGGAATTTTGGTTCAGTAGAAAATCTATGTAAACTTGGAAGGTAATGGCTATAGAGAAAACTGTAAATGAACTCGACACGAAGACTTCACAGAATCAAGAAGGAATTTCAAAAAAAGAGAATATCACTTCGCGACCGCAACGCAACCTATCCATTCTCCTTGCTTAACTGAAGAAACCAGAGTAGCTTAATGAAACAATCAATTGCAGATCAGTCGGCCGCCTGACATCAAAATCGACGAATGCGACTCTCAAATCATCAACAGGTCTAGGTGAGTCGTAACATAAACAGTCGTTCTTGTTTATTTCCAGGTAAATTCCTCCATTTTGTTGACTTGACATCAAACCATCATTTAGTTCCAGTTCAACCTTGCTAGGCGGAAATTTTTGGCTGGCTTTCTCTAAAAACCTTATTCATGAGGAAAAAAAGTCTTGAAATCTCATTTTTTCACTGGACCCATCTTTTAAAATGTTCAAGAACTTTGTCTATTTAAGTTAGAAGAAATATTTTTTAGTTGAGTAAAACCGGGAAAAGCGTCGTTTCTTTGCAATTTTCCTCTGTTTTCACAGCTCTGAAGATTCAGATCGCCTACACGAAAGCCATCGACTCCAATAATCGTTGTGAATCAGTCCCCATCACGACGAGGCTCTGGAGATCTACTAAAGGACACGGAAAAACGAAGAAAGTCCACAGTAACTGACATCGATTGGTTCGCCGCTTTCAATATGAAGGTTTCTTATTTTCATTTCTCCTAAAGTCCGATATTTTCTAAATTATTTGGCGTGAAATTTTTGATCTTAAAAGTTTGGACGACTTCAGAAACGTGTGTTTTATCTGTTATTTTTTATTCTAAAAAATGTTTTGAGAGTTCTCCTTTCTCTGAGATAGTCTACGTTTCGACCGACCAACATAAGGAAGCAGACTTCAAATTTTGTGTTTCGTTCTCCTCCTGACCAGATTAGAAAAAAGACATTATGAAACACTGACATTGGGAAAAAGTGAGATTGGTCAAGTGGTTAAAAGTTTTGATCATAATCCTTGAGGTTCCAGGATCAATCTCTTCCGAGGCTCAAACGTTTTGGCTCTTTTTTTTAAGAAAAAGTCTCATTTGAAAACACCTAGAAACGATTATTTTTTTAATGTTTATTTTTTTTTCCTTCGAGGTGCTTAGTCATCTTACACGATAAAATAAAAGCAGGACAGCAATAAATATTTACTTAGCTTAACAAAACGATAGAAATATCTTTTTTTTCCAATGTGTTCTATAGATTTCCGTTGCCATCGATTCGAACCCGAAAAAAAAACTGAGATAGGAAAATAAACGGCGTGAAAAGCGGGTCAGATTACCGACGGTTTTTCTCGTTTTGGTTTGTAACAAACTGCAAAAAAAGAGTAGTTGTTTGGTCGGCAGTCATGTTCTTCGCCTCCCTTTTCAGCAGGAAGAAGAAGGTTCTTGTTTTCTGATTTTAAATCTTAAAAATCGAATGTTTCGGTTTATAAAATAGCTATTTTATCAAAAAATGATTTTAAAAATTGAGATTTCCCACAAGAAAAAAACAATGAACTTCATTAGAAAAAAAGGTGATCTCATTAATTTGAAAAATTAAAAAAATTATTTTTCCCGATAAAGAAATTCTTTACGTTGAATAGCAGAAATCGCTACTTAAATTTAAAATCCAGGCCTTGAAATATCAGTTTAAAGCGATAAAACAAAGTTGATTCTACTAATTTTAGCTTCTAAAAATGATTTTCAATGTTAAAATGAATTCTAAATTCCAAATTTAGGAGCCAAAATCGCCACGTGGCAGCCACAAGTCAGAAGCTAGCGACGATCGGACTTCAATCAAAGCGACGACAAAACGAAGGTTCTTAGAAAATTCAAAACGCACTCAATAAAGAATGTTTTTTCCAGATCTTCTATACCCGCCTCAACTTCACGACTACCGCCATCAGATATCGATCTCAATCAGGTACTTTTGAGCTTGACTCAATTTTTTTTACCTGAAAAGCTTTCTAGTTTTTCCGTTGAGTTAAAAATGAAATTTGTCGAATTTTAAGTGGGATTTCCCACTCATCCATTCGCATGATTGACTTCACAAGAAGAAAGTTTTCTAATTTTACAAAATTAACAACAAAGAATGAAATTCAAAGACGAGAATCAAGTCTTCAAAATCGAATTTGGAACTCTTTCTGAACGGGTTCGTGAAGAGGAAAATTATGATAATTTCTCCTTTAATCGTGAAATGTAGAATATTCGAACGTAGACTCTATAAAATATCATATTCACCCACTTGATTGAGGTATTTGCCTGCACCTCGACCAAATCAACGAAAGAGGAGCGTTGCGAGTGCAACGCCTGCAAAATCACTCGACTCAGCGACGCCGAACGAGAGAAATGGAGAGCACAACGAAAATCTTCAGAAGGTCAAAATGGCGCCGTCAACTATGCGGTTGGTTTTGAGCTTTTGGAATAGTTTCACGTAGTTCTTTAAAAAAATATCAATGTACCTTATAAGTTTTGTGCATAGGTAGAGCAATCGGTGCTACGACAAGGACGAGTTTTCTATTTCGGAAAAGTACTGTAGGTAAAAGTCCGCATTCTGAGTTGTTCACGTTGTGTGCTTGCACTATTGTTGCGTGATGTTATGTTGTGATTTTGAATTTCATGGTACATTTCGAGGCTCAAGCAGAAAATATGAATCCATTTTAGAACTTTATCAAATTAAAAATTTAAAAATTTGAGATGAAGATCATGAATGAAAATGAAGACTTGTATGGACTTCAGTCAGCTTTTTCTCTATTTAAAATTTTTCTGAAGCTCCATCCAATTTATAAAAATTCAGGAATCCTCCAAAACCCTGCCATCTCGTTATCGCACCTCTTCCGCTCACATTCGCCTCGACGACGTCTTCAACAAAAATAAAAAGACGTCAAGCTCAAGTCCACCGCCCACAGACCATCTCGACTTGGAAGAAGTCTTCCGGACCAAAGAGGACACCTCCGAGACGCCGGTACCAGCACCAAGGCCCAGGAGGAAGCAGTCGCTGTCGCAGCTTCAGGCCGAGACGACGTCCGCCGTCTCCTCTGGATCGGAGGAGCAGAAGACGTTAGCTCCCGAGATCGACCCTACAGAGGTGACGGCTACAAGTCGGTCGGATCGCACTAACCAAACATCTGTCGCTTCCCATACTTTGCATGCCAATGAGTTGACTAATGGGGGAGATTCTTTAGTTGAAAATAAGCCGGAGCCAACGCGAAGGACGTCAGTGACAAGGAGAATCAGCATCGACGATACACCAAGGAGAAGGTCTTCCGCGACTTCAGATAAAACCAAGCCTTCTAAGAAGTCTAGTGTGGTTCTGCCGCCTTCGGACGTTAGCCTCGACGACATCTTCTCAGCACTTGCTCCTCAAGAAAAAAGACGTTCAACTGCGACAATAGTTCTTGAAGAAGAAGTTCCTTCAACATCAAAGTCAGAGAAGAATAACAAGAATGAAAAGAAACCAAGATCTAGCTCTGGTTCTTCATTAGATGTCGAAAAGAAGAAAGCTCCGTTGAGATCGAAGCAAGACAAGCAAAAAGAGAGCAGAAACTCGAGTTCAAGCTCAAGCTCGAGTTCCTGCAGCTCTTCAGCAGATGAAGGCGCGAAGAAAAAGTCCAAAAAAGCCTTAAAAGAGTTGGCGCAATCAACATCACAGATTGATCAAACGAAAAAGCAGAAAAAGTCAAAGTCAAGGTCTAGTTCGAGTTCATCCAGTTCCAGCTCATCAGAAGACGTCGAAAAGAATAAGAAGTCGATAAAAAACCTGGATTTGGAGGCGCCGTCAACATCAAAGCTCAATGAGCCGACAAAGGAAAAACTTAAGACGAGGTCCAGCTCAAGCACAAGTTCGTCTAGTTCCAGTTCCTCTTCAGACGCTGATGAAAAGAAAAAGTCTCGAAAGTTCCTACCAGAAGAGGTGCCATCAAAATCGAAGTCAGAAAAGTCCAAAAAGAAGAAATCAAGGTCAAGCTCAAGCTCAAGTTCCTCCAGCTCCAGCTCCTCATCAGCTGCTGATAATAAAAAGAAGTCGGCAAAAGTCCTTAGAATAGAGGCGCCGTCAACCTCAAAATCAGTCAAAACGAAGAAGGAGAAGTCGAGGTCCAGCACCAGCTCAGCAGCATTTACCGAGAAAAAGAAGTCCGAAAAAGACGAGCCAAAAACCTACATTGTCACCAGATCCCAAAGAATTCAAGATGTCGAGCCCACCAAATTCGTCGAGGACCCAACCAGACCCCCGCGACGTCTCAAAGAAGAACTTGAGCCTTCCGCTGCAAGTCAGGAGGCTTCCAAGATTTCAGAAGACGTAGCTTCGGAAGTGAAACGTTTCGAGAAACGAATCGAAGAGTACGAGCACAACATCAAGGAAGTTGAAGCGCAGGCAAAGCAAAATCAAGAGGAAAACGATAAAGGGTACAAAGTTCCTGAAGACGCCGTCGTGCCTCCTGTCAAAATTGATATGAGCTCAGTTTTCCGGAAAGCGTCCAATGACAGCCGACAATCAACCGATTCGCAAAGGAGATTCAGAAGAGAGCAGAAAGTCATCAAAGAAAACTCTCTGGAGCTGAAGAAGAGTCTTGAACAACGAGATGCGCTGGCGGAGAGGCGGAAACATGAAAGGAAAGATGATACGAAAAGTCTTGAAGACGTGAAACTTCCCGCTGCTGATATCAGCATGGCCTCAGTTTTTGGCAAATCTCCAAGACAAGAGAGTTCAACGAGCAGCAGTGAAGACAAAAGATCCGGAGAAGTTGAGCAACGTTCGGACGAAAAGCCTGTTTATAAGGAGTCGAAGAAGATCAGAAGCGAAACTGATAAAGAAGATTTAGGGAGCCCAGAAGACGTAAAACTTCTTGCTGCTGATGTCAGCCTGGATTCGGTTTTCGACAAGTCTTCAGAACAAGAAAGATCGAAAACTAAAATTAAAGAGAGAAGGGTCGTGGAAGTCCAGCAACAACAGGACGACAAGAGAAAATCTTCTAATAGGGCCCAAGAGCTGGTGAAAGCTACAGAACGTCGCCAGGAGAGCAAAGTGAAAACAAATATCATTGAAGACGAAAAACTCCCTGCTTCTGACATTAGTCTAGACTCAATCTTCGGTACATCTCCGAGTAAAGAACCATCACAGAATAAGACGAAAGAAAAGGACTTCTCAAGAGTTAGCAGCGTAGAAAACTCTCCCACTAATGATCGAGAGCATCAGAACAAAGAACGCCCAACGAAAAATGCTAGAGAAAGGTCTCCAGTTCGCATTCAGGAAGACAATGTTGAAAATGACGTCAAGGACCTTGAAGACGTGAAACTGCCTCCGGCCGCCATCAGTTTAGACTCGATCTTCAATGAGTCATCTGTCGAAAAATTCCCAAGCGAAAAGTCGAGAAAGAAAAGTTCTTCGAGTAGTAGTAGCGAGAGCAGTTCTCAAAACGAGCAAGATCGTCAGGACGACAGACGGAGGCCTTCAGAGAGTGAAGATAGAGAAACGCCTTCTATACGTTTTCAGAAAAATGAAGCTGAAGAAGACATCAAGAACCTTGAAGATGTCAAACTACCGCCTGCTGATATCAGCTTAGACTCGATTTTCAGTTCGTCTTCTGAAACTAAAAAACCGCAGAAAGATGAACAGCCAAGTCACACAGATCAAAGTAGATCCAAAACACTTCAAGAAGGCTCAAAAATAACTCTTAACAAGACAACCACAGAAAACGCTGGAGATAGGTCTTCATTATCCATTCAAAAAGAAGACGTCAAGCTTCCCACTGGTGACATCGATCTGAACGAAATTTTCAGCACGTCTTCAAAAGGAGAGCCGCGGCAAGGAGACCAGCCAAATACATTTAATAATGAAGTGAACCCTTCTGAAAAGCAGCAACATCAGAAAAACAGAGAAAGATCGTCCAGCAAAGAAGCAGTGAAAGTCGAAGCTCAAGACCGTCGTCAGGAGGTAGAAAAAGACACAGAGGTCCTCGAAGACGTAAAACTTCCTCCAGCCGACATCAGCCTAGATTCAATTTTCGGCTCGTCTCCAAACGAAGAGAAACCATTGGAGAAGTCAAGAAAAAAAAGCTCCTCAGGTAGTAGAAGTGGCGAAACCAGTTCCAACGATGAAAAAGACCGTCCGAAGAAAGCACAAAGAAGTTTTGACGCTGAAAGAAAATCTCCCGTTCGTCATCAGAGAGAAGAAGAAGAAGATAATACTGAAAACCTTGAGGACGTCAAGTTACCTCCTGCTGATGTCAGTTTAGACTCAATTTTCGGGAATTCTGAAAAGAAAGAAAAAGTAAGCGAAGAGAGCATATCTGAAGTGCCTCACCGTCCCAGAAAGATGGAAGCTAGAGAAAGATCTCCGGAGCGACCTCAAGAAGACAAAGATAAAGAGGACGTCAAATTTCCTGAAGACGTCAAGCTTTCTAATGCCGATATCGACATTGAATCCATCTTTGGCACTTCTTCGGGAACTACAGCAAGCCGCCAGGATGAAAAAGTGAAGGAAAAATTACAGGAAAAATTGGAAGACAAAAGCGATTCTGAACAACATCGTCGTCAGGACAGCCAGGAAATTTCTACTCATAAGGAAGAAGTTCGAGTAAATTCGACGAAGCAGCAGAAGGATGAGGTCAAAGAAGACGTCAAGCTTGCTGCTACCGACATCGACATGGACTCAATTTTCAGCACGTCTGCAGACAAAGAACCAAGTGCCGATGAAGGAAAGAGTTCAGAAAGAAGGAGAGTTGAATCGCTCAGCAAGAAAGATGCAACTGAAGCTGTAGAAACTCATCAAAAACCAAGAAAACCGCAAAGGAAAGCCTCAACAGACAGCAGCAAGTTTGAAAAGTTGGAACCTTCTGAAATCGATCTCGAGTTGGTCTTCCAACCGTTGAAAAATGCTGAAAAAGAGCATAATGCAGAATCACAAAACTTTGAACATCGACAAGAAGTGTCAATAAGGGAGAAAATGGAAAAAAGCTTGAGGGAACCGAAAAACGAGAAGCTGAAAAATAAAGACAACAAGAGAGCATCTTCAAGTTCGGACTCTTCTTCTAGCAGTTCCGATGAAGAGAAGAAAAAGGCAGATGTTAGAAAGAAGAAGAAAAATCAAAATGGCTTCGTGAACGACGTCTTTTGTGGAGAAGATCGATCAGAAGCAAATCTGAAAGATGAGAAACAAGAAAAGAGGAAGAAGAGCCACAAGAAGTCATCTTCAAGTTCAAGTTCTTCTTCCAGCAGCAGCTCTGATGAAGAAAAAAAGTCAAGCGTCAAGAAGAAGGAGAAAAATCTGAGCCCCTCCAAGATCAACCTTGACGATGTATTCGCTGGAGAAGGCCGATCAGAACCAAGTCGGAAAGAGCCGAAAAAAGTTAAATCGAAAAAAGACTCCAGTAGGTCTTCTTCCAGTTCAAGCCGCTCTTCTAACAGTTCTGATGAGAAGAAAAAAAGCTCAAAGCTGAAGAATAAAAACAAGAAACAAGAGAAAATCGATATCGACGACGTCTTGGCCGGCCAAGAAAAGTCTGAAGAAAATAGGAAGAAACCGAAGAAAGAGAAGCTGAAAAAGAGAGATCACAAAAAATCATCTTCAAGCAGTTCTGATGAAGACACGAAAAGTGAGAAAATGAATACCGACCTCAACCTTGACGACGTCTTTTCCGAACAGAAAGTACCAGATGGACGACCAGAACTCCGAAAAAATTCTGAAACTGCAAAGCAGCCAAGATCCATAGTTGACGACTCCACTCAAGAAATGACTCTTGACGACTTTTTCTACGACTCTGTCAACCGCCGGACGAGTATGATCATCAAATCTGAAGTCGACGAGATCAAACAATCGCAGAAACAATTTGAGAAAAATCTGCATGAGCGCAAAAATATTGAAGCCGTTCTCCAAGCCAAAGAAGGTGATGCTCCAGAGTCTTCCGAAGACGTCGACTTGCCACCATCGAAATTTGATGTCGAGGAAGTCTTCAACACTGCTCCAAGGAAAGAAGAGAAGAAAGAAAATGACGAAATAAGCCAAGAGGTCGATTTGATCAACCAACGAGCTTCAGAGTTCAAGCACAACCTGAGTGAGAGAAAGCTCGTCAAGGAGCATAACAAGGTGGTCGAAGAAGAAAAAAAGGAAGAATCTGTTGTGGATATAGACCTACCGGCGTCAGATTTGAAACTAGAAGATATTCTGAGATCTGAAGTTGTCAAGGACGATTCCGGAGACGAGATCAAAAAGGAGATTCAGATTATCAAGCAGGCGTCTGAGAGCTTCAAAGAGAGCTTGCATGAGCGGGAGCAGTTGGTGGCAAGAAAGGCGGCTGAAAAAGAGGAAGTGGCAAAGTCTGACCTGAAACCTTCAAAAATCGACGTTGAGGAAGTCTTCGAAGAACTAAAAGAAGCCAAGTCTGGGCATTGGAAGAGCCACTTCCCAAAACAATCTGAAGAAGAGCCGAAAGATCAACAAGAACAAAAAGAAGAACTTCCACCCTCAGAAATCAGCCTGGACGACATCTTCTCGAAAAAAGAAACTGCAGCGGGCGTTATTCCAACGGAGACGCCTCCCAATTCAGATTCCGAAATTGAGAACCGATCTCCCGATGAGTCTTTCGAGGATCACACCAAGTCCGATAAAGTCACTGTCAATGTCAATTTGGACGAAGTTTTCGGGTCTCCTCCAGCGACCGTACTGTCAAACTCATCTACACCGGAGACACGCTTCAAGAATCATCAGAAGGCGAATTCGGAAGTAGTCAGCGCAGAACCGTCAGAAGATTGGCTGAAAGGTTTGGGAGCTGAAGCTAAGTCTGAACCAAGCTCTAAGTTTGGCGCCGAGTTCCAGCCTAACTCCACCTCAAAAAATGAATCTGAATCCATGCCCAACTCTGATTCAATCTTTGAAGAAGAGTCAGTGTCACAGTTGGATTCGAACATCAAAAGGGAGGACAGGCCTACCTCCACACCAAATCTTGGAGACGACTCCAAACCAAACTCCACTCCGAACCTCGGTCATCCGTCTCCTAGCATCGCATCATCCCAAGTTAGGTACGAATGGGTAGCTGAACTTGTCGGATCCGCCAAAGAAGACGTCAAAGAAGATTCTGAACAAGTCCAAATCGAAGAACTCGACGAAATCGAGTCGGTCCCCGTCCACTCCAAGAAAGACGACTCCACCTGGGTATCAAGCATCGTTTACCGACCTTCGCCCCCAGAAAATCGACGGAACTTCGCAATCTCGAAATCGGCAAGGACATCGAGAATTGAGGATTCTGAAGAGCCAACAAGCAGCGATGTATCTTGGGTTAAGCAAAGGATTGAGGAGATCTCCGAGTATAAGCAAGAAGACGTCGAATTGTCATATCCATCGACGTCCAGGGCTTCTGAAGAGACGAAAGAAGACGATCGGCTGCTCGACGACATAATCATTAGAATAGGTGCCAGAAAGCTGTCAGGAGATGAGCTGGAACAGCTTCGACGAGACTGGAAGCAGAGACGAGAAGCGTTCCGTCGAAGACAAGTTTGTTGAATTTTTACAATCTTAGATTTCAATCATCAAAACTTGGAACCTCCTAGTCGCATTTAGAATGGCGCAAAACGTTGCGGTCGCGCTGCGGTTAAAAAATAAAATTTTTCAAGGCGTTTTATGATGAAGGCATTCCCCGTGCGACCAACGTGTTTCAAGTTTTTGGTTCAAAAAAATTTATTATATTTTTTTAAATCTTATTTTGGTTATTTTTTTCAATTGAAAATGCATATTTGGGGAGACTAATAACTTTAATTTTTCTTTGTCGAAAAACAAACAGAAAAAAAAGTTAATGAGACCTTTGCAAGATGCATGATATGCAAAAAAAAATTCCAAAAAAGCTTCGAGTGGCCACTTGAGAGAAATTTTCAAATGAGCCGAGTTTTCATTCAAATTCACGCCAGTCAGAAAAAAAGACTTGCTTCATGAAAAATATTCTTGAATTGGGGCTCGCTGGGTCAGCTGTAAATACACTAAGTGAACACTTGAAGTTATTTTTTCGAGTTGTCATTCTTTTGCGAGACCGCTTCAAAATCAGTCAGCCTGGCCAATGAAAAAGGGGATATCTTTCAATAAGTTCAGACTAACTAACTTTGAGTTCTAAACATTTTCTATGATCATTTGGTTCTCCAACAAGCTTTTTTCGAATTCTAGGTCGAGAAAAAACGAGTCTCAACTTCTGGAGACATTCCTCTAGACCAGGTCTTCAAGCCATCCGAAGCGAATCTCGACGTCGACGTCGCCACGACTTCAAGCGCCAGCGTCGCCGCCAACCGCCCAGCTCCGACAGAAACCGTCACATCATCCCCACTTCACGTGACGACTTCTGAACTCGAAGAAGACCTGCCGAGGACGCCGAAGACGTCGCCAACCGGCAGGAGATCTGAACAAGTGACAAAGACACACACTTGGAAAAGCATGTCCTCCCCGAGAACCTCTCAAGAAGCTGAAAAAATGGCGCCGAGTGAAATTTCCCTCGATGAGATTTTCACTCCACCTCGGTCATTGACGTCGGATCATGGGGCGACAATCTCGAGAAAGTTGGCCAAGATTTACGAAAAGCAACGAGAGCAACAAGGCGAGCCGGGCAGGAGGCCCAGTAATCCTACTGGCTCTTTGAACATGAAAAAGCGGCATTCGACGACGCCTGAAGTCAAGATCGACCTCGAGGACGTCTTCAGAACCAGGAAAGAAGAGACCAAGGTTAGTTATGAGCTTCTATGAACAATTAGCCTGGGATAAACGCGAAAAATCAAGCTCACGACTTCAAAATAAAACTTGATTCATGACAATTCAAGGAGAATATTCGCTCCAACGAACATTCTGTATGATATTTTCGGCTAGGTTTTTTTTTTGCAAACTTCAAGCAAGAACAACCAGTCGAAGGCGTTTTACCTTATAGCGATTTAAAAAAACTTGTAAATCTGATAATTAATACACTATTTTTTTCGTAATATCTCAACATTCCAAGGAAACTTATCGACTTTCAGGTATCCCAAGAAGGAGAAAAGAGCAAAGAACACGACCTTCACGAGAAGAGGTAGGTTCTGTTTGTTTTCTGATAGCTTATCATTATCAAGTAGATACTCCTGACACACCCTTACAAGGAAGGTAATTTCTCCTTGTGGTTCGGAATTTCCTCGCGACATTACTCCTTCTTATACCAGTTGGAAATCCTATGCCTCTCAAGAAATCAAAAATCACTCAAGAGAAAAAAGTCAATACAACTCATTTGTAACGGTTTTTTCAAACTTTGAACTCTATTGCGGGAATTTTTCGCGGAGTTGTGCGTTTCAGAATCTTCAACTGATACATCAAAGAGTATCCTAGCCAATTTTCAAAATCTTAAATAACCTTTCTTATTGGAATTTTTTGTGATCGATTACTTTAAAAATTTTCTGTACATTGTTTCCTTCAATATTATTGAGCAAATTGACCTTTCCATTTTTCTAGAACTATTTTAAACGTCTTCAGCTCCTTCGACGACTACTACCTCTCCACGGTAGACGACTTTTTCAACGAGAAAATCAACTACAAGGAAAACGACACCCAGACGCGGAAAGTCTCTGAATTTGTCGACGACCTCTTCGGCAAATCGTTCGACGAAGCGACCAACGTCTTCAGAAGCAAAAAGAACCAGAAAAAGTCCTACGATTCGCGGACAGACACCTCGATTGACCGGAAAACCACACCATCTGCAGACTCTGAAGATATAATGAGGCTCATTTTTTCAAAGCCGGCTGATCCTCCAAAGGATTCTGAAACTGAGACCCGGAATGAGTACCACCGGACAAAAGTCGTCGACATTCGTGATGCAACTTCTACTTCTTCTACTTCGAACTCTTCTAAACCGGCTAACCGACCGCAGGATGAGGAGGTAAGATTTTCACCAAAGTTTCAAGGATCAGACAAATTTTGAATAGGTAATTGAGTTTAGAGACTGAGAACATTATTTAATTTTATTTACTTCAAAAAGTCCATTTATTATAACTTCCTGGAAACGATAAGAGGAGGTCCAAATAAACTATTTCTCAGGCCGATTCATTGATCAATAATTCCAATCTCCTTTCAAAATAAAATCGATGTTTTTTCATACCAACTTTTTTTTTGGTCTTGAAAATCATCCTGGGTGTATTTTGAAACACCTTGGTCGCGTTTGGAATGTCTCAACTTGCGTTGCGGTTTAAAGCTGGCCGCAATAAATTTGAGAATTTGCTTAGGGACCGCAAGCCATTTCTTCAGAACGATTCAAAAAATATGTTTTTCACATTGTTCGATAGAGGAGACTGTCCATTTTCATATTCCGTTTAGTTTTTGAAAAAAGCTTCACTAAGAAAAAAGTTATGGCCAAAAAACGAGCGCGCGCGGCGTACAACTGGAGGCAAAATCTCACGGTTTACCCGCTGCCGCACGCTTTCTTTTTAAATGTTTTTGCGCGTTTCTGGACCGTTTTTAAATCGGTTTTCTGTTTTTGAGAGGTTGTCCGAACTGAGCCTCATGTTTTGGTATGAAACTTTTTGTACAATCCTCATTAGAATTTTTTTGATAAAAATATCAAAAAAACTACCTAGAAAAAAAGGTCAAAGGGATTTTTTTCAGCTTATTTTTTTCTTTTTTTCTACTCAGAAAAAAATTATTATCATTTAATTTGAAAAAAAGAAAAAAATGAAAAAAATAATGTTATTTCGAAATAAAAACAGGAAAAAAGTGCAATTTGACTCCGAAAAAAACGGCTCCTGCGACATTTAAAAGGGGCGCATCGGTGTGTTTGATGCAAACACTGCTACGGACGCTTGCACGAAATCTTCCGAAATTTCAAAAAAATTGCCATTTTTTTCGAGGTTTTTCAAAGCCGTTATTTTTTTCGCGTCGATCGACTTTTTTTCATAATTTTTTTCATTGATAGAATTTTTGAACGCTTAATAACATAATCAAAAAAATATAGACGCGATCCTATTCTCTCATGCGTCAACGAGGCAGGCGAAAAAAAGGAGGTTTTTGGTAAAATTCAAAAAAATAATTTGATTCGCTGTCCCAATAATTATTTTTCATTTTGAATTTTTTTATTTTTTTGGACACACTGTTAGTTTTTAAATCAAATAAAAAAAGTATACCATGTCGCTGAAATTTTTTTCGCATTTCAGCTTCAAAGTTTGGTGTCACTTTACAAGCTTCAATATTTTTTTCGCGTCGGTAGATTTTTTTATTTTCACTCAAAAAAATAAAGAAAGTGTTAATGTATAACATACTTAAAAATTTAGAAGCGTTCCTCACTTGCTTTTTCTGAAACGCGACGATTTTGTGAAACTTGTCAGTTTTTGTCGTGTTAAATCTTACTTTTTTTCGCTTATTTTTTTGAAAAAAATACATAGTTTTAAAAAAATATTCAGTCTTGTAGAGCGTTGTCGATTACATAGCTTAACAGAAACAGTTCATTTTTAAAGTGGGACTTTAGCTAGTATAAACGCCTCAAAACCGTTTTTGCAACAAAAAAATCGTCATTTTGGTGGCGTGAAGGGGCGGGGCTTTGCGCCCCCTAAATTTGCTCTAATCATACCTTCACGCGTAAGTTACATCTTAAAGCAACCGCTTCTCCGCCGCTACCTGTTGAGCCATTTCACATGCGACCAACAAAACTTCTAATTCTGCCTAGTATATCAAAAAGTCATCTTTGTTTTTTAGATTCTCGAGATCGAAGTGCAAAACGACTACTTCTACATCCGAGGCTCCTACGCTCTTTTGATTCCAAAAAGCGACCCACTGGGCCAGCTTCTTCAGAAGCTGCATGACGAGTCCGACTCCTTGGCCTCGTTAGACTTCACCCTTGCTCCAAAGCTCAAGAAGTTGCTTCTGAGTTGTCTGCAGGAAAAAGCGCTACACCGAAAGTCCACAGGTACTTTTACTACAGTAATCCGCACGATTTAAAATAGGTAAAGTTAAAATTATTCTTTCAGAAGACTTTTGACTCTATTCGGCTTATATGCTCTTTTTACCATCCAGAAACCTAGCTTGAATCTATTCCCTCTCAATTTTCTTGAAAAAAAAAAACTGACTTAAAATTTCCAGACGATCCGATCTCCTGGAGGGGCAGAAATCTGACGGCTTCTGTCGACCACGCTTCGGCGACCTTCTTGGAGATGAACGCCAACAAGTACCATCCAACTGAAAATCCTCAGGTATAATTTCAGAATTTCTGTTATCGAAAAAAGTGTTCAGGGCATTGTCAACTTCTGTACGGCTGTCAACAACATTTGCGCTCCATTGCTAACAGAACGGTTCAAAAATCGGGATCTTTATGTTCCAGAACCAGAACACCTTCTGAATTATCCACCGATGGGCGGTTATTCGAGGTTATTTTTTTGGAAAATAAAAAAAAACTTGAGAAAAAGCTGACGCGAGAGATCAGAGGCAGCTAGACGAGATTATAGATAAATATAAAATTCATTTTTTTTCTCTGACATCTCTTCGGCCCACCGTTGATCTCTCACTTCTTGGAGGCTCTAACAGTTCTTCAAGATCAGCTCCGTCGAGCCAAAATTAACACTAAAAAAAGTATAGATAATATTTAAATTGAAATATGAGTTCTTTCAGCACAAAAGAAGCGTTATCGAAGTATTTCGCTGAACATTTTGGCGCCGATGTTCCAAGTTCTGAATTGGTCCTCACACCGGCGACCAAAACGGGTTACGACGTGCTGAGCTATAGTCTTTTCGAGGCTGGAGGTTAGTTGGATGATAGTTAACATGGAAAAAGTAGCAGCAAAGCTCAGAAACAGATTGCGATTATTCAAAATCTCAATAAGAAAAAAAAAATCAAGAACTAACTTTAAAAGAAAAAAATTATCCGTGGAGCGCAAGATTTTTTTCGAGAGCAGCTTTCATTTGAAATTTTGAAGAGAGCTTCTTGATGTTAAGTTTTTGTACATGATAGCCATTTCCAATTTTTCGGCATGAAAATTAAAGTTTATTGAGAAATTCTTTCGGTTTGAAACGCTTGCATTTGATGTTAAATTTCAAACTTTAACTTTTATTTTCAGACATAATCCTAACCAACGGGCCAGCCTACGCCGGTACCATATCCAATTGTGAAGAACGCGCTCAATGTCACGTTGAAGTTGTCGAGGTGAAAAAATTACATTTTAAAATGTCAATTCATTTCTCTTTTTTTAACATTTTTCATTTTCAAATTCGATCCAAAAAGTTCAAAAGGGTCATCCAAAAGCTTTAAAAAGTGTGAAAACTCTGTTTTTCTAATTATTAACTGACAAATTCCACTATAAGATTCATCTACAGTACCGCTCAAAAAGTCTATTAAGTTTTGGTTTTTTTGGGGATAAATTTTTTTGAAGTGCGATATCGATTCAAATTTTTCATAGTTTTTCTGAGAGAGACATACGTGTTCTGGCAAAATTTCAAGTTGCTAGCTCAAAGAATAATAATTTTTTTCGAGAAAAAAACGAATTTTCGAAAAAAATCGAATTTTTGCTATTTTCAATTAAAAAAATCATAGCTCAACAAAAAAATTTTTTTATCAACACAAAACATTGTTAAAAACAATATTCGGGACCTAGTACTTGGTTGCGAAGCCCCTGGCGTCAATCACTGCCTGGCATCTTCTCTGCATAGAATTGAGCAAAGTGTCGATGGTAGACATGGGGATCTGATTCCATTCAGACAGCAGTTGAGCAAACTTCTCGTTGCAATTCTTGGCTCTTTTGTTGGCACAACGTCGCTCCAACTCTTCCCAGAGATGTTCGATCGGGTTCAGGTCCGGAGATTGACTTGGCCACCCCATGACATTGACCCGACGGCTCTTGAACCAGTCCTGAGTTTCAAAACCATACGAATTACTTGTCAATTTTCTCACCTTGACGAACAGTGAAGTGTGCTTGGGATCGTTATCCTGTTGATAAACACTCCCACGGCCCATGGCTCTCAAGTGCGGCAACATCTGGTTCTGGAGAATGTCTTTGTAGACGTGCTTGTCCATGATGCCGTTCACGCGATGAAGCGGTCCGATGCCACTTCCAGAGAAGGCGCCCCACACCATGCAAGAACCTCCACCATGTTTCACGGTGGGTAATTGGTATTTCGGATGATATCTGGACCCAATTGGTCTACGAACCCACTGAATTCCGTCACTCCCGAAGAGGAGGAACTTGCTTTCGTCGGACCACAGAATCTTGTTCCAGTCTTGACGGGTCCAGTTGAGATGCTCCTTCGCCCACTTCACCCTGGCGGCTCGATTCTTTTCAGAAATCAGCGGTTTCTTCACTGGACGTCTTCCCATGATTCCAGCAGCATTCAGACGTCGTTTCACGGTCGAGACAGATGGCGGAGATGGCGAATTCAAGAAAAACTTCCCGTCTGATCGCAGGGGCGGTGAGTCTTGGATTGGTTCTAGACGTCTTCAAAAATGTTCCTATCGTCATTACGATCAGTGACACGTGGTCTTCCAGTGCGTTGGCTGTTAGTAGAGCCATCTTGAGCTTTCTGACGCTTTAGGAACTGAGAAATGCCCGCCTCTGTCACGCCGAACATTCCTGCCAACGTCATCATGGTCAGTCCATTTTGACGACCCACAACGATGGCTCTTTTGTCGTTATCAGTCAAATTCTTATTTCCAAAGGTTCTTCCCATGTCTGAAAAACATGAAAAAAATCATATGGCAACATTATTAATTTTTAAAAAAATTTAATAAAAAAATAAATAAAAAAATAAAAAGCATAAAAAAACAAAAAAATGGAATTCAATAAAAAAATGCCTAAAACGCGTCACAGTCATTGCGGACATGTCTTTGTATACCGTATATGTTTCAAAGTATATTTTACATTATCCCTGAAAGTTATATATAAATCGGATAAGTACTCGCTGAGATATCCCAAAAAAACCAAAACTTAATAGACTTTTGAGCGGTACTGTATGAGCTTTTAATCAACCTATCTTTCAATTTTTCCAAATTTGAGACCAACCTCGAAAAGCCAACACTCGACATATCAGCCTTCGAAAAAGCGCTCAAATACCATCACGATAGGGTTAGTTTCGATATTGCTTGAAATAACTAATTTACAAGGAATTTAGGATAACATGGTCAAAGGAATCGTGATAATCAATCCACACAATCCACTGGGTGTCGTTTTTGATCAAGATCAAGTCATTCGACTTTGTAACTGGGCGGCAAGGTAATGAAAGCTATGAACTCCCTTTACCGCTGGCTAGGGAAGAAAAAACAGAAAAAAACGTTTCAAAAATGTCTGAGCCCATTATTTCCGGTCAGTATATTATATATACTTATCTCATTCGCCAAAACTAAGAAAAATTTGTTTTTTTTATAGTCTGTGTGCCACGACTTGAAATTTCACGGAACGACATTCCGCTGTTCCGCTGCGTGCGTTCGCGAAGCGTCTTTCGAATCTAGGTCACGCTTTCAATTGATTGTTATTGCTGTGGGAGCACATTAAAGTAGAGTACCCCAATAAAAGAAAAAAAATAATAAAAGCGCGATCAAGGTTGGCAAAGACGCGCAGCGGCACAGCGGAATGTCGTTTGTTGAAATTCCATGTCGTGGTACACAGGCTATAGCGTCAAAAATTATGATTTTTTGTTCAAAAACCAATATTCCAGTCAAAACCTCTACGTGATCATCGACGAGATCTTCGCCAACTCGGTTTTTGACCCGAAAGCCAACTTCAAGTCTTTCCTTTGCTACTACAAAAAGCTGGCAAGGCCAGACCACGTCGCCTACATGTGGGGCTTCAGCAAGGTACTCCAATGGAAACTCACACAATCTCTTATTTAATTAAATATTCTCTACAGGATTATGGAGTTCCCGGCTTCAAATTCGCCGTAATTCACTCAACAAGTCCCACTTTGAGAGCAGTTCTCGGCAAACTGGAGTATTACTCGCCAGTTTCCTGTTTAGTTCAGGACTTTGCTGTCAAGTTCCTGGCAGATAATGGTTATTTTATCAACTTTATTCAGCCGAAAAAATTTAAAAAACGACAAAGAGCAAGAGGAAAAAAGAGCAAAAAAAAATTGTTCACGACTTTTTAATAGATTTGAGTGCCGAAAGTGAACTTGAAGGTTTTTAACTTAAAAAAATATAGAGCCAGAAAAACAGAAGCGAGAGATCGCTGACGGCATGGAGAGATAGCAGAGAAAAGGAAAGTTCTCTCTTTCTCTGGCGTCTCTTCAAGCTGCCTTCGACCTCTCCTAAAAACAACTCAAAAAATCAAAAAAAGTAAAAAAAAAATACCTTTCGAAAAAAAAACCGTAATTTGGCGAACTTTAAACTTCAGAATGGCTCCAAAACTACCACAAGACCCTGAAACATCGCCTGGCCGTCCACTACAATTTTACCGTCAAACATTTCAAAGAAATGCGAATTCCTTACGTCCCTGCCCAAGGTGGATTCTGTGTCTTCGCCGACTTTTCAGAGGTTGAAAAATTAGGAAGAAATTCAACTATATGAAAATTAAGATGCTGAAATCGAAAACGAGCAAAGCTGAGTTAGAACTTTGGCGAAAAGTGGCCACTGGAGGGGTGATGCTCACTCCCGGCGACCATCAAAAATGTCTGAAGCCAGGCTGGTTCCGGCTCGTCTTCGCCTGCACCAAGGAAGAACTACAAGAAGGTTCGAAAAATTGTTTCGAGGGAAATAATGTCCGCAGTGAGAATGGCTCCCCATGATTGAACTAACATCTGCTTACAGTAAAATATAAAAAAACGTAATTATAACATATATTTAAAAATTTTTGTTTCCGATGAAAAATCTGATTTTTTTCAGGTATTCGACGTCTTTACAAGTTAACGAGGAACATTGACAACCCCAATATTGAGCCGATACGGTACTGAGAAAAAGAAAAAAACGCAAGCTTTCATCGTCCAATTTTTTTCATTCCTTCTTATTTTTTTAGTTGATTCTAGTCATTTTGTAGAAACTCCCATCCATTCCTATATTCTGTACATTATGGAGTCTTTTTTCAGTCATGCCTTGTTTAATAAAAAAAGTTTTATTGTCTGTCAAACTTTCATAAAAAGAACTATACTATGAAGATAAACTACCGTTCACAAAAAGAAGGAGAAAACTTCAAAATTTGAAAAAAGGCGAATGAAGAGAATGGAATTTCGTTCCTGACAGCCTTTTTAGGATATGAATTATGTTTTTGATTTTGATTTTTCAATTTTTCCTTATTATTTCTATTTTTTAAGCCCCCTTGCTCGATATCTTTAATCATCGACTTATATTTTCGAAATCGGAAATTTCAATGAACCATTTTTGCCCACATTTTCCCTCACATAACGATAGAAGAACCAAAAAAGAATAATCTATGAAAACTGAAATTTAAAAGCTATCCCACTTTGAAATTAAGAAAAAGAATTTCTACGTGAAATTTCGAAAAACGTCACTTGTTTTCAATCAGAAAAAGCTATGACATCATCTAACAATATAATTTCGTATTCTCATTTCTCTCCACCAAAACGCCAAAATGACCTATTACACAAAGCTCGAATCAATCAATTCTGGCGATTCGGACAGTGAGGTGAAGATTCTGAACGGGAGTATCGACGAAGACTGGGATATTGGAGATGATCTTCTGCCCAAGTACGAACACGCCAAGAAAATCATCAAGAGAAAGGTTTGGACTATCTTACTCAATTTTTTTTTTGGAAACAATCCAATCGCCTGAGCTCTCTTTTTCCCTCATCTTTTGACCAAAGAATTGTCTCAGCTCACAACGGGAGTTTTGAAAGATTTTCAAAATCTTTAATTGGTCTCAAAAGGAAGAAACGTTCAGCTTATTCTGAAGATACTTTTCAACTTGGACGATTTTCGAGCTTTTCTTTAGCGCACATTGATAAGCATACGCTTTCACGTTATTTGAGAATCCCTTGTAGCTATTAGGAGGAAAAGAGAGCTCAGACATGCCAGACAGTTCCAAGTCCCCGTGAATTGAGTATGAATTAAGACTCCCCTTTTTTAGGTCGACGACATCAAGATAGTCGCTGAGGAGTGCTACGATATGCTAAAAGAAGGTGTCGTTGAAGTGGAGCACAATATTGCCGGCCACTTGCAAAATGTGAAAGATGTCGTCAAAGAGAAGGTTTTTTCACTTATTTAATCTCGAAAATGTCATCTTCCAGGCAGAAGAGATGCTCCACGGACAGTCCAAGAGAAGCAATTGATCAAAATCTTCAATTCGATTAGACGTTGTAAATAATGTATAAACTTTGTTTGTATGATTAAATATTTGAGTAAACTTTTTCCAATGCCGGTAAAATCATCGAACAGGGGGACTTCTGAATGAGACTATGTTTCCTAGATGTAGTTTTCCATGCTGATTCCTAATTCGGCCTCAAAAGCTGCCACCAAGGTCTGTGAAAAAAGTTATGGACCGTCAAAAGTCAAACGGAGCTCATTTTCCGAGGGTATATAGTCCTTGTTTCCCTTGTCAGGAAAAACTCTTCAATTTTTTTCAAAAAGGTTCTGGAGCCCATGATATTTCAAGGCTCAAGAACTTCATTGCTGTATTTCTCAAACAACACTCTCAATTTCTTGATTTTGAGATCAAAAAATCAATTCAATTTCCATCACCCTTTTTATTTTCAAGATTTTCAAAATCGTATTTTTTAGGATTAGAAAAAAAACCTGTTGTCAACTCAATTATTCAATATGATGAGTAATATCTTACGATAATGGCCACTCATCCAATCATCTACATTTTCCTCATTTTCCGAATTATTATGATCGAAACGTCTCAATTATAACCGTTACTCATCCAATCACTTCAATCTCCTTTTTTTCCTTCTATTCCTTGCAACCTCATATTAATTACTTTTTTCAAAATAGTTAAACTGAAACATGACAATTATAACTTTACTCATCCAATTACTTCTATCCCTTGCAACCTCGGAAAACAAAGAAAAAAGCTTCTGCAAAAGGCCTATGAATGACGCATAAGATTCAACAATCCTACGCACATGCGTTGAAAATGCAATTATTGCCTCATATGTTCCAAAAAGAGATGATATTCCATGAGATGAGCGGCGGTTCCCTTTCAAGGCGAACTCTGTCAGAATCCTCCTGGGACCATCATCCAACCATTGCAAAAGTCTTGATGATGATCTTTATCCTCTTGAAACTTTCTGCAAATTTTCAAATCCTGAGAAATATCTGTTCTAGTCTGCTTTTTTCGGACCTCAGAATTACACCATCTACCCGGAGCTTGCATCTCAAACTCTTAAGATTAAATATATGAGAAGAGTTTCTGGAAGATTCCTTCTTTATTTCAGATTCCCACTTTTAATCTTTTCGAGATTCTTGATGACGATTTTTCCACTTGAAACTTTCTAGAGATTTTCAAATGTTCGTCCCATTTTTTATCCTACAGCTTCATTCGTGATTCGGTATCTGGAGCTTGCAAGCAAAAAAAAAGCTGTTTACTCTTTTTAACCACATAATTTGAATCTCTCTCGTAAAATTCTAAATAGACAGGCTAGGTGAAACCTCCTAAAAAGAGCTTTTCAAGTTCCTAATCTGAACGCATATTGCAAAAGCTCGAAATAATCTGAAATTTTGAGAATTTTTTTCATTTTTTAGATATCTCACTTATGTAAAAAAAAAAAACTAGCTTACTCATAGTACTAATTATTAATGAAAATAAACACACCTGCTTCAAAAATTGTGTTATGAGCTTTTAACTTGAGCTCTAGTTTGATATATCTTATTAAAAAAAAGCCACTAGTCTCAATTATTGTTGAATTAAAAAGTTACCTTGTTTGCAAGAACAAAATATTGCTCATCATCCAAATACGCAGTTTATTCGTTCGTTTTTATCCCACTAATTTTGTGCCAATTTGATGAAAAACTTTGCAACAAAGTTCATTCTTACAAACTCGTCCGGATCTTTTCGAAATACTTCTTTGAAAAAAAAAACTTGGCGTAATCGTTGATTTCACAAACTTGAATTCTAAAAGTCTCAGAAAAAATAACGCCTAGATTACTTCAAAACTCCTTTACAATCGCCTCCATTTGTTCCAGGACCCTTTTCCTTGGAAATTACTACAATAATCTTATCTTGGTAAAAAAACTTGAAAAATAAATGAGCGACAAAATGAATAAAAAAATAGAAAAAAATCCAATTATCCTGCTCCAAAAATCACTTCCTTATTTCTCCATCTCAGCCCACCCACTCTGATTGAATTCTCCTAATTTTTCAACCAAAAACAGCCTCCTAAACCATTTATAATTTGATATATACTTTCCGTCAAGTTGAGAGGAACTAAGAAAAAGAAAAGAAAAACAGAAAAATCTTCTGCTATTTGCCCGTCGGATTACAAGTTGTGTTGACTTTCACCAAAGAGAAGACAATTTCAGAACTTTCCACAGCCCCAAAAACGATTTTTCTGCTCCTTTTTGCAAAAAGTTTGCTCCGTTTGAAATTAGTTTTTGACTTTTTTTCCTCTACAGATTATTTTGAAAATATTCGGACCTTATTTGATGATAGAACTTTTTAGTACTTTATTTTTTTGTGCGACCTACTTGGTGTCCCTGAGAACGGTTCAAAGCGTAACGTGACTTCTAAGCGGTCAATAGAAAGTTGCGCCCGACCCTGAAACGACTTGCGAACGCCGAAATTAGAAAGCATATTTTGAACCGCTACGCGTTGAGACATTCTAACGTTGAAGTTTCTGCTTTGCGCTGGGATTTTTATTTTTATTATCTCCTTAAGTTAAGCTCTTTCATCTGAAAGATTCATTAAATTCATTCTTACATGTGAGGTCGCACGAGGAATGGCTCGACGCTACCGACCCTAAACGACTTGCGCGATTTGAAATCAGAATGTACTCGAAACAAGCGGTCAAGGCGTTCTGAATAAATTTTTCATTGATTCCCGTTATTTTGATTAAAACTCCTTATCGAGAATCTCTTATCAACGGCGCCTAATGATAATCAAAACCCACTTATTTTGATATTTTTCCCTTCGTAATTGATGAGTCACGGCCATAGTCTTGTTTGTTCTCATCTTCATGTACTCAGAAGCCTCTTTCTTTTCTATAGTTTGGAGTTGAAATAACTTCATTTTCTTTTTAAATTGTCCAGAAGAAGTAAAAATTGGAAGTAGAAGAGATTGAAATGACACCGAGAGAGAATTTGAGCTTTTTTGGAAAAATTAAAGTTCCAAATTTTCCTGTTTTGAACTGTTTTTGAGCTTCTTAAATATCAATGACCGCATTTGGAATGAATCCTCAATACTCTCTACTGTTATCTTTTCAAAAAAAAATCGCTGAAGAAAGTGTTGAGCTTTTCGGAGACCGCAACGCATACGCGTCGCATGACCCATTCCCAATCCTCTGTTTTTTTTAACTTCTAGGAGTAAAATGACCGCATTCAGAATGACCCAAGCATTCTCTTTTGTGGCGATTTCTGATTAAAATACAAAGACCGCAACGCGTACGCTTCGCTTAAAAAAAAAACCTAGGCCGAACTCAGAAAGACTTGGTTATTTTTCCCGAAATTGCCAGAAAACCACTACCATGACCCCAATACTGTTATATATTTTTTCTTCCTCGAAAAAAGGCAGAAAATTGGCGTCCTTGATGCTTCACTTTACGGGTGCGACGAAATCGAGGCGAAAAAAAAAGGAAAAAAGAAGAGGAGCGCTCAATTCGACTTAATGACCCGGCGACTCGTTTACGACGCCGGTGGGTCGTCGACGGTCGGACGTCTTCTGATCCGTTCCGTCGCCTCGTTTGCAACTCTCGACCGAAACCATCACTTCATCATGACTTTACTGTTCATTTGTATGTTTGTTGGAGTGTCGGAAAGTGTGGCTCGTGCTCGAAAACTTCTGTTTCGAATTGCTTACTCCAAGTCTTTTATAAATACTCAAAGAAAAGTTAGTGACGTTAGTAAGACAGCTGATACTTCTGAGCAGTCGTCAAGAAACTATTTGCTGAGAAGATTTTCCAGAAAGATTTTGAATCAGATTTTTCCATAGTTCTCAAGTGATCCTTTCTCAAAGCTTCACAATGACGTTACCAGAACTGCTGATCTTGCATAGTCTCTAGGAGGTTTTGAATCATTTTTTCATTCATAGAAAGTTTTGGAAGATTCCCTAAAGATGACAGATGGGAGAAAGAACTTTTGACTATCCCTACTAGAGAAATAAGAGCTTAGAAGAAAAATTCACAGGTTATCTCGAGTTGAAAAAGTTTTCGAAAAGTCAGAAATGGTTTGATCAATTTGAGAGAAATGTTTGATTTTCAAAATCGATCTATCAAGGTTCAAAATCAATTCCAAAAAAATTCAAGCCAGGCGAACCGACTTTTGAATCAAAAATTCATCGACTAGACGTCTTTAAAATACGGATATTTCTCTCATATCTTGAAAGAACTCTCAATTTTCAACCTGATCGCAAATTCTAAGGGTCAATAAAAATCGATGAATCATCTTTGGGCCTTCTTGAGAAAAAAAAAGCCAATTTCCGAAAAATCTTCAACTTGCAAGATTCATCGATTAATCTGAGCGCTCAAGTTGAAGCTTGAGTTTGACATTTATACGGCGGCTCCGCTATGTCGGATCAAAAGTGATAACGACCGTGCCCCCACATTTTTCTTCATTCATTCCATTTTAACACCTATCACTTCTCGGACCTCTCTTTTCTCCTGAATATTTGTTTTCACGCAAAATTGTGATTTGAGAAGAATATTTATCGCCCCAATAAGTGAAAAACCTACATTTCACAAAATGGGTTCATTTTTGAACCTCGAAATAACTCGGAAAAAGACACGGAAAAATTAAGCGATTTCGAAATCTTTAAAGAGAAAATATTGATTTGGTGATAGTTATGTTATGAAGTCACGAAAAAAATGTGGAACTCTTGAACTTTTTAGAAAAATCGATTCTCAAGTTGAGATAAAAAAATCCTTTGAAATAAAAAAATGAAAAAGTTAAACTCAAATTTAAGCTAGAGAAATAAATTTCAAATCAATTTTTAAAGGTGATAAATGAGCTCGCATAAAAATATCCATGTTTGCTTTTGGCTCAAAAAAATTCGATTAAAAATTAACTTCTAATTTGAAAAAGCTCTATAAAACGAAAAAAAAAACGCTTTCTTCATCAAAATTGTACACGAAGATCGTTAAAAAAATAGGATCAATAAATAAAATTCAGATCTAGTTTCATTTTATTCTTCTTGTTGTATTCAACTTCTACATGAAGATTCTGACAACTAATAATTTTTCAGACAAAAAAATAATTTACTTGAAAAAAAGACGCAGTTCATTTTTTTCAATCTATATTATTTTCTGATTGATCCTAAATATTTCATGAAGGCGTCTGAAACAGCCTTAAATTTGACCAAAAGCTCCAAACTCCGATTTTTACTCGAAAAAAAGGGACACGTCACTTTTTCCACTTGAAAGCCCACTGCCTAATCGAGCACTTCTAACAATTCCAAGTTTATTCCCCGCTTTTTTCCTCGTTTTTTTTTATTGCGAACGTCATCGGAAAGTAATTTGAGACATTTTCGGAGCGGAAATCGCGACATTTTCCCCGCCTCCGTCAGCTTTTCCAAAAATTTCCAAAAATGTCAGGAATTCCAAGATTTTGTCAATTTTACGGCGTTAGGGTTCTTTGTTGGTTTTAGGTCTATTTAAGCGAGGTTCCTTATCAACTTTCCTGATTTTCAGATAAATAAAAAATGCATATTGATCTGATTCTACTGGTGAACGTCTTCTTCATTACGTGTACACATTTTTCGTTGATTTCTTCGAATCCTCTGACTTCTAATAGCGACAAACGAGTCGCCCTAGGTTGGTTTCATTTATTTTTTTAAATTGAGCTTTGTGATTTCTAAAAAACTTATAAATTTATTTAAAAAAATTTTTTTAATAAGCATGAAGAGTTCTATTAAAGTTCAAAAATCCACTTCCACAAAAAAGAAAAGATACAAAAAAGTTAGGCCTTAAAAAAAAACAAGAGAGCACCCAAAAACTAATTTTTTGATATTCATACAACCACTGCTCTTTTAGGGCTTGAAAAACTTCAGGGAAGCATAATTAGTGAAAAATTTATAATATATAGCTTTTTTTATTTATTTATATATAGAGCTTTTTTTCGACACCCTCTGCAAAAAACAGATCTTAGTTGAGTTAAAGCAGATCTAATCTGAAAAAAATTTTTCACAGAATTTTCGCCCCAATCAAGCTTTACACCGAAGCTTTTTTTCTTCGAAATAAATTCCCTGATTTTTAATAGCTTATATGAATTTGCAGGTATTTTTGGACATAAGCGAAGCTCAAGAACTACAAACAAAACAACTAGCCGAACATGGTAACTTTTCCAAAAATTATGATTTTTCGTACAAATAGAGGTCCAGAAGCCCGGCTAGACTGCGCTTCTCAAAGAAAAAAGGCCCTGCTTCGGAAAGACGCCGGGGATATCCGTGTCTACGTTCCAGACTGTTCTACTACAAATCCGATGTCAGTTTCGACAAAATTCTACCGAGTAATGACTTTCAAAGGATTTCGAGAAAAAACCTTGGAATAAGAACCAGCGCTCACCAAGGTTGAAATCCATCCATTATAAAAATATAAAAAGCCTTTTTTGTGAATTTTCTGTATGTCTTGCAGTAGTTCATGAGCTGAAATACTCGACGGTGAAGTCCAAGTTGAAACTCAAAGACTACCATTTTTAGACAATACCAACGGACACAGTGCTACGAATTGACACATTACTGCTGGTGTGTACACGAAATCAGTGGGGAGCCAGTAGCAGGTTGAACTTTTCAAATTATATTCTTTATTGGGAAATGAAAGGCCCTTTTGAAAACACGAGACTTTTAGATAAGGAAATGTTAGTGAACCTTTTTCCTAAATTTAACAACAAAAAACACCTGAATAAAGCCCTTTATTCAAAATATTGACCCTACGATCCTCAAATCCTGAATTAAAATTTTGCCACTGTAAAATATCAAAAGTTAAGCCGCATTCTTAGGAAAAATAGCTCTTATTAGTAGAAAGTTGTTGATCCAATTGCGTGAGAAATGTTATGAATTTATTGAAAACGGAGAAAATTCAGGATCAACAACGCAAAATGGTCGACCTGGCTGTGCAGCACCGGCCACGCAAGCGCCTAAGAAAAAGCGGAAAAATCGTAAATACTTTAAAAAAATCCTAAATATTTCTTACTTTAAGGCTGCAAAGGGAACCGAAGAACGAGGTTTTTACGACGTGTCGTGGCGACGATAAAAGCAGAAATGATATTGGCCGGTGAGACTACATATTTTTCATGTTTTCATAGAAACGGAGGGCCATTTCGAGCTTTATTGTATTCGTGATAATCAATTAATCATATTAGATTTACAAAAAAGGTACGCCTTAATCACTGTGAACAGATCTCCCGGCGCGGCGACCCGACACATTGTTGAAAAAAAGTAAAAATATAGAAAATTGGTGAAAAAACCAAAAAAATTTGCTCTTGACAATGACGGTTTCGCGGGTCGGGTCTTTCAGGAATTTTCATGAGGAGCCCTAACAAATCTCCGGAACAAATCTCCGAAAACAACAGTTTGAAGTCCATTTTATGAATCACTGAACTTTTTTGACCTTTATTTTTCAAATTAAAGTTTCCCAGTTACATTTCAACATCCAACATTTCCCAATCCATTTCAGCAACATAAAAAATACTTTAAAAATTAAATTAAACCTGATTTTCCAGGTGTAAACCAGACGAAAACCAACCGAGACGCCGTCCTTCAGTGGAAGTTCAAGCAGCTCGATCTGAATGATAACAAGGTTTTTTAACTTAAAAATGGGAAAAAAAAAATGAAAAATTAAGTCGATGGAGAACACTAAGGTCTAAAATGCCAAAAAAAGAGCAGTGAACTTTTTTTTTTCTAACAACGGCGCTCTAATCATCTTCAAAAAGCATAATGATAAATACTTTAATACATTCTTGAGATCTATATATATACTTATGGAAAACTACAAAATCTTATCAAAAATTGAAGTTTGAGGAATGAAAATCACCTTTTTTTTGTTACTTATTAAAAATTATTGAGGCTTCAGAAAAAAATTTAAATTCGAAATTGAAGCTACTCGAACGACAAGAATGGAAGCCGTACAAGGCAATTCTACTGGAGTGGAGGAAAGCGCGGCACTGTTCCCGGAATCTCTTCAAAACGTGCGATGTCGACGCGAACCGTCGGCTCACGCCCGAAGAGTGGCGCAAGTGTATCGCACAAGGTATTTTATTAACTTATCTGGCATGGATGGTCAATTTATTTGTGGTTAGAAAGTTTTTGAGCCTTTTTTGTAAGGCTGGTCAGTAGCATCTGTTGGGCTCATAACTTATGAAAAGTAGTTTTGGTTTTTTGTACGACACTCCGCTAAAAAGCTTCGAAAATCGGGTGAAAAGTATATGAGACTCAAGAGAAAGGTTTTCTTTATATTTCTCCCAATTTTCTCCGTTTTCGGTTCAGTGTTGCGTTTGTACGAAAACAACGAACACAAAATCTGAAAAACCAGTGCATTTCACCATCGCAAAAAGGGGCGTGGCTTTGTGGTCTCTACTCATACGTCATAATTTTGCAAAACGGGACTGCCGCGCCCTTTCTTAGAACCACAGTACTCTTTTCTTCGATTCGTCCTTTCCCTGTGAAGGCGCCTTAAATTGAGCCCAAAATTTTCTGTTATATTGAAGGCGAATTCAGAGGGACAGGCCGCGGGAATCGAAAAATAGGGATTTGTAGCACGCAGAGAAAAAATTGTGACAAGCTGGCTTTTTAAAGTAAATTTTCTTGAAGAACTGAAAAATTCTTATTTTGACCGAAAAAAATTTTTTTCAGAAGTGAACCTGGTACCAGCGACACGACCCGAGCAACTCAACCCATTCCTGTACATATTGAAACCCGAATGATCTTTTTTGAATTCAAATTATAGTTGATTCACAACAGCTTTTCACCGTTTTTAAAGGAGCAGGGAGGGTTAAAACTCGAAAAAAATCGTAAAAAATCCCTGGGCCTTTGGACTTTTGAGTTAAAGTCTTTTGCGAAAAAACTCTTTGGCGTTACCAGGAAAAGGTTTTGAAAGTCTCAATCGGCAAACATTTCTAGATTTCCAGAAATAGAGGTTCAATTTCTCCAAATATCATACTTTCAAGAATTTTGATGGTACTTCATAGATTTTGAGCCTTTATTCCTTGAAAGTAAGAAAGTTCTGCGTGTTGAAAGTTTCAAAATCTTGTACATTGTCTTCCGATTACTTTTCGAAACTTCAAATTAAAGTAGGTTCCATTTTATGAAGCTATTGTGATTGAACTCAACTATTTTTCAAACTATCTTGTACATCATTTTCCCCCGAAAATCGACGATCTTTCACTACCATACCGGCATAATACGCTGCAATGTTTCCAAAGTAATAATTTATTTCACGTTCATTGTAAAAAGAAAAAGCAATCGACGAGATGACGAATAAAGTTTATCAGATTTTGTGGCATTTACAAAAGAGTCGGATGACCTTAGCGATGGCAGTTCAAATGACGTAAATTTTTTTTAATCGAGTAATATGCTGATTTGTAAAATCCCTATTTGGATTTTTCAACTTTGAGCTTTTACATTGAGCAATTTTAGATAGAACTATACTTTCGGAATAACTAGAAATTCTCTTCCTCAAAAATTTCAACTATGAGAAGCAGAAAATAGTCTGCAATATTTTTTTAACAATAAATTCAATTTTTCAGATCTTACAACAGGAAAAGCAATGAAGATGTCAAAGGTTAGCCCTGCCCGAAAAAAAAAATCAAATATTTCAAAATTTGAAGGCTCGTCAACATGCAGTAGTAGTAGTAGTCAAGACGATCTCATCGCAAAAGGGTCTGATAATTTTCACTTGCATCGTGATCGCACGCGGAATGGCTCTGAGCCTAGGGCTGGCAATAAAGCACACCCGACCAGACACAGCCTGCTCTTGTAACCGCAACGCGGCCGCGACGCTTTGAGCCATTCCAAATGCGGTCAAGAACTTCCCACTCTGTTCAGTACTCTTCATTTGTCTCGTTGACGCACTTGGAATGGCTCCAAGAGTCGAATTAGCAATGAAACGCGTCTGACCGAAACGATTCACGCCCTGAGGCATTAGAAAATATTAGAGCAAACTGCGAAAAATGCTGAAATGGCTCTGAATAAAATTCCAAAAACAACGCTACCGCAAAGCTCTGAGCCATTCCAAATGCGACCAAAAGATTCTTGATTCTTCCTCCCTTTTAAAAATGAAAAATTCTAGCTTTGTACAAGCGGCAGACGAGTTTCTATTCGATATAAACACGGGAAACGCGAGTAAAAAGACAATCGGCGAATTCGTCAGATCTTTCAGCAAATCGAGCGTCTTCAGCGAGTTTGTCACGTTTACTGATGTTGAAAAAACTGGAAGAATCGGGAAAGAAACTCTTTTTTGTAGTACTCAATTCTTCGCAACCGAAACTGTTGGTCATTTTATGAGCACCCGCTACTGAACCGATTCTACGAGATTCCGCTCTTCGAGGCGACTAGAATCAAGGTCAGTTGAGGTCAAGTTTCGGGAAACTTTCCTAGTCTATAGTAAGGTAGAGCTTACATTTTTGGTTGATTCGTGCAAGATATGAACAATTTTTCGATTTTGTGAGAATCTGAGTATCTCTGAGAGGTTTCAACGCCGCCTGATTTCAATTTTTGAAAGTCTTGAAGATTTTTTTAAAGTTAGAAAATCGAACAGCATTTCGCACTAGTAGAGCATAAGAAGCCAGATTTTAGGTGCCACACGAGTCCGGACACGACTACATTCACGCGAGCGAGGTGGACGGATTCCGCGAACGTGGCAAGTTTATCATCACCCAGGCGCCGCTGGCCGCCTCGACCGAGCAGTTTTGGCTGATGCAGTGGCTGAACAAAGTTCCCATCGTCGTGTCTCTCACCGAGATGGTCGATGAAAATGTTCGTATTTTTATTTTTGTAAAATGTATGAAGAAATGCCTATTTTCGTGATCCCAACAATCAGATGCGGTAGGTATGTTTGAGACACGATAGTCAGAAAAAATTGATTTTCTGATTCGAAATAAAATAATTTTTGGTCATTAGTCGCTTTTGGCTATGTCGAAGACATTGAAAAATCGTATTTTCTTTTTTTCGTGCAAGCTTTGAGGCGTCATGACTTGACTAAAAAACAGAAAACCTGATAAGTCCTTTTTCTAGAGTCAGAATGCTCTAAAAAACGTATAAACCTGGTACAAGAAAATTCTCGAAACTTGTATTTTTTTGGTTTCTTCATGAGAATTTTTCTCGATTTCTTAAAGATGAAAAGTTCAGAAGTTACCAATCCTTCCGAAAAAGCGAGGCGAAAGTATGAAGCTTGGGAAAATTTCAATTGAAATTTTACACTGTCGCCACGTCCGCAACTCTTATGATTCTGCTGTTCTCAAGGTGAAACTGGGTCATTCTGTAGGCTTTCCAAGTCGGGATGAAACACTGTGAAGTGTTTTAGTATGAGGCTGAACACGGGTATAAAAATATTCGGAGTTTTGGAGAAAAAAAAATTGAAAAAAAATTATTTCAAGCCCTAGTTTGCAAACTTTACAGAATGTCGGAAAAGGACGTATTTGAAGATTTCGAATCGTAACAACTAGACAATGAAACAAGTATTGAAAAGAACCTTTTTTTCCTGCATTCAGGAGATTCTAAAGTATCATACTGAAAAGTAAACTGAGAACTCCAGATTCAACACGACAATGAGCCGCCTCGCAAGCTATTACTCTTATCTTTTCATTCCTGGGGCCACAAAGGCACGCCAAGAAGACCGACGGAACTGCTCGACCTCGTCGCCGACGTCAACTACAACCGTGAACTCCTCAGGCGACAGGCTATTGCCGGCCAGTGGCTGAAGCCTGATGAGAAGTCTCTCTGAAGACCTTTCGGAAGACGTCACGGTCTTCAGATTCCCGGTGACGTTGATGTGCTTCTCGGGCGTCGGGAGGAGCTGCGTCGTGGCAGGGTTGGATGTCCTTTGCCGGCGTCTGGAGGCGTCGGCGGCTCTGGGAACTCCTCTCGTCGATGTTCTCGACACTGTCAAGAGGGTGCGAATTCAGCGCGCTGGCGCCTTTCCGGTGAGATCAGATTTGTTTAGTCAAAGCCATTCCAGCTACCAACTTCTGAATCGTTCCCGAGCTTGAACTTAATAAAAATCCTCCTGAAGCTTGAGAAGCCATTCCTTTTCATTTCCTAGCCATTCCGATTTTTGCCAAAAAAAAAACTTTAAAAAAAATCTAACTTTAAGAGTCCGGCTTTTTTGCTCTAACTCTTTACTACTGCCAAGACCTTCTTGTCACTGAAATCGGCCGAATTTACATTTTAGCCAGAAGCCCTCTAAATTATCGGAGATCCTCAGAAGTATTCTCACGCGAAAATTTCCAGAAACCTGAGCAATACCTCTATCTATCAATGGCAGTACTGGAATTCGGCATCCGAACCAAACTCATCCCCAATAACGTCCTCAATCAGATCGATCTCATCAACTACATGCATCAGCAAAACGAAATGGAATAGTTCTTGGAATTCAGAATGAAGATTCGTCTTGGCCAGCTCATTTTTATGATCTAATATCAACTCCTCTAGAAATCACTTCAAAAACTACCATTGGTAGGGTATAAAAACACTGAAGTGACCGCTTGATAGAATCTCTAAGAAAGAAATTCTTCAAAATTCTCGTCTCTGTTCTTACTTACTTTTTTTTTCTCCAAAGAGCGTTTCTAATTCAAAATTCTATCACGATTGATTTTTCTTTAAAAAATGGAACTAAAAAATCAACCTTTTGCAAAATGCTCAAAACAGAACATTGACGTCAATATTTGCTCACAGAAACTCCCAAAAATACACATAACAAGTCATCAACGAACTATGTTTGTTGCGAAAAGTGAGAAGAAGGCTCCAATAACCAGAAGGACAGTTTCGGTTTGTACAGCTGACTGAGAGGTATAAAAGTGAGGTCCGGAGAGGTGTTAATCAACCGAAACCAATTATGATTTCTTCTTCCTCTCCTCTAATCTTGGCGCTGTTCGCGACGGCCTCCTGCCAGCTGAGTGGCCCGACCTCGGACGGTTTCCGCCAGAATGGCCTGCGAGGCGATCGAAATGGCAACTACAACAACGACGGCAAGGGCAACAACGGGATCCGTCTTCCACCTTGGCAAAACGAGGACAACGACGACGATTTCGACCTTTTCTCCGAGTTGACGATGCCGTCCTTCCTCAGAAACCAGCCGAACCAAGTCAAGGAGTCCTACTACGAAATTGTCACCAACATGACCTCCAAGCTGCCCGAGCAACAGCAGAGACTCCAGAGATGGGCCGATCAGAACCGACTTTCGGTGGGTCTTTTTCTAGAGAATTAGAGGAAAAAGTGAAGCTAAGTACAGAGAAACTTGTAGAAAATCTTGAAGGAGTTGCACAGAACTTGCGTTTTCCCGAGTAAATATGAGTCTCACTTTACTATTTTCTAACACTAGAAGCTCTCAAAAATTGATGAGTAACTCGAATTTTAATGTCTTAGAACGATCAGAGCGATAAAAAGAACTACTGTAGGAAAGGTAGTAAAAAACCGAAAAACGTACTTTCATTTTTGCAGTCGCAATACCAAAACTACGCCCGTCGTCTGGAATCCTCTCTCTCGGCCTTGTCCACCAACATCACTCGTTTCTTCTCCAACCTCGAAAAGGCGGCCAAGAAGCTCGTCGAACTGACCACCAGCAAGACGATCACCAACCTTCAGCGATTCGAGGGAATCGCCGACGTTCATCGCCAGTACGAGAAGGTATATATTCTAAATTTTTCCATTTTATAAGAAGAAAAACTTTATGGTTCGAGGTTTGAAAGCAATGAAATCGAAGAAAAAAAAAAATGAAAAAATTCCTTTTTTTTCCATTCAAAAAGTTAATAGTTGACTTGTTCTATAATATAGGACCTAAGAAAAAAAGGAGAGAATGAATTTTTTTAAAAAAAGCTCCTTTAAGCTTTTTGACGACAAAAAAATTTAAAAAAATAATATTTTTTTGACTACTTTTTTTATTCTACAATGCTCTGAAAAAAACTGTGTGGAACCATTTCGAATTAATTTTCCTAAAAAAATTCTCAAAAAAAGCTTTGGAGGTTTTTTTTTGAAGGCTGACTAATCAAATGTCTTACAAAAGATAAGAATGAATACTTCTGAAACTTGAAAATTTGAAAAAAATAATCCCATTTTCGTGTCATTTTCCCAAACGTTTTCCAAAGATAAGTTGAATAAATCAATGATTCAAGGAACTCGACGTCCTCCGCCTCATCATCGGCGTGGCCAATGACCAGTCCTCCGCGGAACTCCCGCCAATCCGCAGCCAAGGAGGCCGCGGACGACAAAATAATTGAAGCATTTCAACTGTATATTTGAACAAAGATAACGATATATACGAAAATAAATCCAAAGCATTCATTCATTTGTTGATCACAGAAAAAAATAACCAGCCTACACGTAACGAACAGGTCATCAAATTATCTCGTCAAAAAAAGAACCTCGAAAAAAAAAAATTGAGCAGAAAGGAAGAGAAGACAACAAAAAAAACTTTGGTTACGACGATGGGGAGAAAAAAGGAACCCGTGGCGAATTTGTGATTGGTTTTGAGAGAAGGGGGAGGTTGTTTGAAATGGTTAATTGGATTGAAATCAGGCGTTTTCTTCCTTTTGGAGATGTTCAGATGAAGCGGCAGCCGTGGATCATCGGATCGATGGAAGTCGAGCCGGCTTCTGGGAGCATGAACAAGCAGCTGCTGCTCCACAGATCCACCGAGCCGATGGTTCGCTGAAAAAATCCTTATGTTTTTATCAAATTCATCAAAAAACTGCATGTTTTCCTCCAAAACATACTGCAAAAGATAAGTTCAATAGAACAAAAAAAAAACTCTGAGAACTTCACGAAGATTTGAAAAAGTCAATTTTTTTCCCTTACCAAAAAACCGGGCACAAGGCTGTTTCATGGAAAAAATTAAGAACATATCATTTTTTTCAGCTTTCTGGTAATAAAAATGTGCGCTCTACTGATAAAGCTCATAAAATTATAAAAAAATCATAATATTATACTTTTTTTTACCCTTTGTTGATGTTCAAAACTCTACCTTTTCCTTCTCCTTTTTCTTCGCAGGAATGATGACAGCGGCGGCCGGAGTCGTGGCGACGGTCACAGTACCTACCGTAACCGGGACAGTAACCGGGGCGACGGCTACAGTATGCACGCCGAGGATGTTGAAATCGAGGAGTAACCGGTAGGTCCACTCAACCGTGAAGAATGTGGCAGCGTTTGAAGGGAAAGCTCTGAAAAAAAGGAAACTTTCAATTTTTGTTATTTTTGAATTAAAATAGGATCTAAACCTTATCTCAAATCACTGCCAGTTTTTTTTTATGAATTTCGGAAGATTGATGATTTTTCGTAAAAATGAATCCGTGACGTGAGGAGGTTAGAAAAAACGTTAATCCTTCTTGATTTTTCTCGTATTCTCTTAAAAAAACAGAAGTTGCTACCATGCCAACAATACTTGGGCTACTGTAGCTTACTGTATTCAAAAAGCCCTCAAACTGAAAATTCACGTAAAAATTGTCATTTCTAAGCTTCTGTTCGAAGAACTTTGTTGGCCATTCATTCACCCTTTCTTCCTCTATCTACAACCTTCTTCTTCTCTACAGTAACCCACCGTATCAGGGCGGAATTGAGGCCGACGAAGAAGGTCCGCAGGCCACGTTCGGCGTAGGTCGTGCGGATACAGTCCCAGTACGTTTTGTAGGCGTCGTTGGCTTGAAACCGCGACTTGATGATGTCCTGCGGGTAGTTGAACAGCCAGGAGAGCGTTCCGGCGCCGCCTAAAAAATCGGAAAATTAAAGAATGAGTCATAAAATTTTTAAATATTTTCGTGACCACTTTTTTCTGAACAACT